TTTTTATTTTATAGTAAAAAACAACTAAATATCAGATGACTCAAAATAACTTTAAAAAACACTTATCTGCATTATACGAGTAAAACACTGTGGTGATTCAGGACCACCGAGCATGACAAGATAACTGCAGCAACATGCAATCTGAAAATTATAAAAACTCGTCTGTCAGTCTGTATGTTCGCTATGATCTCAAAAATTAATGAACGTTTTTTCATGCGTATTTCGCCACGACTTTGATCTTTTTACAGAAGGCTTACAAATATGTAATACAATCCCAAACCGAGCAGAGGGCCAGTCACTCGTAAACCTTTATAATTTTTACTGGTTGTTTTTACAGTACCTATAACTTCACGTAGGTATTTATCCTTTAACAAATATATCGTTCAAGATCGAACATCATCCTCTTCACACGATAACTATCGGTTACTGCGCAAATAATACATTCGAAGCGAATTATTCCCGTAATACTGAAAAAGAGGGACTAATCCCGTTACCAAGCCCCGAATACCTTTCGTAGCATTGTGTATACAAAACCTTTCTATTTTCGTTTTTACAAAATAAATAATGCTTTGTTACATATCAGAGAGTGGATGAAAAGAGCTATTGAATTATTACCAATCTAAGTAAAACTCGGCTTAACCACTGGCATAGCGGAGTGTTAAAGCAAGAAATTGTAATTTCCACAACAACCATTAGCCAGTTTCCTGGCCATTGTGGCTGCAGGTCGGTCGTCATAGTTGAATGTAAGATTAATGGCCCGTTTATACCGTTATCGATGCGATGACTTGTCACTGCCGATAAGCGTGTCTTTAGTGTACGTTTACCATAAAACACTTATTAACGTACCCTCTAAAATACCAACGGCAACGCTAGTCTTGATTCAAAATAAACGTTTGATAAAAGTGCGATAATATTTTTACGGCCGGCGCGTGGGTAACTTCGCATTGGTTGTTCGATCATTTCGTTATCGAATTGTTTATTTATTTATTTATATACTATAGTTTTTGTTCTCAGGCTTGTGCTATAAACAATGACTTTATTTATATAATTACACGTGTTATTGTGAGTCAACCATAAAATATAGACATATGCTGTTGCGGGATATTATTTAGACAATTTTATGTAGAATATTTTCGTCATACATGATTTCTATGTAACTTTAACCATTAAGGCTGCACACGCGACGGAAGCTTAAAAAATGGAGTAACTTCTCCCGTTTTCTCAACATTTCCCTTCACTACTCTGCTGCTATTGATTGTAGCGTGATGAAAAGTATACTATAACCTGCCCAGGAGTATGAAGAATAATTGTACCAAGTTTCGTTAAAATCCGTCGAGTAGTTTTTGTTTCTATAAGGAACATACACACAGACAGAGAGACAGACAGACAGACAAAAAATTTACTGATTGCATTTTTGGCATCAGTATCGATCATTAATCATCCCCTGATAGTTATTTTGAAAATATATTTCATGTACAGAATTGACCTCTCTACAGATTTATTATAATTTAATATATACTAACGGATAACTTTAGCTTTTTGATAATCCTTCAGATACCTAAATTTTTAACTGGATAAAAAGTATCCTATGTCTCTTTCCAGGTTATTAGCCGCTTTTGCGAGATCTGTTCTTATTTTTTTTTTAATTTTGTCTCTTTTTATAGAAAACTATGATTGTTAATCCGTACCTGAAAAAATACGTACATTTTTCACATGAACCACGCACACATCAATACCCCTTGGTGCTCAGGCACCTTCACTATCTATCTACTGAAATCAACAACACAAAACTATAAACTTATAAGTAATATGAAAAAACTTCTAAAATAATTTCATATTTCATGAAAATCTAAACCCACAGTAAACACTTTATTATAAGGATGGTCGAAGTAAAAAAGTAATGCAAAATTCAATACTTTGTTTGACAATACCCATACCAATTGGATAGATCTCGCTTTCTGGAAATTAGGCATCCCTAAAAAAGATGCGTTTTTAATCACCTGTTGTCAACAGCTCGAGAATATCCGATTAACCCTTTTCAAACGTTTTCTGCTTAAAAGCGAATGTAAAGGTTCTTTATAAATATTTAAGTTTATTCGTGTTTTGCCTTTTTATTTACCTGGGAGACATTACGAACTGTCTTTTAGAGGATCAAAATTTATTTAGGGTGGATTTTACTCTGTGCGTCTATCGGTGGACTGTATACTATGAACCGTAGGTAGGCCGTACTATATGATGCACTCCCAGTTTTACTCAAGTTATAAAACGATAGCTGTTTAATTTCTGGGAAATGTAAAATTTTCAATACATGGCTTGTGGTACGACGGTCGCAGTAACTCATAGAAACACTCACCTGAGTATTCAGTTTGGTGTGGTTGTCATGTCATAGCTATAACGACATCACAATGTCCCAATGTGTATATTTATAAGTTACCTATGTTTACTTTCATACTAATATTAAAATACCAAAGTGTCTGAATTTCAGTATACTTAGGAGATAGAGGGATATTAGGCGAAAGACATAAAGTAGCTACTTGTTGAAACGTAAATAAAATTGAAAATTATGAAATATCACACAAGTTGTATTGTAAGCGGATGAAGACGCATACACCCTCTAGTTTCTTGAATATTCTTAGTAATAATTCACTACGTTAGTACAAGGGCATTATAATTAATGAAAAGAATAATAGAATATGTAAACACTTTAATTTTCATGTAAATTTGAATACGGTTCTCCGTGATTTGGTTGCCATAGTTCTGCTTAGTTCGGGTAAACAAAACTTCATTTCGGGACTGAATATTAAGTGTGCGGCTGTTCGTAGTGTTTATTTTGGCGGATTTTATAATCTTTACTACCTATTTTTCATTATCATCACCTAATGAGGGCTATCGCGTATGAATCCGCCGCTAGAGGCGCTAGTGTAGCGTGAGGTCTCCGAAATGTCAAATGTTATTGCTTGTTGGTTGACTACGCGGGTTTATTTCTAATTAAAATAATGTTGTGAATAATTGGTAACAATTCGGCTTAATTATGGCAAATATGAGTTATGTGGCAATGAATGTCAGTTATTAAAAATTTGAGCTTAGAAAAATGATTATGTTCCCATTTTTTCCGAATAAAACGGAACTGCGCGTCACTGTGGCATGGCCTATTATGTTTAGGATATGTTTCTTTTGTGTTAAAATATGATCTAAATGTAACCTTTGATTTCATATGCGTATTAATAAACTTTAAAAGTTACAATTTAGGACCTCACTCAACAGTGGCGCCATCTGGTGAGGCAGAAAACGGTAGCCCTCATTAATAAACTTTCCACTGCTAGGTTTCAAACTGTCAATTGTTTGCTATAAACTTGTATGTATTCAAAAATGTGATTGACTGGAAGTGATCAATTGAAAAAAATGGGAGCAAATTATTGAGATTATTAAAGTATAATACAAACACATATTGAATAAGTCCTTCACGAACTCCTATTATTCCAGCATTAAAAATAAAAGTCTCATACTTTTAATTAAATGTGTTTAAAAACAAAAAAATGCCACTATATTATAATAAATCACTTTTCTTTAAAAATCAGTTCATCTATGGTGCATTGTCGTAAAATACTAAAAAATCATCAATTATTTTATAAGAAAACATTAATTAACATTTTAAAACCTTGATTTATCAATAATAATAATAATCAGACGGAGATTAACAATCAAAATATCTAAAACGAACCAATACCAAGACCTAAACGGTCAATATTACGTGAATCTACTATATAAAAATAAGTCGGGTTTTCCTTCCTGATGCTATAACTCCAGAACGCACGAACCGATTTCCACGGTTTTGCATTCGTTGGAAAGGTCTCGGGCTCCGTGAGGTTTATAGCAAAGAAAATTCAGGAAAACTTATAAAAAAAAAACTTCTTTTAATCACCAAACGAAATGTTACATAAAAAGAAGCCATCTGGTGGCGAAACGGAGTTCGCCGGGTTTGCTAGTTTTATATAAATCTGAACAGTACCAAAATAAATTTTATTATCACATTGACAGGTGCTTTCAATGATAGACTAACATATTTTAAACCGATCTAAGACCAGACTATTGCATAATGCTTATATTTTTACACAAAAAATTAAAAACCGTTAGTTGAAAATAAGTGCTAATCAAGATTCGAAGACGAGAATGGCAAAGACACGCTCGTTCCTATTCAAAAAACAAAGTGATCGTTCTCCTCCTAAATACAAATAACCTAATCTCGGAGTAAACATAGAAGAATTCTCCAAAGCCATCTATTAGGGAAGCAAACATAATTAAAGGTTTAAAAGATTCAATAGAGCTCCGAAGTTGTTTACGAACGCCTCATCTTCAATTTTCGGTCACTTAATGTAGCGCTACGAGCGATAATAATTGCCCCGTTACGGGTTACACGCTACGAAGATATAGCTTGTTAGCTGCTACGAGAAAGGTCCCAGAAGTTGGATGACTACGGTTGTTTGAAACTTTCCGTAGGTCGGTGGTTGTAGTGTATTATTAGGATCCTATTCCAGTTGGATTCTCACGAACGTGGGTCGGAATGGCACTGTTTGTACAGACTATAGCATGAAACCCGGATCACGTTGTTAAAAGTAAGTTTTGGTTTCGTTTGCCCAGTGACATTATTTTATGAAAACAATACGAACACATGATGCTACTTGCAGCCTCCCGCGACTTTGTCCGCGTTATCTTTGGTTTCTTGAGAATCCCTCAGGAATCTAATTTTTTTTTTCGGGATAAAAAGGTAATCCTATTTGTCAATCCTGGTAAAAAACTTTAAGTATGCCAAATTTCATTCCAATCAGCCAACAACCAAGAATCGGCTTGGACCGGAACCATCAGAAGTGTAAATGACAAGCGTGATTAGGCAACAAACAGAAAGACACACTTGCGCATTTATGATATTAGTATGCATTATTATTATGGGTAAGGCACAAAATGCTTAAGCCTCAAGTTAAAGTGTGTGTTGCTCTTTACAGAAGCACGGCTCCCGTATGAAGTGTTCGGCGTGCAAGATCGTGGCTCACACCGCCTGCATTGACATCCTCATGGACCGCGTCCAATTCACGTGCAAGCCTACATTCCGGGACGTGGGAGTGAGGCAATACCGCGAGCAGACCATAACGCACCACCACTGGGTCCATCGCCGCTCCGAGAAGGGCAAGTGCAAGGCTTGCGGCAAGGTAAAGCGACAATGTACCAGCAGCACTTGCTAAAACACATCCCCATTCGTAGTATTAGAAATTCACGCTGCATTAAAGTGTTAATAATTGTTTTCAATTTATGTTATGTTGTTGTACTCTCACTATGTTCGTGCTTAACATTAATGTGATGTACTTAACGGTGAAAATCACGGAATAGATTTTTTTTTTCTTGTAATTGGAATGTTGTTGTTGCGCCTACTTACTGTGAAAAAACAAGGGGGAAAACCGTATTAAAAACTGATCCTCTTTTGTATATTAGTTGGTAGTGTTGTTCTTTTCAAATTATATGCAACAATTTTTATGTGAGGCAAGTGCCCTCAAGGCTTTCCTAACTTTTTTTTATCTATTGCGTGATGCAAAGCTTGTTGTGTATAACAGCATACGTATACAATATAACTTCTGCTCAAGTTTTTCGGTGATTGTTTGGAGTAAACATTAATTTATTAACATGCAAACGTAAAAATTAACCATACCTTTTATTACAGTAAATTAATAAAAAAAGTATAACATAATTTATTATCAACCAGGTAAAGTTTCTCAATTAGGTCTGATAACTTAAAATTGGCACATGCTTTATACATCATATTTTTTGGCGGAAAGACAATCACGTTGCTTCGGTGAAATGAGTACGTTACTTAATTTAAATTTCAAGTAAATTTTTGACTTTCAGTTAATGCTTGCTAAGTTCTTAACATGAGTTTGGAGCTCCTGCTCTGTGATTTTGGAACTGGCTACAGGAACTCTTCTTATGATTACGTTATTGTTTGCAAACGCAACGTAATATTGACCAACCTTGCAACCTATAATAAAGTACCATATTTGCCATTATATTAATAATGGCAAATATATATTTTAAAAAACATGACTCTGTAATGAGACTAACTAAATAAATTACTCTCGAGTATCGTTTCCAGATGTCTTTGCCGAATTATATAATATATCGTTGTATATTTATTACATAGTACCTACGAATTTGTAATTACTGTAGCTTTTTGTTTTATGTTCCTCGTCTGTTATTCCATTATTGTATCTACATGATACACATTAACATTTTTCGAAAAACGTGCATTGTTTAAGGAGTATAATGTATTATTATAATACTCTTGAATTTTCAACTTATCGAGGTACTCGTTCATTAAGTTACATACTAATTGTAAATTTTCGTAATAAGACACTATTGATTTTATATAATCTAGCTGCCCCAGAGAATTTCGTACCGGCATAAAAATAGGGGTCAATAAAAAATTAAAATAAAAAAAAAGTCCAAAAAATTTATATAAAATTAGGGTTGGGCCACCTTTATCACTTAGGGGTATAATAAAAAAGTTCACTTCCTATTCTCAGACCTACTGAATATACACACAAAATTTCATAAGAATCGGTCAAGCCGTTTCGTAGGAGTTTGGTTACAAAGACTATACATACGCGAGAATTTATATATGTAATCTTTGCCCAATCTGTGTACGAATCTCTTATTAATTATATTACTCGTTTTTAGTAGTCATGTAGTGTTTTTGATGTCCCTACCAAATAGAAGACTTGGTATTTTCCACAATCTATTAACATTAAAAATATATTAAAACCGTAAAGACTTTTAAAATAAATCAAATTCATATTATTAGAACATATTTGAAAACACAAGCTTTGAATAACTTGATTGAATTCTCAAAAAATGTTATTTCATAATTCTATTACAATCTTGAATTTTATGTTTACTCATATAAAGGTAAACATATTTATTGATAACAAAAGCTGAGATTGATTGTTTCATAATCCAACTGGAATTGAATTGCTTACAGGTTTGTTCGTTAAATGACAGCAGATCGTGACCTACGTATGTTCCTCTCATAATAAATTCACTAAGTGAAATTCTAAGACATTGAGGAAAAAGCTCACTTTAGTATTCAATTGATTTTATTCATGAATATGTAGGCAACGTAACGGTCATTCCGCTGGTATTGGGCAATCGTCATTTGACCAGCCCCAGTAGAGTAGGCACCGCTGTTAAAGCTACTTTGGACGAAATAGCTTTTTACTCCCTCTTGGTTTATTTGTCGCTACTCTGTAACAACAAAAGCTATACAATTTTAACTGAGAACTTAAATAAATGTTATCCCCTCGTTAACATAGGAGCTCAATGGCGCAGGTGGTTAGCGCGTTTGGCTGCGATCGTTAAAATTAAGCAACTATCGCAGTGGTCTGTCATTGGATGGGTGACCAAAAATCGTCTATCTCGAGTTCCTCCGCGCTTCGAAAGGCACGTAAAGCCGTTGGTCCCAGCTGCATTAGCAGTCGTTAGCACCCGCCAATCCGCTCTGGGCCCGCGTGGTGGGTCATGGCCCAATCTCCCTCTTCCATCCATAGGTAAGGCCTGTGCCCCAGCAGTGGGGGCAGTAATAGGCTGATGATAATGATGATCCCCTCATGAGCAAATGAAGAAAAAGCTTAAAGCAGTTACGCATTGTTTTGTTCACAACATTGCAATTACATTTGTAATACGGCGGACAGAAACAAAACACTGAATAAATAATGGTAGCTTAAGCTATGTTTTACTAATAAGGGTCTTTGGTTTTATTCGGTAGTCCCGCTAACAAGAAAAGTCACTACTTAATACTACATATAAAGAGCGGATTGTGTTTATGTTCAGTGGCATCTTTATCCTTTATATTTCGTCATATTGTATTGAGTAGCCAATTCCAACTTCCAACGAACAAATCCTCATAAACACACTATCGCGACATTTCCGGCCGGTGTACGTGATTGATTCTAAATAATGAAGACGTAATCAATAGTAAGTGCCCCCCGTATACACATTCGAGTGACTCACAAAGTTAATATTAATGGGAAAACTTTACAAGAGCAACCTAGTACGTCCATTAACATTTCAGACTTTGGTGGGACACAAACAAATTGGATGCTCCCCGCTGAAAGTGACGAAAGTTGAATAATTAGGTGACTTTGTGCGGCATCTGATTTACATAAAGTACGTTAAGGCTCCGAAGCTCCTGTGTCGTGACGTGGGCGCGCAGTTTTGCCTTATTACTCGGAAGTGGCGTGTTAGCATGAATAATGTTCTATTTTCCTCCATCAGTCCACTAAAGTGAATTAAGTACGAAATTTCAAATGCAATTATGCACTTTCAAAGAGCGCCCCTATGCAGAAATGCATATTTTCCGAGACTATATGTAAATCATGGTTTCAAACAATTTGTTTAGATTTTGTGGTTTAAGCTTATTTCTCTACATAAATAAACATTGAATATAAAGTTGCATTATTTGTAAAAATATGTTTTTAGAAGTAAATGTTGATGTTAGTATATTAGGCGCAGTCGAAGAAGTAGATAGAGAGGACCGTCTACAATCTTATATTTATAGATTTTTCTCTCATCTCAAGCTGTATTCTAGATGAGTCGTGTTCTGTTCTACGTCATTAAAAACTATGTTAGAGTAGTATGACCGACCACGACTACTATTTATACTGGAAATCAAGTTTAAAAATGCATACCATTTATTTCAGTAAAGTTCAGGCACCTAGGTAGCTTAGCTGGTGTAGTTTATTATTATGCGTACGGGCACACTTTTGTTGGCCTACAAAACATTTTTATCTCAGATATAAGAGTAGAAAATCACTAAAGCTCATAGGAGAATTCCATTAAAATAATAATATAATAATAATATTTATTTGTAAAAAACTACATGGTAATAATCTTATAAATATGTTAATACTAAGGCCATTATTTCACACAAAGTACATATAGACATCCTCAGCCAAACTAGGAAGTTCATCCTGTATTTTGGCTTCAGCGCCCAGCCAGCTTCAGTAGCCATACAAATAACATGAAATAATTAGTTTACAATGAAACGGGGACTTAGATTTTTCCTTATGTTAAAATTTACATTGTATGAGATTAAAAATGGCTTATTATAACGTCCACACAAAAAAGCAATATTTAGATAACAAATCCTTTTTACCGCATATTGTTTATCAACCCATTTTTGTTTCGTTCACCGCTTAAGCCCTCACCAAATATTTTATAACCCCGAATAAATCTGACAGCGTTCTAAATAGGCGTGGTCAAATATATCAAAACGTAAATGGTGAAAATAACCTATTTCATCGTATTATTCATGCACGTAAATGCAATCTGTCAGTCGGATAATATCGTGAATGAGTGATGTCGTGCCACCGCCACCGCTACCGCCGCGCCCGCCGTTGCTCCGCATAAGGGCCCTATTTTTGAACCGTTAGACTTCTGTCGAGCGCTCGTTTTCTACAAATTTTCATTAGACAAGAAATTTGCTATTTCAGATTGGCTCGAATGCAACGAGTGTGTTCACTTGGCGAAATCTCCAAATAAATGACAGAGTAAACGCCAAAAAGCAAACGTTACAAACGTTAAAAAACTCTCTTTTTGGGACGAAGTTCTTTTGCCGGCGTTACTGACTTGGCGTATTGGTAGGCGAAAGATAAGTGAGATTTTTCCATCACAACCGTCAGTTGTTTCGTAGCGTATTGTATGTAGTTGTGTATTTACACTTGTTTATTTTTAACTTCGTTCAAACCGAGTGATCCACGCCACTCGTTTGCTTTTTCTCCAAATATACATCTAAAAATTACGTTTCAATGATATATGATGTGTGAATGATTACGGTATGAAGATATTTCTCCATTACATTCAATATTTCGCAGAAAAAACCGTCTTGCGACGCGACGTAGGAGTCGAGTGTGACTAAAGTCACATACGAAGATGAAATTTCAAACGTGCGATTCAAAAATAGGGCCCCAGAACCGCGTTCGCTCTCACTCCACCCTACCCTCATAGCCGCTGTGTCAAGTAGAAATGATTTGCATTTACCTCACATAAGCCGTCCACTGACACGACTCGAACGCCACAGCGAAATTAAAACTTCATTTTTAATGACGTGTTACCACCACATACCCTACTGTGTGCTCGTGCGATTTTGAACTGTGCTAAAGTAGGTTTCTAGGTTACATTTTCTCCATTTTTCATAACCCTACCTTGCGTATGAATGTAGCAACAACATTCTAACTTTTACACGCAAAACAAACGGAACTTTTATGTTCTTTTTTCTAAATATTGACGACACCAGCATCGAGTCACGTTTTATAATTTTGCTTTTACAAACAAATTTGATGTTGTTGCTTTATTTATTTGCAGTAAAACTATTTAGTTCTGTCTATTTAATCATTATGTTGCACAATAAATGCCATGAATATTCAATGTTGGTTACAATACCTTACGCTTTAGTCGTATATTTCTTTTTTGTTTGTTTTTATTTGTTTAAATGTTTGTGCATCTATGTTTGCATGATTGTTTTGTTCTCACAGTCATTGCGGCGCAGATGCTGTGGGTGGTGCATACCATCAAGCACCTCAGGAAATAAACCTGTAGACAGTGATATTGCGGAAAGCGTGCGTATACATGTCAAGATTACAGGGCTATCGGCATGAAGGAAAACTTTGCTTGCTTTCTATGCTTGTTGGTCGCACGCTATCTCCTAAGATACTGGTACAAGCTTTTTATCCCACGGAGAATATTTCTGCCGCAATTTCTTGAATATGGTATTATAATCTTACATTAGACATAAATTCTTTTATTATCATGTTTATACGAGTTCTTCCCGGTCTAAGGTAACATGAGTATGTATCGTTTAAAATATAACATTTTGAACAAAAGCTGTCATTTTACTTCAGTTACTTTCGCGAAACCTTTTGAAACAGAACTGTTACTGGAAACTAACTTGAGAAATGTACTTCTCGCTTACGGCAAATAACTCTTGTGCTAGATTGTTCGTTCGTAGTTTGTAATAATGCAACTTTTCGTTTTGTTCAACAGTCGCTGCAAGCGAAGCTATCTTTTACTTCGAAAGAAATTGTAGCGCTGAGCTGCTCGTGGTGTAAGGACGCGTACCACAACAAAGAGAGCTGCTTCAACTTGCAGCGAATAGGGGAGGAGTGTTCACTCGGTGAGATATTTTCATGCCTATTCAAGATTTTTTTATATTTCCGGGTAAAATATTTTGATTTTGCTGTTAGTAGCAAAAAGTATCGTAGATTCTACATATAATTATAAGTTATTAAACTTACAACAGATTAAAGATGTACGATTATGTCACTATTTGATAGAAACTTATGCGTTTACTAATTATTTTCCTGTGTTTATTTAGCAAATATCATTGTTTTTTTTGCATTTAATGTAAGTATTTAGCAAATATATCATAGTTTTTAATTGTTTCTTATAAAATTCAGTGACACTGAGCACGTTTTCTTATTTCATCGCGTACAGGCGTTATAAAAAAAATCTACAAAATATAGTTTTACCTATATTAAACAGTTGCCATAGCTAATAGAGCATAGACTAATAATAATAGTTAATGAATAAGAGAAACAAAGTAGCTGAAGAAATTATAGCCATTAAGTTGATCTCGCCCATCCATCTTCTGTTAATATAATAACAAGGAAAATTGACTGGCCAACCTTTTACATACTCAATTACACACAAGTAAAGAAATATATGCGGCAAACACTTTAGATAAACACCAGATGTAATAAGGAAAATAATCCTTTAAGAACACGGTTTTCCTTATTTTTTTCGCATATACATAATTAGGGACCGTGCAGGATAAAAAATGTTGAGTTGAGAATTTCGTAAATCCAAAGCAAAAGAAGTGTCGAAAAAAGTGAAGGAACCACTATATTAAAGAAAAGCTTATCGTTATGGTTATTTTTACAGCCATCAAAATTTAATTAAGGAAATATGCTAGTGTCTGGGCTAAAGCTACTGAGATAGTTTGTTAACTGGATTCGATATAAACTGAGCTACAGATCTCTGGATATTTCGCCCAAAGTAACTTTTACAACATCATTCACCAGTTAATTCATTAGTGGAATAATAAATATTGTTGGCTGTACAGTTTTTTCTATGGTAAATTGCGGCTCCCTAAATTGAGCGAGTGCATTTTAAATTAAAATGATCCATGCTGTTTCATTGGCCATCGTCCCCGATACTACCTGGGGCATTCTGTTTATTACAAAAGCAGACAACATCGTTGCGTCCTACATTATTAACAAAGTTGTTTTGTTCCAGGATCTCAAACTAATATAATAGTTCCACCATCCTGGATCGTAAAACTACCAAGGAGAGGCAGTTTCAAATCGTCTTTAAGAAAATCTCCTAAAAAAAAGAACGCATCTAAGAAGAAAGGGAAAGACTCGAAGAACGAGCAAAAGACTTTTGTGATAAAACCTATTCCTACGGCTAGTGTGAGGCCGGTGCTTGTGTTCATAAACCCGAAGAGTGGCGGCAACCAAGGGGCCAAACTTCTGCAAAAATTTCAATGGCTTCTAAATCCAAGACAGGTGTTCGATCTCACGCAAGGAGGCCCTGGTCCTGGGTAAATAAAATTTTTATTCTTTTGTGCCAAAATATACTTTCACTAATCCGAAACTATTATTCCCAAGGGATCAGAAAGGGCTTCGCTATTCTTTCTTTTGTCAAATCTCAAATACGTGATAATCACTGAGCTTGGACATGAAATGCTGAAGTTTCTTGATTATTTCGGAAGAAGGGGCTGACCTTATTCCTGACACATGAGAATGGTTCTTATCCGGAATACCTAAACCAAAACCAATAGCCATTACAAATAACTGTACGTTAGTTATTTCCATAGCGTAATATCGTACGGAATTTTACTGTGGGGAAACGCCGGCGACATTCAAACTATTTTTGTGCTGCAGAAGAGAGCTATTCGATCAACTTATAATCTTAAAGTTAATGACGGTTGCATCACAATAGATACATATACGAAAATTTATTATTTGTAAGAAAAAATATTAACTTATTTCTTAAAAACATTGATGTTCACACATTTAATACAAGAAATAAAAATAAACTAACTTTACCTGCTACTAGGCTTCACAAAATAAGTAATTTATTTAAATGTTCTTTGTGTTCGCTTATACAATAAAGTCCAAAGCAATATCCAAGAGTTAACTATAAATAAATTCAAAGATACTATGAAAAAAACACTTATTAAAAAAGCTTATTACACTGTGTCTCTATATTACAGACAAAAATGCTTGGGTTTGAACTGTTCCAACTATTCCAACAGGTTTTATATATGAAATAAATCATGATTGTATTGACGTTGTAACAAAATAATGATTTGTAAATGTTGTTACATTATTCTTTCAATGTTGTGGAATTCTTTTTGCTCATTTTACTCTGCAATAAAAAAATATGTTTAATAACCAGTGGGTGGGAAAAATCTTTTTTGACGATTCATAAGAGTTGTACTATGCATCCAATTTAAATAAAGATATTTAGATTTTTTGACTTATTTTTTACATCAGCCAGAAGCATTGTACAGTCCAATTCGTAAAAATATGTTGTGACAAGGTGGTCAAATACATGTTAGGAACAAAGGTTCAATTAAATCTTTGCATTAAGAGTTATCTAAATATTTGGACACAACCAACCAGCCTTATATTTCTTCACATCGAAAAACTCCAAATACAGATACACCATTACAAGGATCTTTTATATGTACGCTTCGTAACTGGTCATTGATATCTAAGCGTACAGTGTAGGTTCTCATAAATATCTTCGCTAGCATAGATTATTTATTTATATATATTACATAGATTATTACATCGGAAGATATGTAGATGGGATAGATATTGCCGATCGCCTGGTCAAAATTAAGGACCTTTACCGACTTTTCATTACATTGGTGTTTTGAAGTTTATTTATTGAGTTATTTTAATGTTTAAATAGATAGAATAAATTCATAAAACAGTAAATAGCAGTAAAGCATTCGTTACTACAAGAACTATTGTATAACAGAAGAGTGGATAAATTGTTCCACCTTACGCCCGGGTGAATGTAGCGAAATGGCCAAGCCACATATTTCGACTATGGTGCAGAGTTTTTGGAGTTAGGCCTCGTAGAATTAGGTCGTGGAGAGTTAAAAGCTTGGCTTTACATGAAATCTGTCAATTTTGACAGTACGAGTCATATGGTCTCGTCTTGGTAACACTTTACATTAGCATGTTTTTGGCGGGATAGATTATTCACAAATACCTATATAAATAGTCAGCTTAACACATTACATAATATTAGAATTATTATGTTTACATAATATTGACCACTCTGGACGGTAACAATAATTAGCCAATTAGAAACCATGAATTAGGGTCTGTCGTGCGAATCCCGGGGTGGTTAATATCATATTCGGGTTCAGGAAAAAAATTTTTGATTTTTCTGGTGACCCTGAGCCCCGCCCCCTCATTTTTGAAATTTCAGCACCTCTGAAATTTCAAAAATTGGATTTAATACCAATTCCATACGACCAAGTTTCTAGGCTTGGATCAGAAGAGAAATCAAAAAAATACGGACAACAACTCCGTGCGGTTTGTTTGTACATACACGAACCAAAAGGTGTATGATAGTAAACTATCAAACACAGTGATCTAACAGCGTATATAAAATAGAATTTGTGTTTACCATCAATATTTTTTATCAGTCTTCGCAATACGATCTTTTCGAAGCTGTATGTTCGATTAGTAAGCTTTCTGGCAATACAATAGAACTGAATAGACGGCAAAATACGGATACGAATCTGATCCTTTTCCAAATCTTACTGGAGTTCCTCAAGGCTCCCATTTGGGGCCAACATTCTTTAATATATTTGTGAACGACGTGACGGAATGCTTCAAAAATTGCAAAGTATATATATTTACGCAGACGATCTTCAATTAACGAGACCAATCAAGAATATATAAGATGTTTGCTTGATGCAAGATGATCTAAATAAATTGAACTCTTGGTGTATAGAAAACAGGATGGTTTTAAACGTAGAGAAATGTTACTATATCCGCTTTACTCGTAACCACTCCGATGTGCCTGCCCTGGATCTTACACAATATCTAACCAACCTATCCGTGAAGTTGAGACTGTTCGTGATCTTGGTATAATCCTAGATAAAAAAAATGAGTTTAAGAGAACATTACGAATATATAGTTTCTAGATCACTTAAATGTCTGGGATTCGTAATAAGAAATACTAAAAACTTTAAAAACCAATCAACCATAATAAGATTGTATGAAAGCCTGGTTAGATCTACTCTCGAATATTGCAGTGCAGCTTGGAACCCTTATTATGATGTACACTCCAATAAAATAGAACGTGTGCAAAAGAGGTTCTTGTATCATTTGTCCTATAAATTTAACCTCGCAAAAAAGCTGCACGGATATAACGAACGCTTAAAGCATTTTAAATTTTCATCGCTGAAAAATCGGCGCAATATGATAAGCTTTTTTCTCCATAGGATTGCAAATGGTAACATAAATTGCCCCCAATTGATACATAAACTGAACTTCTCGATCACTTGCAAACTACCACGTCTGTCAAGATAATCCTTGCTTACACCAAAATATTGCAAGACTAATTTAGGTCTTTACTCTCCTATAAACAGGCTTCAAGCGCAATACAATTCAATAAGCAAAAATAAGGTAATCGATTTATTTAGTCTGAGGCTCCCTACATTTAAAAAAAAATACAGCTTAACACTTGATAACTCATCTATTTTTATATCATCTAGTTTGGTTTTTTATCTTAAAAATAAAATGTAATGGACTTTTGTTTCCTTTTTGTCAATTTATAAAATCAGTATATTTTTGTAAAGGATGCCTTATGCTCCTAATTAGATTAGACTTGTTTTTTTTTTGCTTTCCGTGACAGCCTGTTATTAAGGCAACACCAAATTATTTAAGAAAAGAAATGTATTATTAGCATGTAAGGTGTATGTTCTTGTTGGTTGTCCAAATAAATAAAATAAAATAAAAATAAAATGTACGAAATTTAAACGTTTTCAACCACCTTGTTCATTGGTTTATGCTAAGCGAATGAAAATCTCATACATATATTGTCAATTCATAATTGTTTCTCAAGCTTCCGCGCACACTACCCATTTAGTAAAATACTCTTAAACAGGCTATACATAACTTACATAAATAACGCCACACCGTATAGTAACATAATATCAAAGGCTAAAATGAAAAAAATAAAAACAAGTAAAAAAACTCGACCAATGGACTAAATCTGCAAATTCTCGATAAAATTCTGCAAAATTTGTCCACTATCGGCGCTGTAATCGCTTGACCCAAAACTTCTATCAAATACACACCTATTAGCTTATATTTATTTTAAATCTTTTTATTAAACAAATTACAAATGCCGCGTTGTGCAATTCCTGGTTGTTGTGAGTAAACTGCATGCTTACCGACTAAAATGTAATTTTATATGCTGCTTTGAAAAAGGGGTTAGAACTGAGCTGCTGTTTACATCATGGTATGTATCTAGGGCAGGTAATTGCATCTGGATGTCTTCATTTTGATCAGAAATAACTGCACCAAAATTAAAATTGCGGTCATATACCTTAAGTCTGTAAAAAACCCAATGTTATAACATTGGGTTTTTTACTTCTTCTTCCCATTTTAGCCAAAGGTAACCTAACTCTATGAGATGTCTGACTGATGCAAAAATAAGATAGCTTTGACTGATGAGCCCGCTAAAAGTTACTGAGATCCATGAACTATTAAAATAATCATGCATTTATGTACCGAGAAAGAGCATTGTAGCATAATAATAAAAACAGTACCTTACTATAAGATCAGCTTTTCTGCCTTGCACAGAAGCTCCTCTCCTTTTTAACTCTGTTTTCAGCTGTATTATAGACCATGTTGAATACATTTTCACCACTTATTTAATATTTTTAACAACAAAAAAACTCGTTTAAAATTTGACAGCTGCAATATTCGTCTATGGATTGGGTCAAGCGTTTGCAGCGCCATCTATGTTGAGCTTTGCGTATACTTCTCCATTGCGAGTCGGCCTCATACAGGGTAGGTTCCATACAACATTTAAATAAAATTACGTTGGGTGAAAATCACAAAAAAAACACGTTTCATGTCCGTGCCTCTGATTGCCATCTACTTTTATTTTATTTTATGTTATAAATAATAGTGCATTCGCCCGGATTGCGAAGGGTGCGGGTTCGAGTCCCGTCTGCTGCATGGTCCGCGTGGAATTTTTTCTAGTTATATTTTCTTTAGATTTATTTTATGTTTCCTATCTGTTTTAACAACCGCAAAATATACACATTGTAAAAATTTCGACTATCCATTATGGCTCATGAGATTCAGCTAGCTGATTCTGTGGAACCCCTTTTGTGCCAAAGCATATACCGTGGAACCCTGATAACGAAGACATCTGTTCCTGATGAACAAAATAAGCTTTTTTTCCATCTTACTTAATGTAGGCTCTTTAGATTTTCGCTTACGCAACAAAGCATTACCATAATATTTATAAAATCCCTTTGCAATTCAATGTCCTGAATTGTAATAAAGCATTCTATGTTGTAATTTTTAAAAGTTAGTATTGTGCGAGATGAGGATTTTTTATAAAAAAATACTGATAAATATTTATAAATTTCCTACACTTATTGCCACGATTACATAGAGCCTTGAATGATCAAGATCCTTTGTACCATAGTAGAAATATACGAGGCATTATTATAACTTTGATCTACTCTCATGTATATGAAATATTCGAATTAAGAATTTAAAGATGGTTTTATAAAGACGTAGGTACTTTATAAACGCACATACATAAAATTAAATATTCAACTTTTATAGTACTGTTGCTGCTGTATCGTAAAATCATTATATGTACAATAATGCTTAATAAGTTATTTTACTTTTTTTTTTAATTTATTAAATTACCATGTTATAGGCTCTGGTATTTGGCTGAATGTAAAAAAAGAGGCGCACGCATTCGTAGTTTGAACTTTATTTCCCGCGCTTCCCATACAATTTTCTACCGATCGTGTTTGGTTTTCGGGATTTCAGTTTGATTTTGCAAAATACTTCTTTGTTGCCAATCTACTTTGTTTTTACACTACCATTTTTTGGTTTAATCTTTCTGACCGTGAGTAAAGTTCTAGAGCTCCCGTGGTAGATGATAGATTTAGGGCGCTTGTTAACGAGATGATTTCTACCCGATTTCTACCCTGGCCGGGGCCGACTGAGCTTGTTCACGAGCATGGTTTGTAAGTTTGTACCGACCAAAACCGTCGTTAATTTTAATCGCCCGGTCGTCAGCTAAGTATGGGATATTGGAGACCCGGCGAAAAACCTGTTGTTAGCAAGCGCCCTTAGGGTAACTAACGCACGCGTGATATTGTACAGTATTGCAAGCGGTAATAAGCTATCTATGGCAGATGCTTACCTATAGGTGGGTCATAATTATGCTTGTTTACCATCCTTTTTTCATAAAAATCATTTTTAGATTGCTTATTTTCACCAAAATAAAAAAAAAGATTTAGGTTGACCAAATTAAATTTTAATTGAAAAATTACCGTCATATTAGTACACGCATGTTTATTTAGGTTAACTGAGCAAGCCGAAAGTAATCACCTAATAACCAAATTGCTTTAACATCACAGCGCTCGGTATCGGGAATGCACGTATCGATTTAGTAATAACGAACGAGTAAGCAAACATACCCCGAATCAACATTGTATGTACGAAGCACTTAAAAACATTACGATATAGACGTGCTAGGGGAAAATTTACGCTAATAATTTTATCTTCTCTCTTTGAATTTCATCTTTAGGAATTCTTAATGTATACATGTTACGCACTTACAATAATGTTATGATTGAATTCTCTTAGAGCACACTCGCAATTATATATTCTCATTATGCTAACGTTTCTGAGAATTGGTATATGAAATTAGAAAGAAGCTTAGAATCAACGAATAAATTATACTAAAGCTATAATTTTGAATAACTTCTGTCAAAAAGAAATTATAGTTCATATGTATACAACTATAGGTACTAATTAAACAATTTAATTTAAAGCAATCAAGTGAAACTTAAATATTACATTTTGCAGATTCTTGAAGAGCAAGAATTAAATTAATACCTTATGTCAGTATAGTGATTTTCCATTTATTGGTTAGCAAAGCCCCGTGCAAAGCTAATTAAAAGCTGTAGCCTGCAGGGATCTTCCTAGTGTATTCGAAGCGCTTTGTGTCGGTAGATATTTCCAGGAAACTATTAAGAGCCCCCAGCTAATACGAACGTGGAAAGTAGTTAACGCCCATACAATGTTTACGAAATGCGACATAATTCGTCTACCGGCTTTGTGTGTAGCCAACATCCAGCACCCTCATCTTTTCTTGACATCTATTAAATTAGATTGTCACATTTGAATTTTGATTCATAACTTACTGTAAAATAAATTGCTTTAGTGATATTAACGTATTCAATTGATACATAAATAGAACAAATCTTTGGCATGATAAACACAAATTAGGATAGATAGATAGTGAAAGAACCTGATTTCCTTTTAGATTACATGGAAATGTAATTAATTACATAGCTACTTAGTGAAAGTATAAAAATACAAATATTTATTCTGGTTTACCAACCACATAGGCGAATTTCATTTTTTTGTAATATAGACATCATGGACTAAGCATTCCCTGTAAATTAACGAAATAAGGCCGAGCCAGACGACGACGTGATCGTGCGGTCTATAATAATTTATATACGAGTAGTTTGTATTGGCACCGTCTCTTTATTTCTAGAGAATTCTCAATTTCATACGAGTGTCGCTTTCGCTCAATATTTTTTAGATCTATGATCATTTACGATACTCAACATTTATGAGATTTTACGGCCGCTCGCTGAGAAGTCAATCAACTTTTAAGTTGCCGTTGACCACTTAAAGTAAAAACTTTTTTTAAATAAAAACATCAGGGGTATGTTTTTTTACTTAAAAAAAAAGTTTTACTAAAGTTGAAGCTGCCATTTTCTTTGCGTTAACAATTAGTTTGAGACAACACTTATTGAAGCCATATTATATTAATTTGAGGTTTCTGTGTACGGCTGTTAATTGTTCAATCGAAATTCATGTTGCAGACTGGAGCTGTTCCGGAAAGTGCCTAACCTGCGCGTGCTGGCGTGCGGCGGAGACGGCACCGTGGGTTGGGTGCTGAGCGTGCTGGATCGAATCGGCGCGCGGCCGGCAGTGGGCGTGCTCCCGCTTGGCACCGGCAATGATCTCGCGAGGGCGCTCGGCTGGGGCGGGGTGAGTAACATACTACATTGCGCAGATTGGAAGTTCTTCCGTAAAGTGCCTAACCTGCGTGTGCTGGCGTGCGGCGGGGACGGCACCGTGGGCTGAGTATATGCGTGATGGACCTCATCGACTCGCGGCCGGCAGTGGACGTTCCCACTTGACACTGGCAATGATCTCGCGAGGGCACGTTTGGCTGGAGCGGGGTGAGTAGCATACTACATTACGCAGACTGGAAGCTGTTCCGTTAAGTGCCTAACCTGCGCGTGCTGGCGTGCGACGGGGACGTGGGCCACCGTGGGCTGGGTGCTATGCATGCTAGACTGCATCGGCTTGCGGCCGGCAGTGGACGTGGTCACGCTTGGCACCGGCAATCATCTCGCGAGAGCGCTCGGCTGGGTCGGGGTGAGTAACTATACTATATTGTTGACGTTACTCTCCCGAAACACGGTGGCCTATAGCCTCCTAGCTGGCGAAATGCAAGCTTTTTGTTTACTATATTAGCATTCCAATATTACAAAAATAAATAAAAATGCAGTGCTTTCTTCTCCTTGGCTACGGGCGTGTCTGCAAGTCGACGTCCCCTTAGCTTGTGTAGTGTTAGTAAATATACTATAGTGCGATTGTGATATAATGGCGGTTGTGAAGTTAGCGCAAGTCGCGTCATGTTAAACTAAATGTACAGTGATGTAGGCACGTGGGGGAAAAGCTGAAACCTAGGTAGAAACATAAATTATGACTTTTCCATCTCCAGATGGAATTCTCTCATTAATATTGACTATTTATTATATTACTATGCTCACTCGGTAAACTTACATAAATACTAATAGGGGTGATGACGGGGTACAGTAAACGAAATTCTATTTAGTCCGTCAGTTAGATGATCAAAAAATAATGGACACGTATTTTTTCTTTGGGCAATCAACCAAAAAATGACAAAGTTATAGCGCGTCAAACTTGGGAGTAGGGGCTCGTGACGTCACTTTTGAGTGAATTTTCACTTATAAGTGTACTCAAACGTGACGTCATGCGACTTTTCAAATCAATATATCTCTGCAATGTTTATATTATGTGAAAAAAGAAAAAATACGTGTCCAATACTTTTTGATAATCTACCTGATAAACGAAGAAAAAAAAATAGTCATCATCCTTATTCTTACTAATAAAAGTGGAAGTTTGTAAGATTGTTTGTTTGTAACTCAATCACTCAAAAGCTACTGAACGGATTTTGATGAAATTTGGTACGCATATAGTTTATGGCTTGGAATAGAATTTTTTATCCCGGAGAAATGACAATTGCTAGGTTTCTGAGGTATTTTCAAAAAAAAGAAGAAGTTCGGGCGGTTGCTAGTAATTCTAAAATCAAAATCTGTTAAAACAGCAAACTCAAATTACTAAATAATACATAGAGAATACTTTGTGTTTAATAACCCTAATCTTACGCTAAGAGAGAAATCCGAACTGAAAATCTGAGTCACTGTATTATACAATAAGAACAATGTAGCTTACGTGACAATGTAGATGTGTCTTGAGACGAAATTATTGACTTGCGTGTTGCAATGTTTGCGTTTAATTTTAACAAGAGCTTCTATTCATTTATTGGTCACATGATTCCATTCCATGTCTCAAATTCCCTGCGTAATATCTTTGTCGTGACCTTTATTGAATATTCATATTCGAAATGCTTGCTGCAGAAGAAGAGGCGACACTCGATGAATATGCATGCCGAGATTACCTGTCGCTCTTCTTCAGTGTTCTTTAACGAGCCCGTAGACAGTGTTTATCGCGTTGTCCCTCATCAAAATTATATTTTCTCCCCAAAATGAGAAACAATCTCGGAAGGGAGTAATTTGCGTCATTGTAACGAGTCAGTCGCCGTAGCTAATGCCCCGGAAACTCGCGCCGCCGCGACTAAGCCCGAGAGAGTTGAGGTGTAGCGGTCTCTTTTGTTTAGACATGGAAAACAACAAATATTCTTAATTAAAATCAATTCTTTCACGCTTTTGTTTCTTGTCAATGGGATTCTAGGCTATTATTCATTTAATAATCTGTTTCAAAACCAATTGAAAATGTTTGGTATCAGTTTATTAATTAAATAGGGACATAATTAACGACAAGTTACTTTTGCTATACTTGTTGTTTTATTATAAATGTAGCTGTATTTAAATTATTCTCTAATGCATAATGAAAATGGCAAAACAGAAAGAAGGTTATTTAAGATAAGGTATTAATTTATATAATTAAAATTACTGAAGTGATAAGTGAGTCCCTTGTCTTCTTATTAAAAAGCTCGCAATCATCTGACTCTTAGTAATCGAATAAATAAAATATGAAACACAGATGACAAAATATTGTAGTCGACGACTTTCATAAATCCACTTCCCGTATCCAAATCCAACCGGAATGGAAAGATAAATAAAATATTACATTTCATTTCATTGAATCGAGCGAGAAAAAATAACACTTTGTGTTGAATGGAATACATAAAAGCTTCTTCAGAGTGTTCTGGTCCCCACGGCTAATAAGCACAGCGGATGAGGACATTAATTTCGCTCCTTTTGATCCGTTAGCAATTGAAGGACCCAATTGTATTATGTGCGTACAAAAATAGACTCTATATGGTATCTCCCAATTACGATATTTATTAATAAGTATGTTTATAATTTTGCACAGATTCTCCGATATTTACGTTAAGCATATCAACAATTTCGCGAGCATGAGCCAGTAATCCAATAACTGTTCTTTATTATCAACAAGAAATCTTAATTTGTGGGTGATTTCACAGCGGCTCAACAAAGTATAAAATGTAAAAATTAGTTCAATGACAACTTTTTATATTCCATATTCGGTGCAATATTTTTTCGCACAAAAGACTGACTAGCAACTGGGCAGCAACTGTTTTTCCTCCCCCTAGTGGAACAATAGAATTTATTTAACGACCTGAAACTGAGTCTTAAACTGAAATAAACAAAAGCGTCCTTTCTATTCTACAGATAGCCATTAATTACCTGCAAAAAGTTTTTTGGCCTTAATAAAAGCCGATAATGGTAATTAATATGCGTAATTTATTGAAGCCTTTTACGTCTCTTATTGAATGAAACTTAATTGAACCTGCCTAAAGTCTATCTATCAATTGATTTAGTCGCAATACATTTTATTTTATTATTATGAAGTATGTACTTAGGTTTTACTTTGAGGAGCTCGATGGCGCGGCTGGCTAGCGCGTTCGGCTGCGATCGTTGAAGTTAAGCAACTTTCGCAGTGGTCCTCATTGGATGGGTGACAAAACATCTTCTATCTCGAGTTCTTCCGTGCTTCGGACGGTACGTTAAGCCGTTGGTCCCGGCTGCATCTGCAGTCGTTAGCACCCGCCAATCCGCACTGGGCCCGTGTGGTGGGTCATCCCCCAATCTCCCTATTCCATCCATAGGGAATGCCTGTGCTCCAGTTGTGGGGACATTAATAGGCTGATGATGATGATGTACTAAGGTTTTACTTTGAACCAATTAAAATAAAACATTAATTAATCTTTTGCATTCTCACAATAAATCAGTTGCTGTCTTGAATGTGATGATATTGGATAGAATAAATTTAAGGCGACATAATTCAAGATCTTAACAAAATGGAATTAATTTATATTTACTTACTTAATTTATGATTATAAACTCGTAGTAGCTAGTTCTCTTAAATACTTATTTAAAGTGAAAATTTTATTTTGATATACGAATAAGTTTCTCACAAGAAAAAATCCTACGCAAGCGAGCTTTTCAGCACGTAATTGCTACGGTGATTTTCATGCTTGAAAATCACGCTGATTTGACCTTCCCGCCTCGTTTACCGGTTTTGTGGTTAGGTCGTAACACAGATCCAGATCTGGAGCCATGAAGGGCCAGCCCTTAAAACATTTAACCGCATCAAGGTTTGCATGTTTTATTTAGTCAACTGTTGCTTCTCACAAACGATTCGAAACTCTGTATACGAGTAACGAGTTAAGTTTTGTAACGTATGCGCGCATGTTAGTAAGTTTTTTTTTATTAACATAAAACTTTTTATAGATAACCATAAGTACACCTACAAATTAACCCACGCGTGGGCCTAATGTGGATTGATATGTGCTATAGAATAGATGTAACTTAAAACCAAGGGCTTAACTTACCGCAGACAATGTCTTTGAACCTATACCTTTGTATGTAGGTATCTTTTTTCACTAGGGTTCTTATTAGTTATTGTGGCAAATAAGCACGGACTCACATAATGCACCATGAATCGCCAGATACATTTACCATATTGTTGTGAAATTAGCAATTTTGTTTTTTTTCGATGACTAGGAAAAAAAAATATTATATCCACGTACAAATCCACACAATGACCAGCGCGCCGAGGTGGTTTGCTGTTAACAAGCCCCTTCGACGAATGTAATTGCACGGTGAATTCGGCCAGCGAGAGCGTTCCAAAGGTTGCTCTTCGGTGTAGGTATTTTAGAGAACACTTTATATTACAGGGCTATGAAGACGAGCCGATTTCGAAGATCCTGGCAAACATAGGTGAGAGCGACACTGTGCTGCTAGACCGATGGCAGTTGACGGTGGAGCAAAACACAGCGGCCGCCGCTGAAGACACCACCCACGCCAAGCCCGAGCTGCCGCTCAACGTGGTCAACAATTACTTCTCCTTCGGCGTCGACGCTCACATAGCCCTGGAGTTTCACGAGGCGAGAGGTATTAAAAACGCATTTCTACTTCCGGCTTTATGTTCTCCCGTCGAGTTTTTTTCATAGTAAAACTAGCTTATCACTTAAGGGTATAAAAATTAAGCTACAATCTATTCTCAGATCTACCAAATATATACAAAAAAAAAAAAACATAAAATTCGGTGAAGGCGTTTCGGAGGAGTTCGATAACAAACACTGTGACACGAGTTTTTTTAGATTTTGTTTATATTTATAATCACAGGTCTGCAACAAAAATGCTGTCTAGATGTTTTCAACTGATTTATATGTATTTTGGTGTTCTGAAGACTAAAAAAATACTCAATAAATTTCAGAACGTCATTTTTTTTAATATTTTCTTTTCATTCCACCTCGACTAGTTTCCAGAAAATGCAGGAAACGTAAGTGAAGGACAAGGTGAACCATTTCACCGAGATGATAAGGAGATAAATGGATACCAGGGATGATGGAGCGCCTCAATGATAGCAGATTGCTGTTAAACGCTTCAGAGAGACCTTCCAGATGCTTCCTACAAGCAAAAATGTACCAAAAGTGATCTCACTGGGAAAAAGAAACGTGTTTAGTGCTTACTAATGAATGTAGTTTAGATAAAAAAAATAGTTTCGTTACATAGGTAATTAAAATAAAAAAATATGTGGTCTTTTAAATTTTATTTAAAGATGATAACTTGTTTAAAGTAGATCCTATATTGTCAGAAAACGTGGCGTTCTACGACAAAATGAAAGTCATTTTCGGATTCAGCATACCCAAAAACATAAGAATCACGCAAAAAAACCAAAACAGCTTTCAATTTTTTTTGCATACTTGTGTAATGAATGAAACAGTTTAATGCTATAATCAAAACATATTATTATAAAAGCATTTTCAATCTTAGACACGCGCCACATCCGAAGCAAAACGAGGTTTGTTCGGAGATTCCGGTGTGGCATTTAAATCCAAAGTTAATATTTATAGAAACGACTCTCTCGAGTGTTTAGAGTTAAGTAACTTGTCTAAACACTGATGAAAAGCACAGATTTCTGGCAACTTATAACGTAAACAGATTAAACGCTTGTTTTTACTTCAAAGTGAAGTAATAAGAAGCACTTGAGAAATTCTATTTAGGCATGCTTGAGAAATTCTGGATATTAAATTACTCTGTTCGAAGATCAAACTTAACAAAACGTAGGCTCGAGTCCTGTCTGCAAGTTAAATAGTAATGCTTTGAAATAACTTTTTAACGCTCAGTTATTTACAAAACGCCAACCATTTTACCCCTTTTACAGGGAGGCGGAAGATCAAAAGTGTGGGAAAATGTGATAGACAAATATACCTACATCTACATCCGTGCAAAATGTCAGTCACAACTTTGGCGTTGGTTGGGCTTCAAATTGTAGTTCATAAACAATAGCAACATGTCGCCGTCTACGATAGTTTGCGAGACTGCCACAACACTTGATAGACTTTTATTATCTTCGAGGGACTTTCAATAGCTGGCGCATTTTATTTTCCTTTGGCGTTAAACTATTAGAACTTCAATATATTTCGTACTGTAGCAAGAAAGAAGGTGTTGAATTAAGCGCGTTAGGAAAATCCAGTTAATCTTTTTATTAATACGTGTTTTAAAAAGGTTCGTAGCCCTTTTTAAAGACATTGCTCATAGAGGAGGGTGATTTTTGCATTATTATGGTTTGTTAACGGTATTACGCGACAGTTTTACTCTAAAGCGAGTAATAATCAAAGTGTGAATCGCATAACTGACAACTCGAAGGCTCGTTCGTAGGACGTGTTGTTTACTCGCTTCAGAGTAAAACTATCGAGTAATACCGAATGTGAGTATGCCATTTTTTAAAAAATGGAGCAAGATCGGCATATCAGTATTTACGACGTAGCTGAAGAACTGGGAATTAACCTCATAACAGTTTTGGCGCATTTAAAAAAGCTGGGTACATAAAAAAGCTTGATATTTTGGTGCCTCACGAGCTCGCTAAAAGAAACCTAATGAACCTAGTGTACTCATTTGGGATTCTTTATTACGACATAATAAACCGAAACATTTTTGAAGGAGCTGTATAGATAAGAAAACTGGTGATGAAATGTGGATCACGAACGACAAGAACAGAACGAAACACAAGTAGCGAAAAAGGTCATGATCAAAGGCCGTTTGGGCTTCACAAGACTGGCGAAACCCGGGTTAATTCGCAACGAGGTGATGCTGTGTGAGTTTGGTGAGATTGGAAAGGCATTATTCATTATGAGCTGTTACCGCCAGGCAGGACCATCGATTTTGAACGTTACTGCGGACAACTAATGAGATTAAAGGATGGAGTTCAGAGAAGTCGGCCGGAATAATCAACATAAGGGATGTGGTTTTTCTTCATGATAACGCTAGACCTCACACATCTTTAGCCACTCAGTAAAAATTAAGAGAGTTTAACTGGGATGTGTTAATGCATTTGCTGTATAGCCCTGACCATGCACCTTCAGATGTTTCGGTCTCTTCAGAATTCTTAAGGCAGTGTCAGGTTAACATCACAAAAGGACTGCCAAAACCAGTTGCTCCCGGTTTTTTGTTCAGAAGCCCCAAAATTTCTAAAGTAATGGGATCATGTCCCTACTCGCAAGATAGCAAAAAGTTATCGAACAAAATAGAACCTGCATACTTTAGTTAAATGGAAATTAACTTTATTAAAAATAGTTTTGAATTTTCATATAAAATGCGATATTTCATAAAAAAAATGTGTTTAACACACATACAATGACTCTTTGACAGAAGAAACTAATGATAGAAGACAACAATCTAAAAAGGTCGAAGTTACCCATAGGCGACCATTAGTTCAATTAATTTATTCAATACCGTATTATGTTATTGGTAATGTTTCAGGATTAGTTTTATAAAATGTTGTTAAGTGAAAGTGAAATTAATCACTAAAGTGACTTCTCTTTTATTAATCATTGTTTACTCTTCTTTCTTTCTTTATTCTTTGATTGGAATAGACATTATGATATTTTCAACGAATATTCGATATTTCCAATCTGATTTCAATGTAATATCCCACTTTAATTCTCACTGCACCTGTCACTCAACTGGCAAGTAATTACGACAGAATCAGTCATTAAAATAAACCAATCCGTAAAATTTAATACTGTTTACTTAGGGGAATTTAATTATACTTTGTGCAAATCTAGGTTATTGTTATATTATCAAGGAGAAGACGCCAATCTCAAACATCAACTTTAATAAAATCCAATTTTCATTATTTCACAACATACTTAAAGATAGAGGACAATAACAAGGCAACAAGTATAACATTTATTGGTCTCTTAAATTAACCTGGATCATGAACCCTTTCGACCTTTCGCTATCGAAAAATATCCGTCGAATGCTCTTGCCATTAACTACCGAGCGGAAATGGAAATCTGTGATAAGCCGGCAGCGTATTTCCATTCATTATCGCTAATCTCCGAGCAACTTATGATTTTTTGTGCGACTCATCTTCGAATTTATTTAGCAATTAGTGGCCCGGCCTCGCTTCCCTTCGGTGTAGAGCTGTAGTGTGGACAATAGTTTTTGTTCTTAGGATTGTATTTATACACAATGACTTTCTTCATATAATTATAAAACTTCCGTGAAAATTTATTTAACTGATAGTGAAAATTTCGTTGCGTAGTTGAGGACCCGTTGTACCGAATGCACCATTGCTCTGCTGTTAAAAAAAGTTTCTTCCCCTTACCATTGGTCCATGTCCTTATTATTAAACTTATGTAGTGTCGCAGTGGTTTTTACACAGCCATTCATAATTATCATTCATAATTATTGCACTCATAATAGCTTTTGAATGGTATGCAATTTGGGAATGTTCTAAGTCAAAAGTAATTTCAAAAATTTTATTCTAGACTGTCAGGTACCGGCATAGTCTTAAATAAGAAGTGATTTATTTGGATAAGAATTAATACCCGGGCACGAAGAATGTGGCTTAGTTTGTACCAGCGCACGTTACTATTGCATATTTTAACACGAAGAAGTAGGTAGTTAGATATACAGACATACTAATATCAAAAAGTTGAAGATTTGTTTGTTTGTTTCTGTGTTTTTTTTTTGTTGAATGCGCACCAGCGACCTGTATCTCAAAAAATACTGGTCTGATTAGAATTAAATATTTTTGTGTTGGATAGTGCATTTATCGAGGAAGGCTTTAGTCTATATAACATCACGTTAGGACCAGTAGGATGAAAATGTTGCAAAAGCGTGTAAAAATATTCCTCTTGTGAGCTTCGGTTGCTTGCGCTGGGTCAACGATTAAAGTTACATAAAATTATGTACGACGTATTTGTTCTCCTTTAAAAGTTCTATAAAAAAAAGTCGGCGACAGCATATAATGATTCTTTTAAGTTGGACTCATTATAACATTTTTCCTCAAATTAACGCCGTTGAAACCGCACCCCTAGTTGTGATATAACTGTAATAGTTAGACATATGGTATTACGGACTTTTTTGTAGATATTGATGTCCTTCATAAAACTTTAGTACATCATTTTGCTCTATTATCAATGACTTTCGCAGCGTAAACGATAAACGTAATATTTTTTTTATTTTTTTCACACCCTGGATTACATTATCGGAGTTTACATACTGAACCCAAACTTTATTGAAAATTCGCAATAGCCTATTTTCATCGAGTATAATGTAGGATTCCGAATGTGAAAGGATTTTTCAAATCGATTCAGTAGTTTCAGAGCCTATTCAATACAAACAAACAATCAAATCTATTCTCCTGAGATTGTGGGTTACCTATAATGCGAAGAGATGGCGCTGCCATGCAGCTTAAGAATGGCTAGAGGAATTTCGACGCTGTCGTTAGGGCCGCGGTAGCATAATTGGTCAGTGCGTTCGCCCGGATAGCGATGGGTGCGGGTTCGAGTCCCGTCTGCTGCCTGGTCCGCGTGGAATTTTTCTAGTTATATTTTCTTTAGATTTAGAAATCTATTCTCTTTATAATATTAGTATAGATAACTTTTACACATATGAAATGTTATTTTTAAACGAATTTAAAGAAACGCACATTGTAAAAAACCTATGGATGACCAATCGACATTGGGCTATTCTGTTGCTCAGGTTAGAAAAAAAATATTAGCCACACAAAGCGGCTTAGCGTGCACCATATTACAAAACATCATAGCAAGCACAACGCAGAAAAGTTTTATGGTATAAAACTTTTACGGCATTCTTAAAAAAGATTTGATTGACCGTTTATTACTTAATTGTTAAGTGAGGAGCTCGATAACGTAGGTGGTTAGTGGTTAGCTCATTCAGCCTGAGATCGTGGAAGTTAAGCAACTTTCGCAATGGTTGGTCATTGGATGGGTGACCAAAAATTTATTATCTCGACCTGCTCCATGCTCCGGAAGGCGCGTTAAGCCGTTGGTCTCACCGTCGTGCAGTCGTTAACGCCTACATCTGCAGTCGTTACCACCCACATCTGCAGTCGTTAGCGCCCACAAATCCGCACTAGGCCCGCGTGGTGGGTCACGGCACGGCCCAGTCTACTTATTCTATCCAAAGGGAAGGCTTGTGCCCCTGCAGTGAGGATATTTATAGGCTGATGATGATGATGTGAATAGACAGGACCGAGGATAGAATAGAATAGAAACGTAAAGTTTCATCTGACTCGTCTTTTGTTCTACCTATTGAACCTTATTCAGCTTCATCTTCATCAGCCTATTACTGTCCCTACTGCTGGGGCACATGCCTTTCCTATAGATGGAATAAGGAGATTAGGCCGTGACCGACAACGAAGGCTCTGTGCGGATTGGTGGGTGCTAATGAGATACAGATGCACCCAGGACCAACGGCTTACCGTGCCTTTCGAAGCACGGAGGAGCTCGAGATAGTAAATTTTTGGTCACCTGTCCAATGACCGACCACTGCGAAAGTTGCTTAATTTCAACGATCGCAACCGAGCGCGCTTGCCATTTGCGCCATCGAGCTCCTGCCATAAAGCAGCTTAAATTTACTACTTTGCTTATCACCAGAGGCGCATCCAGAGAAATTCAACTCGCGCATACGAAACAAGTTGTTCTACGGCACCGCTGGCGGCAAGGACCTGATGCAGCGAAAATGGAAGGGGCTGGCCGACTTCGTGACCATGGAGTGCGACGGGAAAGACCTCACGCCGGTCCTAAGAGAGCACAAAGTTCACGCTATTGTTTTTTTAAACATTCCAAGGTACGTAGAAATATATTATATTAACCCGCAAAACTAAGCATCACACTTTTAAAATTTATTAACTTTTAAAATTTATGCACTTTCGAAATAAAAAGGACTCGAAATTGAGTTTAATTTTGTACTACAGTTTCAAAGAAAACTGATGAAAGGACATTGGGCAAAAATATATGGTCGCTGCACCCACGTCCGCCCCGGCTTAAACTAGTTCGTCATAGTTCTTGTACATATTTAACTTAAAATAACTAAAGACTCCCGGGATGGAATTTGATGCGCTTTGGCACAAATGAACATGACTATGTTATTCTGCCACGTTAGAGTAAATCCAAAAACCCCGGCATGGGTTGGGGTTTTTTCAAACAGTATGTTCGTTAAAGTAAATTGTCTTCTATGTAAAACGGAGCGACCACAAATCACACAAACTTGTCCACGCTTCGGAGAAAACATGATTCCAGTTCATCCATACTAATTGACAAAGAAATGAGTCACCAAATTACTTTGTACGCGTTGGAATTGTGGCCACAATACGACGGTGACAACGTAGGCCAGCTCGCGTGGTCCTCTGAAGGAAAGGGGAAGGTGGGATAAGAGAGAATAACTCCTCAGAATACACGCCGTGGTACAGACGATAGAACGCGCTTAGTGACGCCACGTCACGGCTCAAGGTGTTTAGTCACCTCCTCATCGCCTATGATGCGGATCGCGCGCCGCTGTAACCTATCCAAAGCATCGAGCAAGTACTTGCGAGCAATATTCCACGCAGGACCGCACTTGCGTTTTGTACAACAAGCACAGTTGATCGGGCGTGAAAGAACGCCGCACCTTGTTCAGGACTCCGAGTTTGCGTGAAGCTGTTTTGATCACGGTTTCGATGTAGTCCTTTGGATTCAGGTCTGAGCGAACTTCCATACCGAACATGGAAATGTTACTCTGTAGCGGTAGTGTTTTGCCCTGAAGATGATAAATAAATAAAATAAATATAAAGTAAGATGAGGGGTCAGATGGTTATTAAGGAGCTTTTCTAGAACTTTACATAAAACTGAGATGACTGCTATTGGCCGGTAGTTTGCCGGGTCTGAGCGATCCCCTTTTTTGGGCACCGGTTGCACCTCTCCAAGTCTCCGGCACACGCCCCAAAGAATACGAGCATTGGTACAAGCGCGTGAGCACAGGAGACAACTCCGTTGCACATTTTTTCAGTACTACTGCTGGGATGCCATCAGGTCCACTAGCTTTCCGGACGTCGAGTGATTGCAATTCGGCACGAACCTCACACTGCCTGATTTCAATATCAGGCATCGTTGTGCCACAATGAGGTAATGATGGTGGTAGTGCATTACAATTATCGATTCGGGAGTTAGCCGCAAAGAGTTTTGCCAGTAAATCGGCTTTCTCCTGCGGCTTATGAGCTAGTGTTCCGTCTGGGCATCTCAGAGGTGGCAGCGAGGGCTGGCAGAAGGTTTTTTGCGCGGCTTTGGCCAAACGCCAGTAGCTACGGGAGCGTAGGATGCGTTATAAGTTCCTGGCCAATACGTGCAACGCGCTGGGCATCCGCTCTGATGTAAGCCTTCTTACAGGCCTTGGAAGCAAATTGTAGGCTGCTTTGAGTGAATCGACCTCGGGATCCTTAAGAGCGCGGCCTCTGACCCAATATATATATATATATATATATATATATATATATATATCATATATTTTTTTTATTAATATTTTTTTATTTATATTAATAATGAAACTATTGATTTCTTATATTACATGAAAGATCTTATAATTAATTGTTTTTAAAAGTTTTTGATATAATAACATGTAAATTAAAATTATTTGTGATAACAATATGAAAACAATAACATAAACATACTTTTTTTGTGAGTATTCAATTGATATTTTATAAAAAAACATTTTTTTCTAAAAATGTCATAAAAATTGTTTAAACAATATAAAATAGTTATTTATTATACAAGAGTGGAAAGTTCCTTTTTAACCGCGTGCTCGATTTGGATGACCGAGCAAGCGAAGGATTCTAAAGTTGAATCACGAGCGCAGCGAGTGATTCTAAATTAGAATCCTGAGCGTCAGCGAGGGAAACAAACGAGCACAAGGTGAAAAATCTTTCCACTCGAGTGCAATACGTAACTTTTCATCCCACCTCAGCGAGGAAATGACAAAATGAAAAAGAAAACAATTTATAATGACAAAATATTTAAGCAATAAAACGTGAAAAACTAGAATGGCGCGAAGCACGCAAATAAAACAAAGAAACCAAGAAGGTTCCAAATTTAAATTTTTTCACAATTTAAAAAGTTCTAATCATAAATTTGGCACCATAGAGGTTACATTAAATAGGTTTAATGACGTTTTGAATTTACAATTATATTGAGTACTCATTATATGTGATGTTCTAAATTCAAATCTACTTTGCCGCTCAAGCGAATAAAATAGAATTTTCCAGCCAGATTTCGAAGCGCAAAATTACACTTTCCGAGGTGGTGGGATGAAAAAATATTTCCCCCTCTCCAGAGGTTTCTGATTTCAAATAATATAAAAAAACAAAATTATTTAAAAAAAAAATTGGTTATAAATAATATTAGTACAATTTTATTTGACCTAAAGAAAATATGTAAGAAGCTGTCTGTATGCATTAAACAATTATCCATTAATTTAACTTTTATATTGATAACTAAACTCGTATTGATTTTAAGGAAAATATAATCAAATTGAATTTCAAAATCACATTCAGAATAGTTTTCTGCATTGTGTCATCTAGGATTTAAAAGGAAACCTCAGATATGCATAAATCGTTTTACTTGTTACTTTGGTACGGCTACTGTGGACCTCCATACTGTGGCCTCCATTTCAAGTGCTTTTAACATGGAAATTACTTGAAACCTTAATTATTATTTAGTGTAGTAGCATCAGCGACGAATAATCGGTTCGTTACCCTAAAACTTACACAGTATGTTTCTATCAGAAAAGGTTAATATACGAGTAGATAGACAAAAATATAAAATAAATTGTGTATCCACTAAAGCTGTCTTATGTATGTATACGTACGTACCATACATACGTACGTATACGTACCAATTTATAGAGTTAATGTACCATTGTCTTTAGTAAGCATAGCGTAAGTTATACAACATAATTAACGAGATTCCCTTGACATCAATTACAGCAAAATTATTATGTGGCACGTTGATATACCACTAAAGGATGCCTATTTTGATGTATTCCCGTGTTTGGAATTTAGCTTTGACTTCATTTGCAAATATAAAAAAAGGATGAATTCGGTAATACAAAATACCAAATATGGCTTAATTAAGACATCACAGTTACGGAAGTAGTATATGTTTCAAAAATTTCTAATGTTATAACGATGACTATTTTTTTAAAGAAATATAAATTTAATATTTAGTCAGCTTTAAATTTCAAAGCAGTCGCTCTGTTAATATATCTGAACAAAGTTAATTTAGTATGAAAAATTTGATTACCAATCCTATTTTATGATTATTAAATCATTATCTTTTGTTGATCAATATAATTAGAGAAAAATACTTAGAGAGCAAAAGAAACACAAAGGAGAAGAAAGAGACAAGGGTATGTATGGCCGCAAAAAATTGTACAAATAACATTCATGACATCGTAACACACGTTACATACATGACCATCATAAAGCTTAGTTCATAATAGAACCTATTATAGTAGTTCTACTGGTACTAAATAGTTCTAGGCATGTGGTGGTGATATTATATTTTTTTGATTAACGTTTGGCTTTAGATTTTTTCTTCATATAATATTCTTTGGTTAGCCCATCTTCTTTGTTGTTTTCGTACCAAGAATGTGTTGTCATGAGTTTTAGCACTAACACTTCAGTGATATTATCATTTTTCGCAGTATCTTTTGACTTCATTCTACGACGATTTTGACTGGCTCGCCACTGTTTTCTTTTCAATCTACATATTATTTTCTTCTGTACATTCCGTGGTTTTCTTTCTCTTTTTATTTTTTTCTGCATTTTTTGATTTTATTTCTTCGTACTTCGAAGGATTTTGGGTTCATAACTTTTCACGATATTTTGTTTGCCTTTCGGCATTGGTCAAAGGCATCTGAATATTTATTTATAACTTATTTTATCCTACTAATATTATATATGTGAAAGTTTGTATGTTCGTTACTCAATATAGTATAAACATATACGTTTTTGCGTGATTGAGTAACGAACATACAAACATTCAAAGGATTCTCAAAAAACCAAAGTTAACTCAGACGAAGTCGCGGTAAGGTGATATTTTAAGTAAAATAGTGTAATCTCACTTCACCTTAGAATCGGTCATGAACGAATTTGTAACGTTACACATTTCGTTTCACATTGTAACATTCATGACACAAAATAGCGTGCGACATAACCTAAAATTCAAATATCATTTAATTGCAAACAACTATGGATTGTTACCGTGGGGTTACCGTTTTCAGTGATAATACATCTTTCTAAACACGTTAACAGTATACCACAACAAGCAGTAATAACCTTGCAATCAAACATACAAAAATCAATATTTTTTGGCGACAAATCTGAAGTCAACACAAATCACGATTTTTATTCGGAATAATATGGCCAATTTTTATTTCTGAATGTTGGCGTCTTGTTAATAGTGTTGCTTAATAGTGTTGCAATTTATGAAAATAGAAAAATTAACAAATCACATAAAGGAAACACTCATCATAAAATTGGACACTTTTTTAAAAACGATTAAATATGTAACTGAAACGCTATTTTTATAAGCACGTTTAGAAACACATTGAGAAAGTATGATAAAGCATGAGTACAATTTAATAATTAGAAAAAACTATTTTTTTTCGGAACTATTGGCAATTTTTGATACAAAGGTTGTAGTTAGCCAAACAATTTTTGTATGGTGAAAGCAGTACTTTTTAAATTATATTTTTTTTTTACATATATTTTTTAGGGATGGTAGGTTACATTTCATCAAAATAATCTAAATAGAAGCTCGTCATTCAGAACAATGTACAACAAATGAAATTTATCAAATAACTTGGAAATTATATAATTATAATAATAATTATATTTGTACAATTTTTTGCGACCATACCCACAATCATTTATAAAAATATATACCTACCCGCCCAAGTATTTCGAAACAAGTTCCATTAAACTAAAGAAATTGGGAACTTTCACGTTCACATCTCTGTGGAATATTGATCAGTGCATAAACCCGAAGCCCCGAATAGCGAATGATTCGATTACTGTCTGAGCTGAGAATTTAAATTCTCAATCTCAATCAATCACAAAATACTATTGATGAAACACTTTTAAACGGACATAAAATTACGATTTATTCAACCTAACATATTATGTAAGTATGTCTCGGATCCTTTACAGACTCTCTTGTCGTGAAAACATAAGAAATAATGAAAGTCTAGCAATGAAATGCTTACATAAATACATATTAAAGTTCCTCTAAGTGACACTTACACTACGAGTATATTAAAATCGGGCCGGACTTTAATTTGCTGTAACTTTACACCCACACTACCGAAGTCTTAGTGTTGGCTCCGTCGTTGAAAGTGGGTTTCATTAAATGAAATATCTTAGCAAGCGTCAGGTGTAGCTCAGTGCTGCTTCCCAAATCCAATAAGGAGAGTTGACGTAAAATGTTGAGATGTGTCTTGTTTATAGCTACGGAGGCGGGACCCACCCGTGGAACAAGTCGGGCGGCGCCGTGGAGCCCTCCACAGAAGACGGCCTTATAGAAGTAGTAGGATTAACGACATATCAATTGGTGAGTATCTGTCCAGTTATAAGTATAATATCATTGGCGAAGCTAGGAAATTTTCCTAGGTGGGCAGCCGTCTTATTAAACTTACATTCATTCTGAAATTAATTACAGTAAAAATTACGGCCAGCGCATTCGGCTGCGATCGTTGAAGTTAAGCAACTTTCGCAATGGTCGGTCATTGGATGGGTGACAAAAAATCTTCTATCTCGAGTTCCTCCGTGATTTGGAAGGTATGTTAAGCCGTTGGTCTCATCTGCATTAAAGTCGTTAGCACCCGCCAATCCGCACATGGCCAATTCTCCCTATTCCATCTATAGGGCAGGCCTGTGCCCCAGCAGCGGGGTCATTAATAGGCTGACGATGATTAAAAATTTTCTGTACAATCATTTTTGAACACACGAGATTTAGAGTGGGCATAGAGATTTCTAGCTCGCCCCCCTAGTTACACACATGCATAATATAGCAATTAAATATCGTTATTTGTATCACCACAAAGTACGTTACTGCCGTGCCCAATCGGGGAGTACACTCAGAATGCAGGGTCATTTATGCCACGCATTGACTTTATGTTTACATGTGCATTTTGACGCAGTTTTAAGCAGAACTCATTCGCGACTTTGAAAGACACGTTTTGGCAAAATCAATAGCGAAAGGACCCGACCGCTACTAGGATATAGTTTTGGAATGTACCTACTCAAAATTTAATTTGTTATCTATATTACCCTGTAGGCGTCGAAATCTGTTCAGTCGTTACGAAAGGGAACACACATAAATATGAACTCTGAAAACATTATGGATACTTTTTCTGTAGTTGTGTAAAACCTTTTATCACATTTCGATTTTGTATTAAATTAATATTGCAAGTTTCTTCTAAACAATGCCAAAATAGAAAAATTACAATCGCTCATAGCAAGTTTGGTAGATAGAACCCTAAATAAAATGATGCGTCATAATTTGAAACAATATGTTTTACATAAATATGTTTACAAAAATTCCAATTTGATCCAATTTACAAAATAATATTCTGTGCCGTGAAAATTATGTGAATGCACGATCGCTAGTAAATTACGAGAATCCATTTTAAAAAATTCTAACAAATAATGAACCCGGCGATTATTTAAATTGGTGTCATCTTTGTTATTCTAAAATTAAATTACCTTCAACCATGTTTCATGATAAATTGTTGATTGAGTTCACAAAAGGTTTCACCTTTACAGTATAAGTAGGTAATGTCGTTTAGCTAAAACAAAAATTTGTATGCGGCACACGCTGTCATATAAGCATGGATTTTTTTCATATGCTGTTACCTTACTCGTAAAGTCAGAACAGAAATACCAGAGCTGTATCAATAAATCTCGCAACGGGGGTGCATTTATAGAATGTCGTATAGTATCCAGTGAGAGCAGCAGTGTCTTCGCGGTAAACCACGAAACCATACAGTTTATGAGCGTTATTTATACGCTTACGAGATTCGTATTTCAGTTAGTAAGAAACATATATCACTAGGAAGCTTTAACATTATTCTTTAATACTAATAGCTACAGTTCTGTTCTTTAAATTTATCTACGAATAGTTTTTTGTTAGGGGAAGATACTTCTTCGTTTTAAAATGATTGCAATCGAGTGTATAAAATGATGGTATTAAAAACTTGCTTTGTCTTTCTTGTTCTCTCCTTTCTAGTTTTCATCATCCACATCAGTCATTGATCCGTCCACTTGCATAAATAATACTTATATTTATAATTATGATAAATAGTCAATACTAGTTCTGACTATCTAGGTAAATTACTAACGCACTCGTGATAAAGAGATATCAAACAAGATCGTCTTCATTTTCTCTATAAATCTCAGAGAATCTAATTTCGTCGAACGCCGCTATATCGGTAACCTTATCAAAACAGCGGCGACTACAACTTATTCAAGGAACTAGGTAAATACAAACCTTTATATTTACCTAGTTCCTTAAAGACCAAGTCTTTCTGTCTGTCTGGCCAATTTCTTCATCCATTCCACCCATTATCTAATGAAAGAAAAGTACAGTTCAGCCCTTGGAGATCTATAAGGAGCATTCTGAGTAATCTGCAGAGGAGAGAATACTTACGCAGAAGCGCGCTCACATTCATGCCGGAAACCTCGCAACAATACGTCTCACGATATAGGAAATGATCGTAGTTTTCTTAATGTCTAGTAAAGGTATATAATATATATACTCAACAAATATACGGAATCTGAAAACAATCCGAAATTATAAATGTGAAAGGAAGTTTGTTTTTATTACTTTGTTACGCTTTTGCGCCAAAACAGTCGATTATAATGAATTTTGGCGTAGACTAGACATGGATGAAACTAGTTTTTACGGGTTAATGCACGAAACTTTATTTATTTATTAACGTTTCGCAGCCTTTTCAGGTCTGCATCGTCAGAATAATGATTTTTTATTTAAAATTGTCGAGCTACCTTCGAAAGACTTATACTGAGCGTTCGGTTATTTCATTGGAAGATTTTTAAAATTTTATTTTATTGTCTATGTATGAATTTATTATTTAATTTGCTTAATAAAGTATTTTATTTAAAATTCTTGTTTGTAATTTTGAGTTTATTTATTTATTTGACCCTAACTACCGTAAACTACCACCGGTTCCAAAATTGGGAGACCTTCCTGAGAAGAACCGGCGAAACAAACTCAAGAGAGGCTTTCTATCTCCTTCTTATGTTAAATTATGCAAACAAAAAGAACTAATAGTATCTGATGGTCTTGCAGTGTGTGCTTGGGGTTGGGATTTTATCTCCTGTATAATAGGTTCCCAAGCTGGTGGTATATACCAACCATCTTCCCTATTGAAATTTGGATATTTTTTAATCTCAATAGCCTCGCGCATCATTCGAGGAACGAACCGCCGCTCAGCTGAAACAAGAAACAACAAACAAGAATTTTAAATAAAATACTTTATTAAGCAAATTAAATAATAAATTCATACATAGACAATAAAATTTTTAAAAATCTTCCAATGAAATAACCGAACGCTCAATATAAGTCTTTCGAAGGTAGCTCGACAATTTTAAATAAAAAATCATTATTCTGACGATGCAGACCTGAAAAGGCTGCGAAACGTCAATAAATAAATAAAGTTTCGTGCATTAACCCGTAAAAACTAGTTTTATTTAATGAGTGATGTGCGTGAAAACCTAAGAAACAAATAGACATGGATGGTTTATAGGTTATTTTTTCTCACGAAAATACAATTAAAAGGGGCTGAAGGGGAGGGGAAGGGGAGGGGAAGGGGAGGGGAGGGAAGTTAGTATAGGAAACCATGGAAACATTGGTTGGTGCAGAGGAAGTAACGTACGCCCGCTAGTATCAAATAAATGATTTTCTGAGAATTGAAACCAAATAAATATGTTTGTTGACCAGCCTTTACTGCAAGCTGGGGGCCATGGTACCTGCATCACGCAATGCAAGACTGCCAAAATCGTCACCACTAAGGTGATCCCGATGCAAGTGGACGGCGAGGCGTGCAGGCTGGCGCCGTCCATCATCACCCTGTCCAGACTCAACCAGGCGACCATGCTCGCCAAGAGGAAACCCGGGAGGGTTTTAGCACCGTAAGTATCATACTCGTACATTCTTCGTCTTTAGCCCATAAGCTTAATTGTCCATCTAGGATAATAAGCTTTATTGTCCATTAAGGATTTTACAATATTGTCTAAAATATAACTAAACAAAGTTTTGACAAAGGCAGAGCAAGAAAATTTTAAGAGGTAATCGTTGGCGGCTCTACTGGTATAATACTATAAATACAGTTGCCAGAGCTCCCTCCCAGGAAATTGCCCAATTTTGGGTATAAGATCTTGCTCGGTCTTGTGCTGTTTTTATCCTGTGCTTTCCTGCTATCTTCATGAGATCGTCTGTTCATCGCATCGGTAGTCTGCCTGCGCTCCTATGACCTGCAGTGCTATTCTGTAAAAACAAACTAATTTTTCAGCACGGCTACGTTTTACAGCGGGAAAATATCCCGCAGGTAATACCGCGGACCACAGCTAGTTACTCAAATAAATTTTAAATTACACCGGCGGATATGACGGTGAAAAGTGAATTTGTTCTTACAGAATGGCACGATAGTTCAAGGCCTCCACTCTAGTGCAAACTTTCCCCAATATATATATTCTTAACTCATATTAAGGCCTCATAATAGCCGCCATTTGCTGTTATTTTTGCAATAAAGTATAAATAATTTAACAAGTTTGTCAATTGCTTAGACAAAAAGATATTAAAACGAGGCTTAAATATGAGTACACATAGATACTCGTAGATAGATATAATCTTTATAACTCACACAAACACAATGAAATGGCTTACAAAAACAGATGGTAAGCTATGGGGGGTAAAGGTGGTCTTGTACTCTTGTCGCATGAGTACATATCTTTTTTGTTTTAAGAACTTTGATGCAAGTAGACATAAATATTTTAAATCTGGTGCCTACATCATACATTGCAAACATGACGCAAAATAAAATTGTCTGATTTTCCAAAATAATACTTAACCCGCCACAGCTAAAAATATACCTAACAGGAACTTTTATTTATTTAAAGCGGTTTGATGCCATAATAAATAAAGCAAGGCAAGCTTATTGATTTTTAAAGCTTTTACTAGGCGAGCTACATAAAAGATTAAGAATCTAATTGATTTGAAAACTCGTAAACGAAGTTTGAGTTTATTTTAAAACTTTTACAACTCCGTTAAATAAACTGTAATGGTCTTGCTTCTTAAAGGATAAAATACTGCATAGGTACTGTATTATACTGAAACATAATGTCCAAAAAGAACATATATTGCTGTATCAAAAAACTTTTCAAAATAATCAGACATATTGAATTTGAATTGAATGTCTGTAACATTGTATCGATAAATCTAGATGCATCACGGTTACTGCTAATACCTTAATTAATTCGCTGCATATCATGCCCCAAATCATTGCTATGCAATCTATAATTTTTTTATACAGAAAATTTAAAACAAACTAAAATAGAACAATTTCACCTAATTTTATAATATTATAATATACATGCATAACTCAATTTATCCTATGTTTATAATAAATAAATACATAATTAATAAAAAACTAAATATTTCAAAAATATACCAGAACCCAATTTAAAATTCAACAGTTATAACTAAACAGTGTTAATAAAAGATTTATTTAATAAATGTGTAATAAGTTATCATTAAAATACTTTGTTTTCAGGCAAACAACGGTGGACAAGTTAACGTTAACAGTGAATCTCATCACCATGGCTGATTATGAAAGACATCATTACGATAAGGAACTTCTAGCAAAAACAGGTATTCAACATATATAATGTACTTAGAACATTATTATTTCTTTAATTTAATCAACAACAATTGCATTAGTTAAGAATGGTAGGGGTTCTCCCCAAATATAAGGCGAAAATGGGTGAAGTCGTCATGAGATTTTTCTTTAAATATGCTCGGTAAATTATTCGTTTAGCTGGTCCCCGTAGCATAAGCACTACAATTTACATTATATCACGTTTTTTTTATCGCGCTTAACTGTCAAACTCCGTAGTAATGTGACAATTGAGAGAGAGATAAAAACGTGTTATAAATCATATCGTGCTGCTCATGCTGGGGGGGCTGGATCTCTTAAAACCGTTAGCATACAAAAAATAAACAATGTCGACTGAGTTGATATATTTTCCTAATGCTATTTCGTATATCAGCTTTTTTCGAAATACATAGTAATAAATATAAATATTCACAGTATTTTTTTTGACGACCTCCGTGGCCGAGTGGTTTTTACGCCGGGTTTCATGGTGTCGCAGACTCGAGAGATCCCGGGTCCAAATCCTGGTGGGGGCAGATGTTTGTGTGATGAATTTGTACTCTCGAGCATTTGTACTCCATTCATATATAATATGTATTTCTATACAAATATACTTATATATGTACTGTATACGTATTCTATCCGTTACCCTAGTATCCCATAACACAAGCCTTGCAGTGCTTACTTAGGGGCTAGGCTAATTGGTGTGTGTTAGAAAGATTTATTTATTTTATTTATTTATTAGTACCTAATCATCGAGTTTCTATAAATACGTAATAAATAATAAGAATACGTTTATATTTGCAATTCCTTCTATATTTTATCATTAAAGCGTTTCAGGCTGTTAGTTTACAACGGACACTAACTGCGCAAATTAAAAAGCAATCCTCAGAGCATCCCAACGGAAATTCATCTTCTCGGAAAACTTGGAGCTGAAACTCGATTTTCATTCAAAGCCACTTCACCGACTATGCTTTGCCTGCTGCAATTTTAATAACCACGTCTCTAACACAAAAAAGTGTACTTTTTCAAAGGACCAACAACAGTTTATTTCCTTATTAGCTTTTCCACGAATCTCAATTATTTTTCCTGATACGTCACCGAGCCTAAGCCCAGCGGGAAAATTACATGTTCACATTTGTGTTTCTCACGGTGAGGAGACCTTGGGATAATTGTTATTCGTCTCCCGTTGTTTCGTTGATCGGAAGTCTATTATATTTGTTCACTTGCGTTCGAACTAATTGCTATAAATGAGACTTATAGATATAGAGCATTAAATTGTAAATGTGTCTATTTCGTATAGAAGCTTAGAAATGAAAGCTGAAAGAAGACTAAAAAAATATAGAAAAATCTATTTGGCTCTTGAAAAGATAAGAAATAGGCTACTTATGACATAGTCAGACAGTAGAAACTTTTGTTATAGGTAAATTTATTGTTATTGATTTAATTTGTGGAACTCGATGTCGCATTGGTTAGTGCGTTCGGCCTACGATCGTGAAAATGAAGCAACTTTCCCGATAACCCTTCATTCATAGGATGGGTGACTAAAAACCCTTATTTCGAGCTCCTCCGTGCTTCAAAAGACATGTTAAGCCGTTGTTTCCGACTGCATTTGCAGTCGCTAGCACCCACGAATCGCACTGAGTCCACGTAGTAAGTAATTGACCATTCTCCCTATTCGTGCATTGAGAAGATCTGCGCCCAGCAGTGGGAACATTAAAAGGTTGATGAATGATATTGATAGAAATATCCCTAATGTCGTGTAAAAAATAAACCTCAATATGACTTCATGTAATATAATGTAATATGAGGAGCTCGATGGCGCAAGTGGTTAGCGCGTTCGGCTGAGATCGTTGAATTTAAGCAACTTTCGCAGTGGTCGGTCATTGGATGGGTGACCAAGAATTACTATCTCGAGCTCCTCCGTGCTTCGGAAGGCACGTTAAGCCGTTGGTCCCGGCTGCATCCGCAGTCGTCAGCACCCACCAATCCGCACTAGCCCGCGAGGTGGGTCATGGCCCAATCTCCCTATTCCATCCATAGGGAAGGTCTGTGCCGCAGCAGTGGGAACATTAATAGGCTGATGATGATGATGACTTCATGTTAACAATGCACTGTTATTTATCTCAAACAATCCAGTTACCTAAATAATCGTATAAACAAAAAAAGGCCAGGGTGCTTATGATCACACTACTGAAGTGAAATTTTCTTTAGCTCCAATGATCTGAAAATCATAAACTTAACCTGAACCTGAAACCTGGGTCCGTTATCACCCTCCAATCCGCACTGGGTCCATTATCACCCACCAATCCGCGCTGGGTCCGTTATCACCCACCAATCCGCACTGGGTCCGTTATCATCCACCAATCTGCGTTGGGTCCGGTATCACCCAACAATCCGAACTGGGACATTGTCACCCACCAATCTAGGCTGGGTCCGTTATCACCCTCCAATCCGCACTGGGTCCATTATCACCCACCAATCCGCGCTGGGTCCGTTATCACCCACCAAGCACTAGATTCATGTATTTTGTGACGGGTATTGTTCATTGTTTACCGATGAGTCACCGATGACACAAAACAAATTTTTTTAGTGGATAGACTGTAAGTAAATATATTGGAAAGAATTAGATAACAATGGAAAGAAACAGGGATTTTTTAAGTCAATACGACGATGAACAAAACTTTGCTGTAATAAACTTGTTTCATTATTTGTTTGCTCTTGAGCTTTTGCTACGTTAATCACTGTACATGAAGGTAGACTAGACAACCTTCATAAAGAATTCCACGGCACGTTAATTTTAAATAGCATCAAGCATATAGAGGTATTTACTTAATCACATAAGCAAGCCGTCACAGTTATGCACTTGACTATTTTGAAACATAAAATTTGTAATGTATTGAGTTTTGACATTTTAGTAAAAAAACAAAAAACCAAAGTTATTCGTTGCTTTCGTATTAGTTACATACTCTCTAACAAAACAGATATTGTAATGCCAACGAACGCACGACCATAACTACATATATACATAAATGACTTTGATAGCAACAATTGTTTGTTAACTTGTTTATATCAATGGTTATATATAGTATTCTATTATTGTAATCCTATTCGAACCCGTGACCTTTTAATTACGACTTGTATTTTTATTCAATAATTTAAATCTTTGCATTCAAAATTAACTTTTTATAGAATTCAAAAATAAGTTAAATATGTTTACATTTTTTTTTCTGTATAGAAATTTATAAGTACGGTACGTATAAATTTCTATACAGATACTCTCCAAATATATTTTTAAACCTTCGAATGTACACTTCCGAGAACAATAGGTACTTATTTAAACAAAGGAAAGGTCAGGGTGCATGCACGTCATTGTACAAAATTTGAATATTATTCTTCTAAGAAATTTTATGTTGAATTTAATTATACAATTAACGAAACATCCTTTGTGATATTTAGGCCCCTCAGGAGCCGTTAAGTATATCGCCCCGTATCGTTCAGTCATCCCTGACGCAAAACGCGACCAAAGTGTATTTAAATAAATAAACGACATTCTACCGTAACCGCTCTCGACTAGTCGGTAAGTGAGTACTTGGATTAACACAGTTTTCCAATTTCAGCGGAGCGCGTAGGCACTCTGGAGGTGAACCCGGCAGCTGACTTGGAGCAAATGCGCGCCCTCATACAAAATATGATCAAAGAATCTCAAGCATACTCGAACATCGTCGACTGGTGGTTCGTCGACTGTGAGTGCACGACCTTTCGCTATAAGCCTTACCCCTGTTTAACTTAATTATGCTTCATTTAGTACAGTCGAAACCCCCTCTGTCAACGGATACAGCGCCTTTATTGCCTAGCAATAAGAGAAATATTCGCAGTGCAATTATATGCTATGCACGGGCAAGGGGATAAAGCTGAGTCACGATTTCATATTTTTTTGTAACCGCTGACTGTGTAAACCACTCGACACACATTTAATTATGTTTTTTTCTTAGTATGATAAATTCGTTTTTTATAAACATTTTGTTTTACACAGTTTCAAGGTAATTTTATGGGAAGAGGATGTCAGAAGACATAATTGAGTACTATTAGTCCGCGTTATAGTAAGTGACTATTCTTATCCTAACACTTACGGCCAATCTCATAGATGTTAATTTATTCTTAAATTCTTAAAATACTATAATTTAAAGGACATTTTTTTTTGTCCCTGAGTACGATTGTTAGTAACATAATCTAAACACTTGAGGCGTGAAAGCATCGCTCGTGCTTTGCGTACCCTTACCCCATACTAAGCAAATTAAACTCCTGGTAACTTCACGTATACTGCATGAATATAATACACAGATTAAATTTAATTAACGTCTGTAACATGAAAAATACTTCCCTAAACGAGCGCACCAATTCTAGTCGTTGGAAAAACCCACAGATAATTTATCCTTATCTGTGGAAAAATCACAATTGATACTTCTCCAAATTAAAAGCAGTTTCTGTTGAATTAGTAATATTGTGATACCTTTGTTTTTCAAGATAATGAATTGGATGTGTGAGCTGACTAATAGACTAGAAGTCACTTTTATTAGTAATAAATAATATAAACATTAAACCCAACTCACAACAATCAATAAATCAGCAGCAGCTTCTTCGACGAGTAGGTGCCATGACTAATTAAATAACAAACTCAACAATACTTATTCTTTATATACGTATTGTTTTTGTGTTGTGTTCTTTTCCACGACTCGGAAACAAAATATTATTTATTGTATCATAATGCTACTCAGGGAAGTAAAAAATATTAGGATGAATAACTAAACAAACCTCTAAACCAGGACTCTTACCTTTTGAAACCAGAAAGCTTGGGTGCTGACATTTTTTTATTTTATACTCCGTAAGTAGTTAACCTATACCAACCAACCAATTTGTTGTAGATTTTATAGGGATGTTTTCCGTTCAATAAAGCCGTGAAAGTTTTTTGTACAATACCTTCGTGAAAATTATAGAATTATCAAAAAGATTAAGTATTGACACGTAAATTCCGTTTTATGCGAACCGAACATAGATAATGTGTAGTAGATAAGTTATCAGTAATCTTGAAACACATAGTACATATGTACCGATAGTTCTTACATTCACTACGATTTAAAAGAAATTTGAGTATGCACAAAAACTGTAAACTTTGAGTGCAGCTATCGAAGAATTTAATTTTTGACTAAGTATTTATTGTTCAAGTAATTTTAAAAGCAATAATATTACATTACTGCAGCGGCCAGCAAAAGAGGCATTGATGGATGAATGTGTAAATGCCGAGGCACATATACGTAAGTCCATCAATGCCTAGTTGTGGCCAAAGCTTGTATAATACTTTTCTCAAATAATGCCCGGAAATTAAAACTAAGTAGTACCTAAGCAGCACTTTTGAAATTTTGGAAAATACTGACGAACAATGAACGACAATATTTTTCAGTGTTTTAATGTTCATTTGTTTTATAAACAGCTTTCTATTTCGGGTCCAGTTCAAATTTTAATAAAACCTTTGATAAAGTATTTACATAATACATTTTAAGTTTCGGATTAAAGGTCGCTCAATTTGAAATAACATGACAGAAATGGATTTTCATACAACTTTAACCGGCCGCTGCTCGCCTGTCTGTTGCCAGCACAGTAATTTCGATTTATTGCGAAAAAGGTTAACAAAGCAATGCTCAAATTTCAAAGCTTGTTTGAGAAAAATATGTAATGATCACGACAGCGGATGTTCGTATTTAGATATAATAAATAAATCATTTCCCGGGACGACCCTTCTCAAACCAAACAAATCTTAAAAATCAAGTGACAGTTCAATATTCAGCTTTTCTCGATGCAACCTCATGCGTAAATCACTATACGAAAAATATTTTATTTTTATGAAAGAAATCATACCGATTACTTTTTGCCATAAAAATTATACTTAAGTGGGGTTTAAATAGGCGACCAAAGATTGTATGACAAAATAATGATTCAATCAATGCGCGATCCAAATAAGGGGATTTCCTTCCAACTTTGTAGGAAAGGGAAAATTAGTGGGTGGGTATTATTCACCTACCGAGGTAATGAGTGCACTGATTATGGTTGTGTAAAGCCATTTTGTGATTTTTGGTGCAAGACCCCAGGTTTTACCGAGTAGTCTTTGTGCTGCTAAAATATGATACAGGCTTTATCTTTTGGTCTAAATGGCTGTTCCATGTCAGTTTATGGTCAAGAACTATGCCTAGATATTTAACCTCACTTTGATTTCTATGACTCACTAATTACGTAAATATAATAAAATAATCAGGCCTAATCCTCAATTAATGCAAATCATAATTTGATTATCATTGCAAAAATACGATAACACATTGTGACGTAAGTGCGAGCTAACAGATAAGTAGTAAAATTTTCTGTATTTGGCCTAGAAAAATTGTATTAGTAATTTCTTGAAAAAATATGATAACGAAATCAGTATTTCCTGTGATGAGTGACTATCTCGCGACAAATAACAAACATGTTTCCGATTCGTGTAGATCAACGTATGAATAATCATTGAATGGAATAGTTTTACACAAAGTTCGTATAGTACGTACGTACGTACATCGTATTGTGACCGATAAACATAAATTCTGAGGCAAGTCGCTTACTTCCGAGATTAAGATAATAAAAATGTCATATTGCAAATCTATCACCCATGAAGTGTAACTGTGGAAGATAAATTCAAGCTTGAAATAATCTTACCAGAGCGGAAACGGATCAGCACCGCCTCCACTTGAGCCGTAAATTCCCTTCTGCGAGCACCCCACTCAAAAACTTGACTTTCGATATATCATGATCATCATCTTCGTCCATCTTACTCTAACTTACATAGTTTGTAATACTGTAGAGTAGAACACGACACGATGAAATTGATGTTTCGAATGTTGAGCAAGTAAGTACACCCTCAGCATCGTAAATGCATATTTCCGCCTCGGTACAAACATGCTCGTGAATATCTAGCTGAGGTGTGTGCCAAAGCGGGGTTGAACCGCGATTCCGGGGTGATATGAGTGCAATGACCTGTGTAAGTAGGTATTGATATTTTTACTTATCTATCTTATGCTGTCGTATTTTATGCAAGGGATATAAATATGAACGTAGGTATATGAAAGTGATATTCATGCGAATATTAGTTTGTCTACCTCCCACTATGCATACAAGTGGTAGAGCACAGTGGATTTTGTAAAGACTGAATCCAAATCACACTATTTTTATTTATATTGACTAGCCCGGATGTAAATGGCTTCCTTCTTTATGGGAACGCACGCAAGAACACTAAGCTCAAAAAAGTAAGTGCATTGCGGACTCTCGGCTCGAATTAGGAGCGCCCGACTTGGGAAGTGAAACTCCGCCTTACAGAAAACCACAGTAAAATAACACTACCCTTGTGACTAGTTAAGACAAGTAATCAATATTGATGAGAGTTATTTCTTTCGAACGAATTAGAGAATGATCTTAATCGCATTACGATTACACTTAAGATGAAATCTTAAGCATGTACAATCTGGATTAAATGGATCAAAATAGTATTTTTTTTTGTATCAATCAGAAAAAAATGCGTGATATTTGCCGACACCCCCCCTCTCTCCAACGAAAGATTAGATGAGATTTGACTCGCCCCCCTCCCCCCCTTAAACATGTCACGTAATTTATGGACGCCCCCTTATACGCACTTTCAGCTAAACCGTATCCACCCACTTCCCATGGACCTGACTCGTAATTTTTGACATTTTTTAATTATATTTAAATATTAACGTTGAACAGCGTTGACCGTCCTACGTGTAAAGGAAAAATTTATAAATTAAAATGAGCCCATTAATCCACGAGCGACTTGTGAACCTGCGTCAGTATAATGACAGCGATTTATATCAAAGTTTCGACGTCCTTTGAAGAAATGTTATCAAAGAAAATTATTATATGTGCTGCTTTTATTAGCCATCATCAAATTTCATCTTTCGTCGTCAACGATATTAAATACGTTGTTCGTCGTTGCCATATCCAATAAGAGAATCCCAAAGTTTTGGTTTTAAAATGATAAGATTATATTCCAATAAAAAGCCAGTATTCGTTGTACTTTCTTATGTGGGTATTCAAACACCCATATTTGGCAATGACAAATGAAATAACATTATATAGAGAGGTAGGCACAGCTAATATTCAGCTCTGTCCGATGTTCCATTGTCTATGTTCATTGAAAAGAAAATTCTTTTAGACTGGGCGCACATGTACGGTTTCCTGATCAGGAATTCCGATTCGAAAACCTGAATGCACGTCCTTACATTAAAAATGTTCAACGAACAGCACACTATTCTTAATTTTAAAGAATGGAAAAAACGTAACGTTCCGTTTCGATTTTAACTAGTAAAAATATCTCTCTAGTCTGCGCTAGGCTCACGGAACTCCGAATCTGAATTCCTGATCAGGAAAACGTATATGTGCGCGCCCAGTCTTACTGTCTCAAGTTTGGGTGGTTAATGAGTGTTATATTAACATTTACTACTTTCTTTAGTTTATATTATTTATTTTATTTAACATTATTGTTCATCAACAGCGGTAACGGCGGAGCGATTCTTCCGAATCGACAAAGCTCAAGAGAATCTCCACTACCCAACGGATATTGGTCATGAAAACATCTACATCCTGGATGCAGCGCCGCTTACTCCTGACACTGAGTCTACTGCACATCCAGAGACGACTGCCACCGCCTCGTTGGACCGCACCGGTCCTTCAGTCTCTCTCGATACCACCACTGGACTGTCGGTCTCACTAGACATCTCGCAGAGCGTCGACACTCCAAGCGCTGGTGTCTCCCTCGATGTACCCGAATCTCACGCCAGGTTAAGTGTCTTTCTATCGAAACCTTATGTAAATTCCCCCTCAAATCTGACACTGAGTTGACGGCTCACCCAGGGACGACCGCCATCGCGGCACTGGACCCCACCGACCCTTCAGTCTCACTCGATACTAACACTGAACTGTCGGGCTCACTAGACATCTCGCAGAGCGTCGACACTCCAAGCGCTGGTGTCTCCCTCGATGTACCCGAATCTCACGCCAGGTTAAGTGTCTTTCTATCGAAACCTTATGTAAATTCCCCGTCAAATCTGACACTGAGTTCACGGCTCACCCAGAGACGACCGCCATTGCGTCACTGGACCCCACCGACCCTTCGTATCGACAGTGGCGGCGCTAGACCACATGTGGACGTCGGCGACATCAAGTTCGCGAGGTCTATTTTACTTCGCAGTAAAAAACCGTTAAATTAAGTGAGCCAAATTATAAAATAACGTATGAGTAAACTAGTTTTATTGTTGATAATCAAATGATGACAAAAAAAATAGAAATTTAATTACAAAAATAGTGTTGCCAGACAGACGATTCTGAATACCCGTAAAGTACTACGCTTCCATCACGCACGTGTTCGAAAATAATAAAAGTCATTATCATCTGCTTCGCTTTTTCCTCGGGCTTTTTCCCCGAATTGTTCGGGGTCGGCTACCTAAGCCAGGCCAGGAGAAACGAAAATAAATAGGTAACTTGTAAAAATTTTTTGCGAGGCCCCCTCAGGCGCGTGGCCCTCGGCGGTGGCCGACGTCGCCGACGCCTAGCGCCGCCACTGCGCATCGAGTGAGACCACTCGATACTAACACCACGGTAATATTATCTATACAGTATTGTGACTCCGCCCTGTCCTTGAAAATAAACGCTAGGTTGGCACGCGGTAGGGCCGCCAGCCTACAGTATTTTATGTAGTTTTGTTTTTAACGCGAGTGTAGATAGATTACTCGTTTGTCTCTTTTTTCATCCTAAACACTTATTTATATACTAGCTGACTCGGCGAACTTCGTACCGCCCAAAAGTAATAATTTGCGATAAATTAAAATTGCGACTATAATTTGAGATTTAAACTATCCTATCTCTCAAGTTGGATCGAACTGCACATGATGTGCGAATTTTATTATAATCGGTTCAGTGGTTTAGGAGTCCATTGAGGACAAACATTGTGACACGAGATTTATATATATTAAGATTATTCCAGATATTTTGCCCGATGGAAAAACCGAAATACCTAAATATTAGAAACAAATAACGTACTAGTAGATAGGTATATAAAAAATATTCTATAAAGGTAAGACACCTTTCCAATATTTCAGGTAATTTAAAAAATGATATCTCTGGGTGTGTTATTGAAGAGTTCAAGCAACCAAAAACAGCAATTGTGCTGTTGTACGATATTAATCGTCGTTTGTTCTTTTCCATACTAAATTATGTAGGTATCTACTTAATTAAATCAAATATTTACAATACAAAACGCATGTTTAAGCACGGCTAACTGTATAAAAAACAATTCTGACCGTTCGGTCGTCGTTGCGGCGCGGCGGCGCATTCGCGACTGGGTGCACGCCGAGAGCACATCGAACTCGAGTGGCGTAGGTATGACTCGCTTTCCGACCGTTTGTATGAAGATAGAATACTGTATGATATTATTACCGTGCTAACACTGAACTGTCGGTCTCACTAGGCATCTCGCAGAGCGTCGAGACGATGGAAAAGTATAAAATATAGAAGTCACAGTTTTGGAAATACACAATATAATATCCTACAATTTAGCCACAAATTAAAGTCTCGTTAACAAAACTAACACCCGTATTCACAAACAATACTTGTTTAAGTAAAGTAGCAACACTGTGCGAAGTAAGACATTTCTCAGTGCGTTTTACTTGGCAAGTCTTTCAATTCACAAACAATACTCAAATGACTCTTCGCTATGAGAACGCACAGCGTTGAACAGAGCTCTGTGATTGGTTCATTTATGTTACGTAGTTCACACCGCTCTGAATGACATGTCTATCATTTGTCAATTGTCATAATTCATAACCTTTTTAAAACCAAACAGTGCTTGAGACCTATTTTGTGTTTCGTGGTAATTATAATTAATTAGATTGTAGCGACATCTAAATTCTTCTGAACTGTAATAATCAAAAGGATTTTGGAAATCTCGTATCACTTTTCGGGTACTTATTCTGTTTTGCTCATTGATATATACAGGGTGGCCGGGGAGTTGACGTTCAAAAGTAAAATTTAGATACTTTATGATGAGGAGTATCCAAATCACCCCCATGTATGTTCTACGATTTTGCGTACTTTGAAGGTCAATTACAGAAAATAAACCCCCATTAACCCTATCTTTATGTGACCTTGTTTTAAAGTTTAATGTTTCAGAAAGTTTCTAAAAGCACTTTGAACTCCAAATCCCCCCATTTACATTTTTTTTGATACTTTGAAAATTTGTGTGTACTGAGCTCAAATCGTAATTTTGAACTTTCGAACAAATTCTAAGTGAATTCTGCAATGCCTAGATAAACCATAAGTTTTAGGATGATAGGTTAGACTATGTTAGTCAGTTATTAAAAAAACTGAACCAGAAACGTCCAACAGAATGAGAAAAAAATCGAAAACCGATGTTAGGTGAAAATTACGAAAAAAAACTTTAAAAAAATTATAACTCGAAAAGTACGCAAAATCGTAGAACATACATGGGGGTGATTTGGATACTCCTCATTATAAAGAACCTAATTTTTACTTTTGAACGTCAACTCCCCGGCCACCGTGTAGGTATCAAATTCTTCTTCACTACTGTAATCCATTGTAAAAGAACACCATAATTTTCGAATACAGCCGCAAACAAAGAAAAAACAAAACCTCGAACAGCAAATAACAGTCAACGCAAATAACCTAAAATTTTTGACGAAGTCAAAAAGAAAAGAACAATATTGCACTATGCGTTGCGTAATACAGCTAGCAGGCTACCTTGTCTGTGCGTTCATTATAAGGGACGCATAGTGCCGGTCGCCACTCAAGTATTGTCTATGAATAGGGTTTACGGACCCTGTGCGTTAACGCACCCTGTGAGACCTCATAGTAATGTTTATGAATACGGGTGTAAATTAGTATCGCGATTTTTCCGAATAAATTTTTACTTTTATTTTTTTTTTATTTTTACCTATCTTTATTTATCATGTTCAATAATATTATCTTATCAGTGTGGAATTCCAAAGTGTCATTAAAATCGTACTTAACTGACATACTAAACTGGTCACATTTTGTACCTATGATTGCTGACGATTGACCTATATTTACCTGTTGATCGTTATACACTTAACTGACTGTATAGATGTTGCACCACTGACGCATGTACATCAAGTGTTTTGCAATATTTATGATATCAAACAATTCTATATGAGCGCAATAATGATACAGTAGATATCAGACAAACGTTTTTCATATAGTATAAGTTGTCTTTCATGAGGCCATATTATTGGGCTACGCAATATTTGGCATGCGATAATCAAACTCAACGTAGTGTAATAAGTGATTGTGTGATTCATATAGTCCGGTCGTGATATTGGTCCCTAATATACGCCCTTTACGAGTTCCACTATCTTGGCCTTGAGCTGTAAGAGAGAGTCAACAAGTTGGAACGAATGAATATGACAATCCGCACGGGTATCAAATGACGTTTTATGATTCATCTGTGAAAACAGAAGTAAATAAAACTGGAAAAAAAGAATATCAACATTTTTCTTATTCATATATTCACTGTTATATGATACTGCTGACTATTAAATTATTAAAAGTAAAAAAGCTCTGGTCTGAAAAGACTTATTTTCGCACGTAAGTAGGTATTAAAGTTGCCAACCCTAATATTATAATATAGTATCCTGATGCGATCAGGCCACGTGTCCTGACGCGAGTTTAACATTTTTTACCCATTACAAAAAAGTGTACAACGCCGCTCAAGAAGTTTTCACTTCAAAAACTAAACCTGCTCCTTTATCTAAGCGAGTAGGTGCTGTTTATACTTTGCTCCGCCAATGGTGTAAATGAATGTGTATCTCATGTATCTTTTGCTTTTAATTTTAATTTTATCAAACAATGTTAACCAAACTAAACGAAGGATACAAACAGATTAACACAATGCAAACTTCAAACAAGCTAACTGACGGAATGTAAAGATGCATCTTTTTGACGTCGTTACCATCAAAACAAAAAACAAAAAATATAATTTTGTATGTTAATATCATGTTTTTTCACACAGTGAGTCAGGACTGGGTAGTCCAGCGCGCACGTCTGAGGAGCTGCTCACTCCGCAGACTCCGCCGCCCGCGCCACCACGAGTCCCAACTCCGCCGGCGAGGACAGTCCCGCCCACGCCCAAAACCCAACCCACATCACCAAGGATGACCTTACAGGAAACCAACTCACCACCGCTCTGCACGAGTCCTCCAGCCAAGGAACACCAAGCCACGCACGACTCTATAGTACGATTCAAGACGTAAGTGCAAATCTTTAATTATCCAGTGTGTGTGTGGTGTGTTTTACATACTTACAGCTCATTACAACGCTTTGACGTTATTGGCAACTAGTGTTGCCAGGTGTCCATTTGCGTGGGACGTCCCGATTTTCAGGGATCTGGGGACACGTCCCGATTTATACCTGATCGGGACGCTAAATGTCCCGATTAATCAAAAATTGAAATTTAGGTAATTAATGTAATACTACACTTGCACTAGTAGTTTAAAACGCAATAAATTAAACCCAGATTTAAAGACCTCTTGTTTTTTGGTTACTGTCCTGTGGGCCAATCGCCTAACCAGATTGCTTTGTAAAACGCTATCGCTTACGATTTCATTTTGTTATTTCTAACCGCCGAAATACCTCACGCTCATTTTCTTTAACATTGTTATTACCAATGCAAAAGAAAAAAAAAGAGCGCGAGGCATTTGAAAACCTCAGGGGGCTAGAAATAACAAAATGAAATCGTAAGCGATAGCGTTTTCCAAAGCAATCCAGTTAGGCGATTGGCCCCCTGATCTGCAACCCTCAAACCCGATTTTTTTTGTCCTCATGTACCGATTTAATACAAATCGGACCAGGGGGCCATTCGCCTAACGGAAATGCTTTGGAAAACGCTAACGCTTTCGATGTTATTTTGTTATTTCTGACCACCGAAGGTTTTCAAATAGGTACCTTAAGCTCATTTTTTTTAATATTATTATAACCAATGCAAAAGAAAAAAAAAGAGCGCGAGGCATTTGAAAAGCTTAGGCGGCTAGAAATAACAAAATGAAATCGAAAGCGTTAGGGTATTCCAAAGCATTTCCATTAGGCGAATGGCCCCCTGGCAACACTATTGGCAACGCATTATCTCACGTTTCATCGTTGCCTTATTATCGTTCGACGAGTTTGCCAAAGCCACATAAATATTCCGTCGGTGTGTTTCACTTACACACTATTCCCATAATGACGTAGACAGGCTGTCTACGAAATAGTAATGTTTGCAAACGAAAACTGAAAATACCTACGGCGATTAAGATGTTATTACGACCATACAAACCTATTACTCGACGAATACCTTGAAGTGATATAGGTATGTAGATAGGATTCGGTATCTTATGTCCGTATAATAAACCATGGTATCTATACAATACCTAAACCGAAAAATATTCATAATTTTACACTCACACATTACTAAATGAAAAAAAGGTATTGATTCGATCGCGCACAGGATGTAAAGATCAGAAGAATTGAAAATAACTTTATCTATGTCTGCCCGAATTCTTATATGTACTTATTATTCATTAAACTATTTCTTTAGTAAATATAATTTTAGTAGAAAACAGAATAGAAGAGATTTCAGAATTTCTACTTTATTGAACTAATGTACATTTTTTAATTTTCTGAATAACACGACAAAAGAATAGTTTTAGAAACTGCACGCTTTTGTTCTATTAATTCTAGTTATCTAGATTAATATATTACGTAAGAGTGGTTTGAATACAAGTGTGGTCTTTAGATGGTTTGACTTCTAACGCACGTTGCACACAGACAGGATTCTGCACTCTATTTCATCTTCTCTTCTATTGCATGCAGCATACATGAAAAGCTTTTTGGACTTGACCAAGAAGTATTTGGCTTTAGGTGAGGCTATATGAAGTACTTTTTCTTTAAATAGATTATGTAGACAAACACTAAGAAGCAAATAGCTCATACTGGTTTAGAAAAGTGGCATTCTTTCTATTCGTTTAAATGATGACTTAAAAGTTTAAAAAAAATAACCAATAAACGTGAACATACACACATCAAAAGTGTCTAGGGATCAAGCATTTTTATGCGGATTTCTTGAGATTGAGATGTGGCTTTGTAATAAATTTATGATTTTATAAATTTATATGGATCCTTTTTGGTGCATTTCATAATTTGAATCAGGAACTGTGAATCAAATTCGAGTAAAAGATGAAAATCAGCTGTCAATATTTTCCCTATAAAAACATACAACGCATTGAAGACATTATTAGTGCTACTGTTTCCCTACTACTGATTAAAACCAACGTTATTATGGAGCGGCGACGTCATTTAAGCAGGGAAGAAATGCTCAGAGCCGTGGGAATGATAGAAGCTGGTTCCCGGCAACGTACTGTGGCTTTAGCTCTGAATACAAGTCAGAGTGTTATCAGTCGACTTTGGACACGATACCGAAGCACTGGTACCGTGGCTGAGCGCCATGGAGGACGGTATCGCTGCACCACACGGAGACAAGACCGATACATTCAAATCTTAACTCGAAGAGCTCCAACAATAACCGCCATGATGTTAGCCGTGAGGCTTCATCACTCTTCAGGGAACTTAATTAGCGACCAAACAGTCAGAAACCGCTTGCATGAAGTGAACCTTCATTCCCGAAGACCGCTACGGGTACCACCTATAGCAATGCACAATCGTAGGATTCGATATCAATGGGCTCTTGAACACAGAAATTGGGCAGAAGAACAATGGCGTTTCGTGTGCTTTTCTGATGAGTCTCGTTTTGGTATGAGACCGGATACAAGACGTATACGACACTGGAGAACCCCTGGACGCCAACAGCGATTAAAATCCTGCCAGGAAGTCCATCCTTATAGTGGTGGAACCATCATGGTATGGGCGGGTATTTGGATCGGCGGAAGAACTGAGTTGATTTGGATCAGAGGCAACCTCAACGCTCAAATTTATGCTGAGACGATTGTATCAGACGTCATCGTTCCTCTACAAGTGCAAATCGGTCCCTTATTTCAGTTAATGCATGATAATGCACGACCGCACACCGCAAGAGTTGTAAGACAGACTCTCGCCGCAGCTAACATCAATGTCCTGCCCTGGCCTGCTCAGTCGCCAGACTTGAACCCGATTGAGCATGCATGGGATATGCTACAGAGAAGAGCTCTGCCGAATATGGAGGGTATCCAGTCGCAAGAAGACCTTTTTTTGTTGTTGCAACGAACATGGGCGGCCATTCCACAGCGTGATTTGGATGAACTCATTTTGAGTATGCCAAACCGATGTTCTTGTGTTGTTAGTGTTCGCGGTAGAAATACGGATTATTAATTGTTAAATAAAATTTTAGAGAAAACTGTTATTTCAGTCTTTTTTTCGAACTTTTGTGTTAGTGGTTCAAATGTCAAAAATGCCTTTATTAGGAAAATGGCAAATTTCTTTATTAATGCAAAGGTGACTTGGTTTATCGTTACTGTGACAAACGAAAACACTTTATTTGATGAATCCTTAAAGAAAATTTTAATTAATATCAATCAGGAGAAAAGTTATTGCAAAAATATATGTTGATCCCTAGACACTTTTGATGTGTGTACTTGTCGTACCCCAGAAGTGTATAGAACATTATTTTTTTGTGTGGAACAGATAAGCTTGTGACATGAACTATCAAAGTTATTTGCTTATTTGGAAAGTATAAAATTTACGTTAGCGTTCGCTCGAATAAAAAGATAGCCACTTGCCTAAGGTGCCAGATATGCTTATTCATTATTATATGAGAAAAAAACTAGATATTATGCTAATAAGTTGGTGCTAGGTTTGCAAAACAGTATTTTTTGTAGTAAGTTTCCATACTTATAGCCCTACAATACTTATAACTTTTATTTGTTGTTCCGAGGTGAAAGTTTTACATTGTTTCAGAAATTTACTGGAAAAAACATCGGACGCTCTACTCAAAGCGGCCAAAGTCGGTGACTTAAAAATGGTAAGGAAAACTACGAAAAAGATTTTTTTACCTTTTCTTGTTCTCAGTTCGGCATGGGAAACAATAAAAAAAAAAATTTAAAACATAGCGTAGTATAATAGTACTAGCTACTGTGTCTTCAAACAAAATATAACTACTGGCCGCAGGTGTAATAAAACCTTGTAGAGCGCGTAAACTTCCTACAACTTTATACCTATGCCGACTTTGATCTTGAAATTAGATGTGGACACCTTTCCTATTTCAAACTGATACCAAAGGAAACTTTTGCAAAGCCATCTTGTAATAACGTAGTTTTTTCATTACTTCTGTGCTTGCCTACCGAAAACTTTCAGCGAAATGTTTTTTTTTTATTTTTAACCCGCAGCTGCTAGGGTTTTAAAATAACACACGTTTTCTGTTATGTTTGTTTGCTTAACCGAACGATAAGGCATAACTAACAATCGCGCCCTATTCAATTTGTAATTTTATCGCCTGTAAATTCTAAGAACATCTTTTCACAAGCACCAATTAAATGTAATAGTGCCAGCACCACAAACTCAAAGGTAGCGCTGGAAGAATCATCATTATTTTCTTTCACTGTTAACATTGCTTTTTAAATTTTACAATTTCTATGAAAAAAGCATTAAAATCAATAGGTTATTTCAACTTTTCCAATTGGCGATATTGAAATACATTTTCCTAATGCACTGCCCGTAGATGAAGGAACTGCACGGGGCAGGCTATTCGCTTCTATCGATCGACGCGAGCGGTCAAACGGCCCTCCATATCGCAGCCAGATACGGGAATAAGGAAATCGTCAAGTACTTGATAGCGTGTGCGCCTACCGCCATTCTGAACATGCGAGATAATGAGCGGGGTCAAACGGCATTACATAAGGCTGCTGCTCATAAACGCCGGGCTATATGCTGCATGCTGGTTGCTGGAGGTGCCTCCCTCACTAGGCAGGATCATGCAGGTCTCACTCCACGCCATCTAGCGCTCAGAGCCGAAGACCACGACTTGGCGGCGTATTTAGAAAGTGAGTAGGAAATGTACGCGGACAACCACAGGTCAAGTTGCCCAAAACCGAAGAGATTTGTTTAGTTTAATGTCTTAGTCCAAGCCAGACAAAATTTATCCGATTGACTACAAAGTTCAGGAAAAAGATGAAAAATATCAAACTCAAGCTTTATATTATTGAGAAAATTTGACAGTTTGTGGTAACTTGATGTGAGGATGTCTCTACCATTAATACTGACTAGAAAACCTCTCAGCATCCAAATAACCTTTAATAACAGCACCTTTACTTGTGGTAGATACGTTTGCAAAGGTTGTCTGTGTAACATTAGAACTAAATCACTTATTCTTTGCAAAATGCACCCATCCGATGCTTACTGCTCATCATATGTACCAGGTGTAGAGAAGTGTATTTCGGATTGCAGTAAAAGAAATATAAAATTAATATAAAAAGTTGTATTGTCTTAATTATTGATTTTGTCTTTCAAAACCGAAAAACCATTTAGAATCGGAAATTAAAAGATAATAAGTATGTCAATGATTTTTCAAAATTAGTAATTGTAATTAGTTAGATGTTCTTATCTCGAAAAACGAGCGAACGAAAAATATACACTTATGGACACATCTATTGGCCCACCTTGTATTTTCAGTTTCGTTTGGTCTTAGCTATAATTTTATATTAGGTCGAGCAAAAAGTTTTTATGCAGTTTTGAACCTGGCACATTCACAATTTCATTCAATAGTCTTTTTTTGAATTTCGAACACAGAATTTAAAGAAACAAAAGACAATTTGGAGCCTGTTTGTTGATATCAAACAATCGAATACTAAGAAAACTTGGTTTTATTGGTTTACTTGGATTTAATTCTTGAAAAAGTGATTGATATATTTGGTTTTGCAACAAACATTACTTGTTCTTAACATTAAGGTGAGGTTCTATCAATAATCTACAGATACTTCACCTGAAGTGGCCGCCCAAGCTGTGGCACTTATTCAGGCCGGACACAGCCAAGGAAACGTGAGTGCTCAACTTAATTTAAGTCGATCTGCGGTCCGAAATGTTTATCGGAGCTACCTAGAGACTAGCGGCTTTGTTCGTCGCCAAGGAAGGCCACGATCTCGGGTCACAACTGAAAGGCAGGATCGATTCATCGTGACGACCAGCTTGAGAAATCGTCACCTTACCTCCATTGAGATACAAAAACAAATTCGCGACTTCCACGGAGTATCTGTGAGCGCTCGAACTGTTCGGAGAAGGTTAAAAGAACGCGATATGGTACCACACAAGCCAGCTAATGGGCCCAAACTAACGCGAGCCCACCGAACAGCGCGCCTTTATTTCGCACGCAGTCATTTAAATTGGACACAGCAAGATTGGAGCCGTGTACTCTTTTCTGATGAGTCTAAAATTGTGTTACATGGCAATGATGGAAGGAAGAACGTCTACCGACTGACGTAAGGGAGAGCGTTTCGCACAATGCTGCTTTGAAGAGAAGGTTGCTTATGGCGGAGGCTCATGGACTGTCTGGGGCGGTATATCCGCGAGCGGCAAAACTCAACTTGAGGTTGTTACAGGACCACGGCTGCCAACATTAAATGCTGAAAGGTACATTCGTGAGTGCTTAGAACCTCACGTGATACCATACGCGGACTATGTGGTCCCAAATTTCCTTTTTATGCATGACAATGCAAGAGCCCATGCGGCCGGCATCGTCAGGGAATATCTTCGGGATGTGAACATCACAGTTATGAACTGGCCAGCCAGAAGCCCAGACATGAACCCCATTGAGCACATGTGGGACGAGCTAAAAAGACGTGTTAGGGCTCGTCAGCCAGTTGCCCAGACGATGCAGGAGTTGAAAACTGCCATAGAAGAGGAATGGGAGATGATCCCTCAAAATTTCATAGAGCGGTTGATAAACTCTATGCCTAATCGTATGAGAGCTGTGGTAGATGCTCATGGAGGCAACACGCGTTATTAAATTAAACCTTTATTTGATAAAACATGTTTTTTATTCAAAAATCAATTGCCTTTAACAAGGCGCATATCCGACTTGTTAGGCGTAGCTCCATGTCGTATGGTATTCTGAATTTTAAAACAATACGATCGAAAAAGATGGTAAAATGTATCAGGTTTAAAACTGCATCAACAGTTTTTGTTCAATCTAGCAAACATATTTCGGTAGAGGCCATCGAAACCTAAACTCTAAGGTGGGCCAATAGATGTGTCCAGAAGTGTATTATAAGCTTATACATATAACGTTAAAGCTTGCCTATATAATAACCATAAAAGTAAGAACTTGAATACTAAATAATAGTGCTACACCAAAATTAAGTTTAATGTTTTGCAAACGGTCCTCCAGAGTCCCAAGTCCAGTCGGATTTGCAACGCGGACAGAGTCATCGAATCTCCTTGCTGTAACGCCAATTTTTTTTCAGGTCAAGAGCATTTCCAATTAGTGTCCGAAGACCTAGAAACTGCTGTTTAAGGGAAAAAGTCCACGGAAGCCATTCCATAAGCAAATTCGGTCGGAACGCAAGTACCTACATAGTAATACATAAGAAATGTTTTACTGAACTTATACTCTGACACCAAAGTGATATTGATAATGCCTATCTTGTGACCATTTTCCATTGAAATTTTCATAATATTGTAATTTAATTCTAAATTAATATTGTAAAATATGAATATAATTAGCGTATGAATGAATATTACGTTGTATTTGAATTGTATAATTATTGTTATTTAATATCTCAAAGATATTATTAGGAAATCTTTTCAGTCTCTTAGAATGTTTAAATAATACCAGAAATTTTATCGTACTTACAAATCTCTTAGTTTATACTCACATTCGTGAGTGTGATTAAAATTCATATAATTGAAATCAAATTTTATTCTTTGATAACATTTGTAGATTAAAAATTACAGATACAATGTAGTTATAGGGTCAAATTTCCGACAAAAATCGTCTAGTTTCGTCACAAGTACAATTTCCAAGAGACATTTATAAAATAAGTAATAGCAGTATATATATAAAGTAGGAAACTTGATGAATACAATATATAATTCCCATTTAAATTACATCCTTTGAAGTTGACTACACGCACATGCTGTTTATAAAAAAATAAAAACGTGGTAATATTTACCGTACCAACAAATTCAACAAATTACTAAAATAATAAAAGCTTATTAATATTAACTACCTAAGTGAATTTCAAAAGAATTTTAATTTTTTCATAAATTTTGTAAAATGAATTGGGCTGAAATGTGAAATCTTGAAACATATCTGAGTAAATAAATTTATATAAAGCTATGTGCCTGTATGCAACCCTCACACACAATAAATTTATTTTACCTTATTTGATTTCCTTTCCATTTTGTAGTGTATCTAAGGGACCCCGATCTTCATACATTTTATCTCTAAGCATTTGAATAGAGGATCTATTCTGTGAATAGTCAAAAAGAGACTCGAAAAGAAGTCGTTCACAAAGTAAAAGTAATGGAAACACGTCTAAGAATCCTAAATCCTTGACACGACCTAAAATTTATTGTGAACAGAATTGGAAGAATGGTTCTTCTCATTTGACGTCGATTCACTGTTGTTTCTTCAAAAATATTTATGACATCCTAAAACTTTGATTTTCGTCAAAAGTTTGCTAATTAACCAATAATTAACATACATCATTCAGTCATACGATCCAGAGTAATATGTAATATGAGTTTTATTTGCCTTATAATTTCTACAAAAAAATATATATTCTACTTAGCTACGAGTATAATATAATAGTGTTCTAGTGAGTAATAATAGGCCTTATCTACTTAAAACTCTCTTCCTAATCATTTAGTTGCGAGGTTCCGATTGTAATAATCTTTCGTAGTGTATACCTTAAAACTATTCACTGGTAAGGGATAGTCTTAGACTAAATTTATGTGCCGCTGTGTTAATTAGAATGCTGATTTGATCAGCTTTTTTTAATATTATGATCTCAATTTCTTTGATTTGTTTTATTTTATGTATGTATGAATAATTTTATACCTATGATCTGCTCACAGTTGTACCTACTCCGAACGCTTGTTGTATTTATTTATATTCGTTAAGATCGTTAACCGTTGGCTTTTGTCATTTTGATTAAATATTTATTTTTATATTATATCGATGTAAAGTAGCGGCAAACGGTTTTCATGTAGTTCTATTCGGAATTGTCCGGAAGTCCGGCAGTTTGGAGGTTCGATAGTAAGGAACAGCCGTACTATTTTATAAAAACAAACTCACTTTTTACCGGAATCGGAATCTGCGTTGTGATTTAATATTAGAACACAAAAAAAATATATCACACCGGTGAAAAGTTAGAAGTTTATTCTTATAGAATGCACTAGCAGATCCTTGCCGGATTCCAATCGACACCGTTGTAATTTTTTCTTTGATTCTCGTCGTCGCCTCTTGAATTATTGGCACGAGTCAATGTCGTTAATTGTTATTTGTGACTGTAATGCCAATACCTCTATTTATAGATATGTATCTAATAGTTTAGTATTTAACGAATTTACTCGTACTACTCGCTGACAAGCGAACAATGAAAGACAAAGCTGTGAGAATTATGGTCATAATGTAAAAAGTAGTTCATTTTTATTGTAAGCGAGAATGATGTACACACCTTATCGCCGTTTGTGAGTTCCCCTACCCTTATTTGTGAGTGTAAGATTCGTGTTTCTCGCTAGTTTTAATGTCGTCAATATTGACATTTCTAATTGTCAATATGTCTGTGTATACCTCAAATCAGAGTACGATCTATATAGTCGTAACAGAATTATTTACCATTTGAAAAATAAGCAGCTACGTGTGTACTGCCTGCACCTACATAAAGGTTTCATTCGTAATGTTAGTATTGACACGGTTTTATTTAAATAATAAACAAAAGCAAAGCATTATAATAATTTAACGATTCTCGTTTTATATCTTACTCTTAAATAACTACTTCAGTACCTACAGTCGGTTTTTTTTTATATTTTACTTTTAAAATGCGATTACAAGTATAATCGTTCACACTCTACCTAGATAGAGATAAAAAGTTTCTTTTCCTACGTAATCGAGACGTAAGCTAAAGCTATTATCGCTTTAAAGTGGCTGACAGACTTTTATCACCGTACCTACATACTATATCTGTAAACAATCCGCTCTGTTATTACAAAACTGTCCAAAAATGGAGTGTAGTGTTTAAATAATATGTGCACACGTAGCATAACAGACTCTTATTTTCAAACTGTTCGTAATGTACCTACTTGTATTTAATTCTGTTTTTTTTTTAATATTGCAAACCTGCATAGAATAATGAACTTACAAAATTAATATTACCTACCTGCGCCAATTTATTAATAATAAATTAATTTAATTAGTGATACTTTCCTAATAATATAACCTATTATAGTCTTGTACCTATATACTATACTGGAGGCCTTCGTGTAGAGTATTGTATATCTCTTATAAATTTAAATGCAATTTCATAGTGTAAAATTTCACGACCAAGTTCGTATCTTAAAAATGATGATTATCACTAGGTTAGATTCAAGCACTGATTTATTAAATATGCTTTTTCTATCGAATATTTGGTAGAGATTGGATAAAGTCCAATGTGATTTATTTAATTATTGATGTATGTATTTAGTGATAAAAGCACGTATTTGTAATAATAGCCCTCTGATAATGCCTTCTTAAGTGGTGACGAAATAAATAGTAATTTGTTCAAAATGTAGTGAATTTTTAAAGTTTATAAAAAATCCTAATTGTACGTTATTGTACTGGTATTCATTATATACAAAATATATCAGAACAAACCTTATGCTTGTATTTTTCTCCCTCGTAAAAAAAGATTCCTTGTATCTGAATTTTAATATCCGAGAGAGCAACAGAAGACATTACAATTGTCGAGCATTTTGTATTAGTTACGGTTCATTATTATTGGGTATATACATAATATAAACAAAGTATCATTCGAAACGAAACAGGGGTCGTGCCGTGAACTCTTACCGGCTCGATCCTATTTTTAGAGAGTGAGGTAACTTATGTGGAGAGACATCTCGCTTTTAACGTTGATTTTGTAACGCTTTATGAGGTCATAAATACGTTCCCTAAAAGCGGTCGTTTGTATCTTAACTATTTCCGCAATACAAAATCAGCCCTTCGACACGTCCTCTATGCTATGTTAGTCTTGGAAAAACTTGAAACAAGATTGACGCATGTAGTTGCAAACAGGTCCCCCACAGTCCCGGGACTTTTCGCTTTCCGAGCAGTAGCTCCAATCTCGAGCGCTATTACAATAAACATTGATTTGAAACCAGAATAAAAAAATTCAAGCACTCTTAAACTAATAAATAATAATTAATTAATTAATAATTAATTATTCTTTAACTAATTTAATCTTTGAACAAAACCATGGACCCGAAAGGTTAGATTTTAGAGCCGCCTAAATGAAAGCAAATGGAATTATTCAGTTTTATAATACTATCTTTCCGGAACACGAGATACCGATTTTTCACTGAACGATCGCCAACAACAGCCTTGTTGTTGGCGATCGTTCAGATCGAACCAACAACATAGACGTCTCTCTTTGCACAGTGCAACGGTGCGAGCAGCTTCTTGCACGATACCTTTCAGTATGACATTAAAAGTTTGTATACATATTTTCAAATATAACCCAAATTGAAAGGCAACATGATAGGAGCTTAACGAGCCTGCTCTACGTCTCTGCAATATCACAGGCCGTTGGAAGCCGGCGGGCGTAACAATCACAAGTGCGACGCGTCAAGATATCATGGTACGACCCCAATAAGACAAAAGTTCACCTATTTCTTTTGTGTCACGTAGGGTAAAATAGGGTAAACGGGCCTACGAATTTCCAATTTGCTGAGTAATATATAGGTACGTCCAGTATTATAAATTATTTTGTGTTAGTACTGTCGTTAACGTTACTTTATTTCTAAGATTGTTGTAAATTAGTGTGTTCTTTTATTATTATTATTATTACTTACTATTGTAAAAATATATTGTTGATATTAATATTTATTTCGGTCAGAGTTGAAATAACTGCTCACTCATTGAGTGCAACAATTGTATACCTACTTACTAACTTAAAGAATCTCGAATGTTTAAGGCAAATTGAGTATTTGTAATGAATACAAATAGGCGAGAAATTGTACGGTCTCCTCCTTTTAGACGATAAATCACCAGGGCAGGGTAGCAATAGGAGTTCAAAACTACAATTTATAAATTTCGAAGCTTTGTATCTATTTAATGTTGATTCACTGCATACTCACAGCTGATTGGGTACCTACTGTTGTCCGTGAATTCCTTTAAAGTATCTTGCAACCGCGAAGGCCAAGTTCGAGACCACTGTCTGATAGGACAAAATTAAAAATAGGACACTATAAGACTAGGCGCACACGTATGGTTTCCGGATCAGAAATTTAAATTCGGATACGTTCCGGTTTTTTTATTAGCTAAAGTCCAAATCGAACGTTAGATTTTTAACCATTTTGAAAAAATACGAACAGTGTGCGCCTCGTTGAACATTTTGTATATAAGGACGTGCATTCAGGTTTCCGGATCAGGAAACGGACTCAGGAAACCGTACTTTCCTTGATTTTCGTGCATATGTTCCCTTATTTTAGAATACCATGTCTATAAACTTTCATAGAGCATTAGCAGCGCTACTCTCTAAAGTAGGCTACGGGTTACAGCGCTGCGACAACGCTGCTGCTACCTACACAAAGTCGTCATAGATCTGAACATTGAATTATATAATTGCACTTTAACTATAATTGTTCCGACTCCGAACGTGCCGCGTTAGGGTGCGGCCAGAGTGCACTCAGATTCAGACTCAGATTCAGATTTCGAAAACAAGCGCGAGAAATAAACAGTGTAGTCTAAGCAGGTTGCTTGCTTTTTCTCGCGCTTTGTTTTCTGAGTCTGAATCTGAATCTGAATCAGGAGTGCAATCTGGCCGTACCCTTCGACTACACTGTTTATTTCTCGCGCTTGTTTTCAGAATCTGAATCTGACTCTGAATCTGAGTGCACTCTGGCCGCACCCTTAGGGTTGTGTTATCGCTATTATTAGTCAAGGTCAATGCCAGACACATTTTGATAAGACCACTTTGATATTTCTGTTTGAAATCTTACAACATAAGTTTCATACGTCCAGCATGTGATAGATTTAGTTGCATATCCGTCTTAACAATATTGTCGCTTGTAAACAGTTTGATTAACCTTTGACCTTGCCCATTTCCAAACAAGTTATAATGACAAAATTTTAAATCGGATTCGATACTAGTCCTTTACGAGTATATATGGCAGCCGAAGTAATTTGGATGCTCGAAACGCATTTGTTTTGTATTGTTATTTGTTACCTCGTACTTATAAGTCTGCTGGATTATTGTTGTTACTGATTTTGGTCGAGTCAATTGCTCTGAACCTTTGTCTATAAACGCAACCACGACTAAATAATACACATGTTTAGTTGTGGTAACGTTTATTATGGTACTACATAATGTAACAAAATATGAGTTAAACATTTAGCTAAACGTGTAAAGAATTTACATATGTATAATACAACATTGATCCGCTTTTATTGAAAAGAGAATAAAGCACATCGTGTGCCTGCAATGCAATTTTGATAAATTACCCCACTGCAACAAAAAGAGTAAGGGCAGCTACACACGGAATCGGGCCGGCATAGTCGGTTCGGCAGTATTTGTCGAACAACAAAGCCAACTCCTAGTAATTACTGCCGAACATTCATTTATACATATTCGAATTTACCGGCCGGCTGTGCCGATTAATGCCGGCCTGCTTATGTGTGTAGCTACCCTTATATTTATCGCAATCAAGCTCAAGGGTCTCAATGCTTGCCATGAAACTAATTGTAAATGCTTGGTATTACTCGTATGACCAAATAGTGTCTTAAATATTTGTCCCCACTAAAGCTTTCTAAAACAGTATGAAGAGGTTCTCAAATTAGTATGAAGGGTATTTAACGTTGAAAACATGAATGTAAAATACAAAATCATAGTTCTCTAACACGTAACAACAGCAATTGAGGTGTTAAGTTATGTCAGATACGAATTTTTATTTAAGTTTACCGAAATGCAGCAAATTTTCTAAATCTCTTTACTTGGATTTAGCCCATACAATATAGTGAACTCAACATTGACGTTTTGACATTTTTCTATGGAATAAAACTAATTTTAGGTGAAACGAGATTTAGCAAATTTGCGTCAAGTGGACCTAAGAATTATAAATAATTATACTTAATTCATATAACTAAGAGAAAGTAGGTACTTATATACCTAAGTAGATATCTAAGCTCTCTACCGAGATCGTAAAGCAAGGGCAACTTCTACCAATGTAGCTTACTTAGCTCCATTGGTACCTACCTACTTTCGTGTTTTCTTTTAGTTTTTTATGTGCCGGTTTTACACAGTCTTTGCATCCATGCCTTTATGCATAAATAGACCAATCTATTTAAAGTAAATCGTAAACAATTCTACTGGATATATCATCGAGAAACAAGAACTCTATATTGTGTATAGCATAAGATTTAGTAAATATGTAAGCCACTTTTAAAAATACATTTTATATTTAACTACAAACATTATAAACATAAATTTAATAGTGTTTCGAGAGCACTTTTTTCGTTGTAAGTACATACTTATTTTTGCACTCAATAAAGTCACTATTTTAAAAAAATATATTTAAAGGAGTACATTGAAAGAACAATAAATAAATAAAAACTATTTGAAAATTGTTTTATTTCTAATTTATTTTTCCTGTAATTACCCATTAGGCCCACTTTGCTTGCTCGATAATCAGGCCTTATCTGGCATGCATGATTCTATATATGTATACTTTAGAAAACGTTTGAATTAATAGGATTTCCCTGGGTGTGAACGCCAACCTATCACGGGGATGAAACATTTTTTTTTTAAATGTACAAATGGGAATTTATAAATTGACTAATCTTATTGTTATCAACTTTTTTTCTTTAACATTTTACTAATAATAATACACAGAAGAAGGAATACAACCTTGTAAAAGCTGAAAAAGACAAAGAAAACAAATATCTTGGTTTAGCTCGCGAGATTGTTGACATGTGGGACATCGATTCAGCAATTGTTGTACCGATAATCATATCTGCCCATGGTTTGATAGCCAAGAGCCTCGATAAACACCTTAAGAGGCTCGCGTTAGGTGGTTGGGTCAAGAGTCAGATGCAGAAGGCAGTACTTCTGGACACGGCCCGTATAGTGAGGAGGTTCCTATTTCTGGATCCTTAACCACCGGTAGCAGTGACCCTAATCTTGCTGCCGATGGGGAACTACATTTTTGTATTTTTAAATGTTATTTTTTAATGTTATGTAAAAAATTTATATTTAGAAATATAATTTTGTATGTATATTTAACGAAATAAAGGAAATAATAATAATAATAATGTATTTCCAGTAAGAGTTGATTTACAATTTAACTAATTTAAGGCTAAAACAGTACTAATATCTCTAACATAATTACATATTTATCTGCTGCCGAGCTAGGCAAAATGCCTGTATTACGGCATACAGCGCCAATCCCCTTAGCGCATATGGTATCATAAATCCGTTACATTCAAAATTAAATGGAAAAGACAAGAAACTTATATATATTCAAAAAATGTGTGCGTGTGTGTGTGTGTGTGTGCTAGTGAGTTTTGCGTATAATAATATGATATGTATGGTATGGACTGTACTACATTATGTATATTATTATGTATTGTTACCTATTGGCTAAATTATTTAATGACCTGCAATATTTTTTCTGTTTCATCATATGTAAGTGTTTTTAACCATGACGTTATTGTCATACATTTATAAATAGTTAGAGGATATATGTTTAGTGTTTTATTTATTTTATTATAGATTAGAGGTCCTAGAAATGTAGGGAACCTATTACTAAAAGCAGTCGAAAACCTGTTTATAAATTGGCACATGAATCCTCTGCGAGTAGATTGCATTTTAGGATTAAATTCAGTTTGAGCATGTTGTTTGATTACCAGGTTCAAAATAAAAAGTTGGCGGACTGTGAGAACATCACAATAACTATACAATTCAGTTGTTGAAAAGATAAAAGGTTTAAATGTACAGATTTTTAGTATTGCCCTTTGTGCGATTTCTAATTTCTTAAGTTCTGTTTTTGCCGCCCCACCCCAGCAGACTATACAGTAAGTAAGAAGAGATTGACACAATGCATAATAAATTTGTTTCAAGCGGTTTGGTTCTAAAATGTGTTTAATATTTTTGAAGATATATATTAGTCTACGTACTCTAGCACTTACTAATTCTATATGTTCACGAAAATCGAGGTGAGCATCAATAATAACACCAAGGTATCTTAAACTGTTTACTTTTTCAAGACTCACACAAGAACAATCCAGATCACACGGGGAGCAGGCATGCGCTAAAATTTTATATTCTTTATTTAATGTAACTTGTCGAATTAAAAACTGGATATATTTAGTTTTTGCAATATTTAATGTTAGTTTATTTTCAGATAACCACATTTTTATAATGTTAAAACCATTTTGAGCATTGCCAAAAACCTTATCCCTAGATAAATCAGAAAACACAAGAGCAGTGTCATCCGCATATGAAATAATTTCACCATGTGGCAATTTTACCTCAGATAATCCATATAAATGGATATTTTATAAATCCATATAAATTATATAAATAAACGAGGAAAAGCGTCGGCCCCAAGATGCTTCCTTGCAGCACACCATACTCTATGGGAAGACTATCACTTACATGTGGACCTATTTTAACACATTGCTTGCGATTTTTTAGATAGTCTTCGAACAATTTTAGCTGATTCCCACGTACACCTATGCTCTCAAGTTTACGTAATAATAATGAGACAGATACTGTGTCAAATGCCTTCGCTAAGTCCAAAAATATTGCAATGCTCTTTTTATTTTTGTCAAGAGATGAGGCTATAAAATCAGTGAGAGTTAAAACAGCATTATTTGTTGATTAATTTCGACGAAAGCCATTAGTGTTTATCTGATAATATGTTATTTTTTTCAAGATAATTTACTAATTGATTATTTATAATTTTTTCCAAGATTTTTGAAAGCGATGGTAGAATAGAAATTGGTCTATAGTTTGACATACTGCCTTTGTCACCGCTTTTATATACAGGGTTACAGGGAAAGTCGTACTGAATAATAAAGAACGTTATTATTCAGGTCATTTCTGATGGATTTGGTCCTATAATATCGAGCCCTTACCGCCAAATTATCGTAAACGACACTTTTATCGAAATGCGTTTTTTGTGGAAACTAATATTTTAAACCGTAACGGACCCATCTCTGTTGATATTTCCCTCTATTATATTATAACGGTGTTCTTTTGGGGGGAAATTTCCACATAAAACGCATTTCGACAAAAGTGTCGCTTACGATAATTTGGCGAGTGTCGCTTACGATAATTTGGCGGTAAGGCCTCGATATGGTGTCCGAAACTTAACCGTTATGGAGATATTGGATATTAAAATTTTTTTAAAAAAAATCCTATATTTTTGGGTTTTTGTCGATTTTTTTGAAACTAGAGCTCCAAAGATCCGATTTTTTAATGTATCTAGCTAGAAATGTATGTCATCATCTGGTCGTATACAAGGCTTTTCATATGACCCCACACATAATAATGTAATTTAAGAAAAAGAATGAGAATATGTGTTAGAAATAGCGGCGGCCATGTTGAACATGAATTATAAAAATATTTACTAAGCTTTTTTGGTTTTATTTACGTATTTTTGCTATTTTTACCTCAAACTAAAAATGTACCCTCTGCTACCATAACTGTTATTTGGTCAATGTTTTGCCAATTTAATAGCAAGTGTTATACCTTTTTGAATAGCTAAAGAGACGTAGAAGTTTTTAAAATTATTTGCAGAATAAGTTCCATACATGTTTTTTTAGGAAAGCGCTTCAAAGTTAACAACACTTGGTGAAAATTCTTTAGTTATAACCGTTGTCGAGCAGTTTTTTTAAGCCGTTAGAAGTAAGTTCAGTTTTTATTCATTATTTTTATTGCTTGACATGTCTTCTAACTAGATTCATTAAAAAATCGGACCTTTGGAGCTCTAATTTCAAAAAAATCGATAGTAACCCAAAAAATATAGGATTTTTTAAAAAATCTTTAATATCCAATATCTCCAAAACGGTTAAGTTTTGGACACCATATTATAGGATCAAATCCATCAGAAATGACCTGAATAATAACGTCCTTCAATATTCAGTACGACTTTCCCTGTAACCCTGTATATATATGAATATACATTTTCTTTAGAATTGAACATCAAGCAATTACATACTTATAAATAAAAAATATAACTATAATTGCTATTTCTTACACCTACACCCCAAAGATGATGACCCCACGTGTGGCACAACCAAAAGGCATCAAATAACTGAAGGGTCAGTTAAGTGAAACAAGTTTATACATACTAATTCACTTTATTTATAGCTAACTACATACTTAGTTATTTACTTGTTCATATTGCGAACATTTCTTGTTCTTTAGATTATACACAAATCGGTACAAAATTTTGCAGTAACATTATTTTTTCCAGAAAGTAGGTATTTATCAACTTTTCATGTTCGATCCTCACTTTTCAAATTTATTATCTAACAACCGCACTCACAGACGTTAATTAACGTTTCAGTTTAGTTAAAACTGATGCGGTGACTTTCTTGGCGATAATGGTAAACGGCAACATGTAACTGGATAAAACAAAATATATTGGCGTCACTGAGTGCGGTCATTAGTGATTACAAAGTTTTGCCCGATAGTGCAAACCTTACACAGTAAGGCTGAACACACAATCAAACGCATACATTACTACATACTATTGAGACAACAGTATAAAAAGAAAAAAATAAATTATCATACAAAAAAAACAAACAATCATTCCGTACTCGAGGGACATGTTTGACCTGCGCGAACTTTATATCGATGAGATGACGTAAACTTATTATAACATCGAGATACTTCAAAACATAGCTAACGATCAGTTCCTTACAATTTTTTAACTACCTTATTCAATTTCCACATAATTTTAACATATGTATGTTCGGATTTTGTGACAAAATATATCAGCTGAACATAAATTCTAAATAGGTACGTTAGTTACTAAAGAAGTAACTTTTTTAAATAATTCACTAGAAGTAGCTGGGTACAATGGGGCCATGGAAAAAACAATAGTTCATAAAGCCTAAAGGTCAACATACGTAGTTGACCCTTTTCGTATGGCGTCACCAAAGTACACCTAATTCCAACTCCTAATGAAAGAGGACTTTATCTAATTATTACACTAATTTAATAACACGCCAAGATACATTACATGACTAGTCAGATATAGTAGCTATAAAGATAAGAGTCTCATTCATAATATTGCAAGTAAAAATTATTAAATACCTCGATTGGACCATTTTTCAAACATGTTACAAATTAAAATTTAATGTTTTGTGATAATCAATCGTTTATATTTGCTTTAGTTGTGTGCTACGAATTATTGTCAACGCAAATATCTCGTAAAAGAAATATAATGAAGTATTTATTTTATCTACATGCGTTGCAAATTAAATCAAACCAAAATTGATAATCATTATAGTAACTTAATGATAAGGACAGGACGATAACTTTTTTTATTAGAAAAACTTTTTATGAACACATGCACAGACACATCATAACGAATATCACATTCCAAATAAACAAGAAACTATCATTCACATTTATTATTATAGAAACTGAGATTATTTAGTAACTGTTCAAAACGTATTGGGCGTTTATACATTGGGCCAGTCACGATATCTATATCGTGTCGTTTGTTCAGCAACGGGTCTACCCGTTGCTGAACAAACGAAAACCTATAGAAAAGCCATTAGACGGGCGTAAATCTAACAAAAATGTTACAAAATATTGACTTCTGTATCAATTGACATTAAGTATTCTAAAACAATTAATATTATGCTAATTCAACTGAATTGTTTAAGTACCGTGTATTCTATCCATACATTATACTGAATAGCAAAAAGTTAATATTATAGTGTTCCAGTAAACATCCAAAAAATACACTCGAGTGCAAGCGGATTTTTCGAGAATTACCACATAGTAAATTGAAAAAAAAATTCAAATTGCATTATTAGCATAATTTAATATTCTTATTATAACAAAGTAGCACTTATTTTAAAACAAACATTTTAAATAAGTGGATGTCTTTTAAAGGTTTCCTTAAACCAAATAAGTTAATACTAGAGATCAGAATCATTGTTAGGAAACAACTAGATTATTATTCTGTAATACTAATAACAAAATACTGGGATACTTAAGAAGTTACCTTATAGAAATTGGACAATAATTTTGATACTACAAAAGTCCCCAATTAAAAAAACATAGAAATATCGGCATTTATCACATTTTCTTGAAGTTACTTTAATAAAATAATTTACAAAGACGCAAGAGCTAGTGCAGGTCGCAACATATGTGAACAGAATTTACGGTTCAAACCCTTTTTATGTTTAATAACTGTACAAACTGCACCTTAATACAGTCGCCGTTTCAAGACGATAAAAAGGTTGAAGCTTTCATGAAGCTAACATTTCTAATCGTAATAAAAAATACGATTGCAGAAATCTATTACGTACTTGTAATTTTTTTCTAAGCTGGCAGGAATAATCGCAGAAGGCAGGTTTAAAAGGATAAGGATGGCACTGCATTGAGTTAAGTAGATATTATGTACATGTATCATCGCATTAACAAATAATAATCACAATTTTACGACATATAAAAACATCTAAAAATAAATTTAAGAACACCATTCATTCTTAATAAATACGATGAATCTGTTCTTAGAATGGTAATAAAAACTAGAAAGTTAAAGACAGAAAAAAAATAACTTCAAACTTTGGTAACAAAAATCGTGTCCGTGATGCTAGCGTACCCACGATCAATATACGGTATTTCGTTATGCCATTAAATACTGCGTAAATAGTGCCAAATTAGTGTAAAAATAAAAAAAATAGTGCCTCTTTAATTTAAGAAATAAAGATCATTTTTACTGTGTACGCTACCATGACGTCAAGCTAGCGTATCTATGGCCGACCCCAAGAACGGCATATATTTAAGCAACGAAATTGACACACAAAAATAGTTCGCAAATAATGCCCTGGCTTTACAAAATTTCATAATCAATACTCTTAAAGGACCAAAGATATTGAACTAAACATTCTTAGCTGGCGTCAACCTGGCGTACCCATAATAGTTCTCATAGAAAATGAACTTTTCTCGTTATCTATTCTATATGTATAAATAGTGTGTCAAATAGTGCCTCTAACAGTAAAAGTATTTTATGTGAATTCGCAGTAAAACAATATAAAAAAGCAATTAAATTATTTTTATATATGAAGTACAGTCATGTTCAGAAGAGATAATATTTTCGCAGTATAGTAGGTAAGTAAGGTACTTAGTAGGTAGGTTGAAATTCTTATATGAATTTATGATTGGTGAATTCGAATTGAAATAAGATATCTTTTTATAAAAAGTACCTATTTATTTTAGTAAAAATACATATATAGATAACCTCTTAGTGCATAAATTAATTTTGTGTGCAACTGTACTACAATACATTTGTTCCTAGAATTTAACATCCTCTTTATGTATTGTTGTGATGCGGATTCACATAAAATACTTTTACTGTTAGAGGCACTATTTGACACACTATTTATACATATAGAATTGATAACGAGAAAAGTTCATTTTCTATGAGAACTATTATGGGTACGCCAGGTTGACGCCAGCTAAGAATGTTTAGTTCAATATCTTTGGTCCTTTAAGAGTATTGATTATGAAATTTTGTAAAGCCAGGGCACTATTTGCGAACTATTTTTGTGTGTCAATTTCGTTGCTTAAATATATGCCATTCTTGGGGTCGGCCATGGGTATGCTAGCTTGACGTCATGGTAGCGTACACAGTAAAAATGGTCTTTATTTCTTAAATTAAAGAGGCACTATTTTTTTTATTTTTACACTAATTTGGCACTATTTACGCAGTATTTAATGGCATAAAGAAAAACCGTATATTGATCATGGGTACGCTAGCATCACGGACACCAAAAATCGACAAGCTTCAGTCACTTGTAAATTTAGAAGAACGATATCTACATTTACGTTAACAATCTCATATAACTGAGTCATACAAACACTATAGGTATTTACTGCTGAATGAGTGCAGGAGTAATTTATTTAAGTATTTGTGCACTTAAAATAACAATAACATTCTCAAGGGCGCGACTTATACAGTAACAGGTATCTTGACTTCCTTATTAACAATGTAAAATTTGTGTTTTTTCCCTAAAACTCCCCAAATAACAGCAATATTTTCTATCACAACATTAAATGGAATTGTCGCCAATGCCCCAGCAATAAATAGGCAAAATTTCAAAGGCCCGAATCTATGCATAGGGAATGATTTTACAACCCCGAATATGTACATGTAAATATTAACAGCACCCATGAATCCACATATTAAATCCAACATACTACCACATGGAATGGGACAAATTGCAGCTAAGAAAATATTGCTTGTTAATAACGGCAGTGTAACCCACGAATAACATGATATTGCTAAAAAGACTTTATTTAACACTGGTATATCTTTCGAATGGACAACTAAAAGAATACCTTGGATCCATCTTTTTCTCTGTTGGATGAAATCCCAAAGTGTGAATGGAGATTTCTCCCACATCTCACCTTCAACAAAATTGAATGTGTACCCTTCTTTATATGCCTTCATTGCAAAATAGCAGTCCTCAGCAATAGAGCCATCAAGACCATTATCAAAAGAAACTTTTTTCTCTGCATTCATCTAAAACAATATAACAAATGATCAGACTTAGTATAATTACAACGTTCATGAAGTTGATGACCACAAATAAATTTAAAATAATCACCTGCGTAACGACATAGGAACCTTTCCAACTGAATAGTGGTTTGTGAAATAGGTAGAACTGGAATCTCAGCTTTCCCATGTCATCGGCAACACGAAAACTATCCGCTAATGTCGTCATCCAATTAATAATATTCTCATTGGCATATGTTATTAAACCCTGGCCAAACTGATGCTGACCGTCTAGTACAAAATTCAAAATACCTCGAATCGAATTTGGTGAAAGCAACGTTTCTTCGTCTAAATGCACAATCCAATCAGACTCAGTCAATATATTGACATCGTCTTCCAAGCAATACTGCAATGCGCGCGACTTGAAGAGTGCACCAGTCTTGGTTTGATATTCTGACGGCACAACGACTTCTCTTACTCGTCTATGTTTTGGTAGGTTTATTGCTTTGTCAGTTACTACTTCTATCATAAAATTCTCCATACCAACGTCGGTGCATAAATTCATATTTCTCGTAACATTATCCTTTACAAGTTTTGGAAAGTCACCTCTCGTGACAACTCTGATACAGATGAAAGGTGCGAGTAAAGGTGACCCTTTTAACTTTATTTTTCCAGGAAAGGCGTTGAAAAGTAATAACCCAGCAAAATTGCACAAAGCTTGGGGTGCATTCATTAGTGTTAGCAGTCTCAGAGTGTATAAAATTATTGTACCATAGACTCCATAAGTTTCCCATGGGTCGATATTATCTTTTTCTTTTCCATCCAAATTTATTGCACCAGCGAAAACCAGGAACATAAATATGAACCAAAGAAATGATATACAGTGTAATAAATGCTTCATTCTTCCCCTGAGCATCCTGAAACAATAAAAATATCATGTATCATTATAGTGGAATAGGAAATTTTGATGTATTAAGTAGATTATTAAGTAACAGAATTTCATAAATCTTAAGGTTATTTAGTATCTAGGTACTGAAATATTATTGACTCTTTTACCCTCAGAAGCGGCAGAAAGTAAATTTAAATATAAATAAACGAAAAATAATGAAAATCTGTAGTAAAAGGTATCAATCATTGTGTCTTGACAAACGCACACGTTTAATTTTAGATCGCACTTAAGATTATTTAGAGCGTTATATTAATACGGGGGCTATAAATGTGCCTTAGATTTCCTTTATCATTCTTGGGGCTCTCAAACTCTTTCCGCAATTCCCTTCTGAACTAAAACGACATTTTAATGTGACTTAAGCTAATCTCTTTCCCAAATATAAAATGATCGAGCTCGCAAATGTTGAACTACTGGTTCAATCAAATTTACGTAGAAGGTCCACTGAGAGTCCATACAAGACACGCCGTTAGTTATGTGAGGAATATTGCTAAATAAAGCGAGGAAAGGTGAGTCAATGAGTGAGGTGAGGAATTTTGCAGTGTTTTCCTCCCGTAGTACCCAAGGACCAACAGCATTAAACAACTAGTTGTACCACGTCTATGTAGTTTGTTCATGGTTACTTTAACAAATCACTTTTTCCCACAGTACCCATGTACCAACCGCATTGCACAACCAGTTGTGCCAAAAGAAAATTTTGTCCCCGTGACACAACCAAATACGATATTTAAAATTTAATATTTATTATGTTCCTCATCCCTATAATACAACAAGACTCGCAAGTTTTACCATAAATAAGGAGTTTCGAGGAATTCACTAAAACAAAAAGTATTGTTCATTTTTGATATTTTGGAATGTTTAGGGAATAATTTTGCACGAATTGCTTTAATTATCCCTATAAAAGTACTATCATTTATGTGGTAGAATACAATATTTATTTATTGCGTTAGGGGCTGTTCAAGTATTACGTAAGCACTATGGGGGGGCAGGGGGGTCTTTGCTTTGCTTATTTTTGATGACATGGGGGGGAGGGGGGTAGAGATGGTGATTACGTCAGCATCATCGATTAAGCCTTTTTAAGTACTGCTGCTCATAAAGCTCATGAATCAATAAAAAAAAATACATTAAAGGAAAAATGAATATAGGTACCAATGTTTACGTAAGGATGGGGGGGAGGGGTAAGAGCTTTGCTTACTTTTGCTGACGAGGGGGAGGGGGTAAATAATTGTAATAAATCTGCTAACGTAATACTTGAACGGCCCCTTATCGTACAAAAACATGACAATTTATATTACATTTAAAAGTTTTTCTCTCAGAAAAATCAATTTCCATCCATTATTTCGACGACTTTTTCACGAATTTTACGAATACACAGCAGTGTGGCCACTACACAGACGGTCGAGCCATCAGCTGTCACCATCCATGGATGCGCGTGGCACGCTGTAACATAAACACACACGAGTATTCGCGCAAGCGCTCGGCGCCGCCTAAACGAAACAGCAGCGGCTGTCTACTCTCCATCCGTCTTACAAATACGATAAAATATTACTATGTTTCGTCCAATATATTCGTGTCCTGACGCGAGTTAACATTTTTTACCCATTACAAAAAAGTGTACAACGCCGCTAAAGAAGTTTTCGTCTTACGAATTTTCGATCAGGTCACGTGTCCTGACGCGAGTTTAACATTTTTACCCATTACAAAAAAAAGTGTACAACGCCGCGCCGCTAAAGAAGTTTTCCCTTCAAACCTTAACAAAACTTTATGTAAATAAGAAGTTATCTCTTATTTATAAACAAGTAATTACTTTGCTGCTAAGTAACTAAGTCATTATTTGACACTATATTTGTTCAATAAAACAAATGGTTAGCTACGAAAATTTATGACTATTATAGTACTTGGTTACAGCTCGCGCTAATAAAAAAACGAATCTCATATGACGACGTAAGGAGCGACGATAGACATTGTCTCTCGCACCTGCTGTCCTATGTAACATACGAGAGATACAGAATGTTTTGCGTGGGCATATTCGATTCGTTTCTGACAAGGCATGGCAAACATTATTTAATAATAAATTCATAATATTTTTACGCCATTCGTTTCTCGAATTTGATCCTGTCATCATTAATACATCCAATCGATCCTTCATCCTTCTCATCAAATACTGCACATACATTAACGCATATGAGGGTATAAGACGCAAGATATTCGCCCGCGACATGACCGGAAGGACACCGCGAATAGCAATAGTCGTCGATGGCCAATCGCCTCGATCGAAAGTGCTAATAACTTTCCTTTTTCGTTTGTAAATTGCCGCTGAGGACAAATCACCTCGAAATAAGGACATCTGGTAACATATGTAAGCCAACGGTTTGTTATGGGTAATCAAAGAAAAAATAGATATAATAGATCAATTATATCCAATTTTTCTTTGAACGCAAAATCAGTGATATCAAAGGAGAAATTACACAGCCCTGATTTCATGTCAAGAATTACTGACAATTTGACAATTACGTCGACTTTAAAAAATACCTTTGTTTCACAACTCAATTGTCGTTGAAGTTAGAAATGGCAATTGAAAATTGTAACAAAATGCCTGCCGTTTTTATGACATATGTCGATTTGGGGAAAAAGGGCCCTGGTATCGTTTAACCGGCACCAGTTTTTTTAATGGTTCGAGTTATACGAATTCTCATTATTGACAGTTCTTACTTTGGTCAATTTCTTATGTATGAAATGAAAAATGTTACTCAAGTTATTACTTAAGCAGAAGTAATGTCTTTTACTTGTTTATAAATACGACGGTTACACTCGTTTTTATAAAAATTACCTTGTTGCTAAGTAAGCAAGTCTTTACTCAACAAGAAGAATTCTTCAACATATATTTTTTTCTTATCTTTGATTTGAAGAATTTCATAAGTTTGAAAAAAAATGTGACTCAAATAATTACTTGAGCAGCCTTTTTTCTCTGAAAACGAAACTGGTATTATTCGTCATAATTTGCCATGAGTGACAGGACAGAATATACCTTAGAGATCGTATTATCAATGCGGACGTAAAAGACCTTAGTAGGTCGACGAAGCTCGTGAATTAGCAGCGGACAAAAGAAAAATTATGAAATAAAATATTGAACATTGAAACAGCGGAGGTCAGATCAAGTGGCTCGCAGAAGAGACAACTTATGCATGAACGTGCTGGAAAGAAACATGTTAGTAATGAGTATGCTTCTGAGGTCTGTATTTTCATGAGCAAATGTACACACTGTAAAAGTATTCATTTGACATTGTGGGTTACCTACAATGCGAAGAGATGGCGCTGCCTTGCAGCTTCAAAATGGCTAGATGAATTTAGACGCGGCCATCAGGGCCGCGGCCGCGGTAGCATAATTGGTCAGTGCATTCGTTTTACTTTGCTAATTTGGTTGAAAATAGTACTTAGCTATAATCAACTATGAATAAAGAGTTTTGAGTTTTACCTAACACAATTTAGCAAACAAGTGCATTCCAAGCTTTAATTTCGTATTTTTCTAATTGTAGTATATAGCCAAATATTCACTGATTATCCCATATTCAGCTAGATACTTAGTTTATGCCGGATGTGCCTAATTGAATTTCAGATGAATATATCATCCAGTATCCCCTTAATCTGCAATTCAATCCTTGGTTGGTACCAAAATCAGATATTTCGAAAATATCTTTCTGGTAAAAAAATTTCTCATACCCCATCCAAAAATACAATATCCAGACTGAAATGATGGTAACAAGGTAATGATTTTTTCCATCATATCAAAGATTGTTTTGCCAATTTTAGATAACATAATATATGTAAGAAGACGTCATATTCCATAGAAGCATCATCAGTTATGTTCAATATAGTAACGTCAAAGTTTGTATGATGATTTTTTTTATTTTTTTTTTAAATCGCACTAGAAACATCTAAAACTATTGCTATCAAATCAGTGTTGGCATGAATCAATGTTTTTTTAAATAAATTATATAATTAAATTTAATTAGATTAAATTACCACAATTTACCAGAATAAATAGTTTAAATCACGATTACCGAAAATATGTTTATCATTAATTTGATTAACTTCATTATTTTGATTAAAGTTATCAACATTTGTATAATTCTTTTTATAGTAAGCTGATTTGCTTAAAAATTTGCAGAATTGTTGTTTATATACATAAAGTACTTATGCAAATTTGTTTTCCAAAAAAAGAGTGTAAAGTTAACAATTTCATAGATGACGCTGAGTAATATTTTACAATGCAGGCTAATCAGGCTATTTATTACTATCAGAAGTATGTTAAATTCTGATGGGTTAAATAAAGCCACAAGGACCATAATCAAAGTGCAGCTTAAGTTCTGAGTGAGCAACAATTGGGTGGGTCATCATTATCAAGAACGTAAACCGAAATCTAAAGGAGGATAATCAAAGTGAAGCATATGTTGTAAGTGATCAAGAATCGGTTTAGTAACTACATGAGCGGTAAAAATAGGATGGGTGATCATCCTCAAAGACAATAACCAGATTATAATTGTAATAGAAGGTGCTTTGACTAAAAATAATTATTAGGTAATGTTTGTTGGACCTTCTGTACAATAGATTGTGGTTTGTCAATCTTTACAACATGAATGAAATTAATGATTGTTTAATTAATCTAAATCATATATTGAGTTTATGATTTTTAATCATTTTCAGTTTAACTTTAGGCCATCACTAATGCAAATCAAAACTTCCACACAAACAAAGTTGTAAGCATTTCATACAAATAAAGTACAAAAAAGCAGAAAATAAAAACCTCATTTTGTCTACTATAATATATCATTTGAAGCAGATTCTTGATTATGGTGATGGTATGAGTTCTATTAGTGATAGACCTCCATTAGAGTCTCCCATTAGAACTTTATAAACTTCTGGCAGTCCAAGGTCACTTTTAATTTTAGAGCCGGTCTATGTACTCATAGAGTGAACATCTTGTTATGACAGTAAATAATTGGTTTAGTCAAATCTTTAGGCAAAAAGGTGCCTAAAAACCAATGATATTTGAAGTTATTCAACATAATTTGAACTATTAAATCTATTAATTCCGCAAAATAAATTGGTTGAATACAGTAAGCAATCCATATAACCAAAAATCTGTGTTATAACATGTATATCTATTCAGGTTTGTAAGAATTTTTAAGTTTGAAGATTCATTTAGCCAAGACCTCAATAACTGCAAATTTTGTATTGTTTGAGTATGCTATGTTATCTGGAAATAATAGTGACAAATTGCTGACCTATCAACTACAAGAGCTTCCAAATGCCAGCTTTTACTATCTGCGCTAGAATGGTAGCAGATGTTTTGATTAGTTGATTTGTTCTTGTTCCCAGTCCAGCATAGGCAAAGTTTAGTTATTTTATAGGATTCATAGCAGAGTAGGAAATTTTCTTTATGTACTAGTACTGCTCAGTGGCATAATGTGTTTAATGTGTTAAGTTAATTCCACAAGTAACTCATTTCTATTGACATATCCCAATAAAGTTAAAAGATAATTCGGTCACTTTCATGGGTGGATATAATTTTTGATGGCACAGTTACAATATTTACAAATTAGGAAAGATATGTGAAGTGCATCATTGATATCGGTATTCAGAGAAATGAGCAGATATTAAATAGAGGTAATAATCAAAACCTACTAACAATGGAACATTAATAATGCCTGATTCCAAGGCACTTTTGTTTAAAACAAAGTTAAGTTTATGTATATATTAAATGTTTATCATCCTAAACAAATCGCTTAAAATTAACCTAAAAGTCCTAAAATAAATAACAAAATCAGTGTCCCTCCATCAAAGTAATATCGAGAGAATAGACTCCCGTTAAAATTAGTGCACTTTGCAGTGAATTATATTGACGATAAGGTTAAAAAAATGTTCATTGAACCCCAACACATAGCATTCGTATTAAATCTATGCAATAAAATATACTTAGGGGTGCAAGAACGATCTACACAAAAAATTATACAATATACTACGCTAACTGCGTCGGCGTTCATTAAGTATACAACGTTACTAAAATGAGTTTTATTAACTAACTAAACACAAATTAATACAATTGATAGCTAAGAAATAGACTAACTTCGAAAAAGGAAAAAAATATTTGCGATCGATGTTTGGTTTGGACTTACCTTGAATTTCAGCTAATTTCACTAAGAGTAATTAACTATCACAGCCAGAAAATGACCTACTAAAAGCTTAAAACTGACATAAAAATAAGAATGTTATTAATTAGTACAATTAATAGAAAATAAAGTAATACATAGCTAAAATTCACACCCGCCCTAGTAAACTCATGCACTCCAACCAACAGACACAGAATAACATAGTTGAGTACAGACTGAACCACAAACTAACTACTAAGGAGAGGAGATACCAAAGAGATTAGAGAAAAGAGAGAACTGAATTTATTTGACGTTACTCCCTCCCTTTGTATGTCTATGGTTACTCCATAGTTCTTCTTAGGCTGGCCATATACATGCCGTTTTGACCCGTACTGTTAGGAAACGCATAACTAGCACGATGTTTACTCAAGAATGGCCTTGCAGTCGTACTCATACTTTAGTTTATTCTCTAATGTTCTAGGTAGTTTTCCAATTACAGAGCATAATGCGACTCAGTGGCGCACAATGCCGAATTAAGCTGATGCTTAATTGGAACGTGAATTAGTTTTCAAATGCACCAGCAGAGTGTGCTAAGTTCAGTGTTGAAAAAAAAGTCAATGGTTGTTTTCCAATTACAGAGCATAATGCGACTCAGTTGCGCACAATGCCGAATTAAGCTGATGCATAATTGGAACGTGATGAGAGTGCTCGATTGTGCGAATCTTTGCTGTAGTTGAAACACTCAACGTTAAGCATTATGCCGCATAATGCGCTATAATGCTGTAATTGGATAGCTACCATTGATAGTTGAAGGTACAAACGTTGACTTTTTTTTTCAACACTGAACTTAGCGCACTCTGCTGGTGCATTTGAAAATTAATTCACGTTCCAATGCATCAGCATAATTCGGCATTGTGCGCCACTGAGTCGCATTATGCTCTGTAATTGGAAAACCACCAATGTTTCTACCTTCATACATACTTATATTTTTTTTAACACAGTTTGAATTAACTTTGATTATTTAAAAAAAAACTACAATGAAACGAAAGCTTTAAAATTTTTTCAACAATAAATAATAATACTAACGTAAATTAAAACATTTCGATCAATGCCAACTTAAAGAAAAAACACTAAATTTTCTGTCACTGAGTTGGTACGATTGCACGCATCATACGAAAACATTACTTTTGAGCAGCGTTGCCAGATACACTGTAATTACAGCAGATCTACTGTATTTTCCCACGATCTACTGTACACTGTAATACTAAAATTACAGTGTATGGAGAACACTGTAATTTTTTTAAGGGCTAAAATCTTTTCGGAGATCTTTCGAGAATGAGTTTAAAACTTACCGGGCTATTTTTCACCGGATCTCGAACGCACTCGTACTTTAATGTAAGTAAACTGAAGGCAGCCTTTGTAAAAAAAGATTATTACGAACTTGTAAAAAGGATGCAACCCCTCGTCCCGCGCCACCTCTCTCTCTCTCTCTGCTTATGATATAACTCTTGTTACTATTGAAATAAGAACGGAAATGTCTTATTTTAAACGGACATGAATAGTGGCGCGGTGTATATAGTATGCGGGAATTCCCCGGACGTAGACTAGGAGTCATTTCGTAGAGTACGTACGTAGTATTAAGCGCCCAAATATTGTCAACCGTGTTTAAGCACAAGTTGCATTAATGTTAAACCATTTCATTCCGGGATCTACAAAAAGAAACTGCTGTCGGGCTAAATGATAGTGACAGTGATTAATAAGTAGTTGGTTAGTCAACAAGAAAGTGTATTATCATTTAAATGTAAACAATATAAGTTTCTTGATATCTGCTGTAAAATTTACTGTATATTTTTTTACTTTTACTGTATTTTTGTCTCAAACACTGTATTTTTTGGCACCCAACACTGTAATATCAGTTTCCTCATCTGGTAACACTGCTTTTGAGAGTGCTCGATTGTGCGAAGCGTTGCTGTAGTTGAAACATTCAACGTTAAGCATTATGCCGCATAATGTGCTCTAATGCTGTAATTGGAAAACTACCCTAGTGAATGAGGATCTTTGCTAGGTCAGCAAATCAACAGTACAATGATCTTATAAGCTTTTTAATTAAATAACTTTTTCAATCGTCGAAATCGGTTCATTCCTTGCGATTTTATAAATAATTTATGATAGCCAATATTCACCAGCGCAGAGGGCGAAATGTGTGACGTCACATAGCTCGATCGTGGTTCTCTCCGGTCGAGTAAAATAAAATAAAAGTCCAAAAGTATATTTTATCTATGTTGGCAGCTGTTTGGCCTTATGCCTTTTGTCTTGTCAAATCAAAAAGGCACAGGTTTTTTGGATGGACAGGATTTTGTGATGTGTCCAAATTCGAAAATATTTGTTTCTATTGTGATTTTGTATTTCACAGTAATAATGTGAGTCTAACATATATACTGGTTTAATATCAAAATCAATAAGTTATTAGAAAATGGTGAATCTACACATCCAAAGTAGTGTCTCTAAGAGAAAGTGTCTCCAGTAAATAACGGGTCGATAGAAATATGTCTGTCACTGATTTGTCTGTAGGATGTCGATTTGCAGATTATTTTGCTATATGTGGACTTGACTTTGACTCAGGGTTAGAACCTGATCGCCTTTGTGGTGAGTGAATATTTTCATAATCAAAGTATTGATCCGTTTTATTTTTAGTATCAGTGCTTCATAGAACTGTAAATATCTTTGTTTTAGGTGATAACTTACACGTTTCACCTCTCGATCGCTCATATAAAGGAAAGATATTAGCTCATTACCCAGACAATATTCAAAGCAACCCCTTTGATGAACATGCAGTGTGCATGGTAAGTTACTTTTATGTGGGAAGAAAATATTTGCTAGAAAAAAAAATGATCTTGGTCAAGGTATCAGGCTGGAATAAAACACCCTTTGCTGTCTAGATGATTGCACTGACCTTTAAGCTTCCCGTGTGTAATTATTGGGCATTAATATTGGATCCCTTTTTGCGATAATTCATCCTACTCCTATTGTGTCGTTATTATTGCAGCAGTGTTTAACTTTGTAGCTGTCCTAGTACATAATGTATTAAAAACCTATATCGCAATAACACATCTGTTATTATTACCAGTAAATTAATAAAATATAAAAAAAAATAGAGCAACTAAAATAAAAGATAGTAAGATTCAGACATTTATTAGTTGTTTCAACTGCCAGCCTGACTACAGTAATAATAATAATACTAAATCACTTCATTTTTCAAATAACCAACTTGTTTTTTTTAATAACTAAGTTACTTAAGTTGATTGTATTGTCTATCAATTCTGTCAATAAGTACTAAACATGAGTATTGTTTGTGTATCAATTAACTTAAATATGTTTATGTTTAAATTTATTTTAAATTTTTGACAGCTATGTCTTCCAGCTGGTCTGCAGTTTAGGACACAGAAACATTCCTTAGAGCCTAAGTTTCATAGTTTTGTTGTTACAAGACAAAATGCATCAAGATACTATGGATTTAGTCTTATATTTTATGAGGAAGTGCGAAATAGAAATATATGCAGTGCCATGCATACATTGCAGGTAAATCTTTGTTACAACCTTGAAATAGAGCATGTTGTCATTGAGGAAGCGAATTCAAAATTTGAGAGATTGAGTTGAAAAATTATAATCTGGACTGAAATTTCAAGAAAAACAGGGAATACAGCCTGCTGCTAACTATGCAGTGCAGACAGTAAATGCCTCTCAATGAATACCTAATAAGCTAAGCTAATATTTAAGGGAAGGGACAGTAATCACAACTCTTTCTGGGTAACATCTTTGTTTCCGCTAGTCGTTGCGATGTAAATAGTAACTGTTACTTATTTCTATGAATGTAATGTGTTTATAATTATATAATATTTTTTATTTTAAGTATTAAAAACATTCTGACATACAAAACCTTTGACTCTCTGCCTACCCTTCAAGGATAATAATCTGGACTAAATAGCCAGACATTTGAAAACTCATCATGATTTTGTTATTCTAAATTAAATACTGTTAACCAAAACAATAAGAATAGGACTTATAGTAATGTTCAGCATATTTTCAGGCAATGTATATCACAGAACTATCAAGTGGGCAAACACCCCCAGGCTACAGGAAGGGAACTGGCAAAGAGAGCTCAAGATCCCTACCAAGATCTTTTAAACTTGCACCTCACAGTGGGGCAGCACTAACATACTATGATATAGCCAAAGACAAACTATATGTAGCCAAAAGTATAGCCCTTATATGCCAGTATCCTTATGTAAGAGTTGCACAATTGTTTTTAGAAAATTTGTTTAGGTAAGTAAAAGTACACAGGTTTTTTTATAAGTGTAGTATTGCAAGGCAAATCCAGAATATCTCATAATAATATTCATAGCACACCTTTAGAATAATTTCATCAGTTTTAAAAAAAAAGAAAAATACTTACTATTACAGGTCCTTACCTCGCCAGCCTGGACCAGGTTTGAGTCCAGAGTCCTATGTGTATAATTTACTTTATGAAGTACCAGTCCCCCTGGCCGGTCAAGCATTACGTCTATATGTACCACCTTCAGAACCTCATCTCGATCCCATACCTGTTGTAAGTCTAATATAATAATTACTTTCACCAAAAATCACCTTTATTTTGGTATAAATTTAAGTAATCCTTTCAAATGATAAAAAAATGATATCCTAATAACTTCTATGTATTACTAATATAAAAGTTATTAACAAATCAAGTAACTTTCGCAATGGCTGGTCATAGGATGGTTGACCATAGCACATTTCAGCTCTTAGTGCCGGTTGCATCTACACACATAACATTGGCGCCCACCTACCCGTACTGGGCCCGTGTGGTGAAGCACAGCCCATTCTTCCTATTCCATCCATAGGGAAGGCCATTACCCCAGCTGTTTGGATATATTTAGGCTGATTCTGATGAGTATGCTGAAAATCAAATACCACTAAGTTTAGTAATTTATAGTTGGTTAACTACTTTACTGTTGCTCATTTTCAGTAGTTATTAACAATTTACAGGTGATCAGAATGCCAAACCCACCTGAAGAGCTGCCATTACTGGACTATCCCTTACGTGTGATGTTCCAAGTTCTAGGCGTCGAGTGTGTCGTGCAACTGTTTACATGCGTGCTTCTCGAACATCAAGTTTTACTAAGATCAAGTGGTAAATATTATTAAATCTGTTTTGCCTGTTTTCATTCCATAATGTAGATTACGTATAGTTGCTGTCAAAATAAGCTTCAAATTATGTTAACAAAAAAAACAAATGTGATTGTCGTGGGCGGGACACTTGATTTGGAACGAAGTTATAAATAAACATAAGTACACACTATATGCTACGAAACAAGCGACTGGTTGTGACGGAAAAATCTTACCTTTTTTCGCCCAGCTGGGACGGAATGGACTTTACGCATGGGGATCCGTAAAACTTCTGTAGTATCCTCTCAGATTGGAGCACAAATTAGGGGAACTAAACTCCACCTTATAGAAGACTATCATGACATAACATCCTGGTTTGGTTGTTTCAATAAGTTGATATGTAATGTTCCAAGGTTTTGAAATAAGGTCAGGGACGACGCGAGATATACTCTGTTATCTATCACATTATTTACCTTACCTAAGGATGGAATCAGTTCCATCCTTTCTCTAGTAAAGCTTGCAAACCTTACTCACTTTAAATGTTAAAACTGTCTTCTCATTTGACAGCAGCATATTTTCTTATTTATTTACCCAATGCGAAGCACTAAATGCGTATTTTGTTTCAGATTACAACAAGCTTATGCTGGTGGCTGAATGCATAGTAGCCCTTTTACTTCCGTTTACATGGGCGCATGTCTATGTGCCTATATTGCCGGCACCCCTCTATCACTTTCTTGACGCTCCGGTGCCATTCGTCATGGGTAATACAACTTTTAATATGAATTCAGAATTTTTCTTGTCATGGTTTCAAGTTGATATATTTTTTATCTGTGCGAAAATCCTAATCTGGTCATTAACTTTTGAATTATCGAACTGCAAACAACTGAATCGGGAAGAAATCAGCTAGTATGGAGAAAATTGAACACCGCGCCCTTATTAATTCCTTACCAAGCAAGGAAAATCCGCTCAGATTATTTTTCAAGAGCTGTTCGCGGTTTACGCTGACTCTGCCCCTGGTAAAACCATGGTTTACAAGTGGCATGGTCTTTTCAAACAAGGAAGAGAGTCCATTGAAGACGACCCCCGCTCCGGACGGCCAATTGAGGCCATCATACCGGAAATCGTCGAAAAAGTAGAAAAACTTTTATTGGAAGATGCCCGGTTGAAGAAGAAGCAGCTTGCAGCAATGATTGGAGTATGCGAAACAAGTATTTTGAATATTCTACATCATCATCTTGGGATGACTAAGGTTAGTGCAAAATGGGTTCCGAGAATGCTTACGCCACTTCAAAAACGCGAGCGTGTCGAGTGTTCTCGCCAGTTTTTGGAGCTCTGTGGAGAGAGAAAGGAAGAAGTTATGGCCCGAATCGTTACTGGTGATGAAATTTGGGTTCACCACTATGAACCCGAGTCAAAGCAAGAGTCGATGCAGTAGCATAAAAAAGGCACACCTCCTCCAAAGAAGTTCAAAGTGACACAATCGGCTGGCAAGATCATGGCGACTGTCTTTTGGGATACAGATGGTATTTTACTGATCGATTATAAAGAACGTGGTGTGCCTATAACGGGACAGTACTACGCGTCTTTACTAGAAATACTGAAAGAAGCCATCAAGGAAAAAAGAAGAGGAAAGCTATCAAAAGGTGTGCTCCTTCTGCACGACAATACACCCGTTCACACGTGCCATGTTGCGACGGCTGCCATTCACCGATGCGGCTTCGAACAATTGAACCACCCACCCTACAGTCCAGACTTGGCACCCAGTGACTATTATTTATTTCCAAAAAAGAAGAAAGAGCTGCGTGGAAAAAAAAATGACGACGATGAAGAAGTGAAGTCCGCAATTTCGGCCTATTTTGACAACAAAGACAAATCATTTTGTTTCGATGGTATAAACAAGTTATTTGAGAGATCTGAAAATGTATTAGGGTTAAGGGAGAATATATTGAAAAGGAAAAATAGTTTGGTGTTTAATTTCAACCTCCTTCCCTCATATTCCGCGAACTTTTTGACCTCCCCTCGTATATAATATTTCTTGTAAGATTTTCTTCATTTACACAGTCAGGTCATAAGTATTGTCACACGGTAAAAACTTTTCTTTTAGAATGCTGGCCAAAAAGTTCATTGAATTCGAATTTCGAATAGTTCATGAAAATAAAAAGTATACTTTTTAGAATTTTACTCATTTTTAAATATGGAGTGGACGCTTAAAGAAGACCGTGTTGCAGTTATTGCGTTGCATCGTTGCGGTTACGCGCCAATTAAAATTTTTGACATACTGAAAATTTTGAATATAACCAAAAGATTCGTTTATCGTACCATCAAACGATACAATGAAGACCCTTGTGTAGATGACAGGTCAAGAAGTTGTGGCCCTCGGTCTGTTAGGCCTCCAGCAGTGATAAAAGCTATGAAGGCGCGAATTTAAAGAAATCCCAAACGTAAGAATCCCAGAAACTGTTGGCCCTTCAGATGGCGTTAAGCAGAACCACAGTGAAAAGGGTGTTGTATGAAGACTTAGGGCTTCGGGCATATCGAAGAAGAACAGGACATCGTTTGAATGCTCGTCTAATGGACCTGAGACTGAAGAGATGCCGCGCTTTGTTGAAGCGGTACGCGGGAAAAAAATATCGGGAAATTCTTTTTTCGGATGCAAAATTTTTTTCGGTAGAAGAGAGCTACAACAAACAAAATGATAAGGTGTACGCACACATTAGTGATAGTGAAGAAGCGAGCAACCGTATTCGGCGTGTCCAACGAGGTCATTTTCCATCCTCGCTCATTGTATGGTTGGGAGCACGGAGGAAAAACAAAGAGGAGCTGGCCTAAGCAACTGTGCACTGTGATTTTCAACTAGGTCCTGACGTCATCATTGTGGGCGGGCCCTAAGTCAGTATGCTTTCAGCGTTCGTCAGGTGCACACTTAACGAGACTCGCATTATAAGTGTTTTTTTGCGTTTTTAACAAGAAAAGGATGAAGTTTTGTGTTTTACTATGTCAAAGTTACTCAGACAGACGTTCTGATAATATGGATGGCATCACATTTCATTTGTAAGTAATTTTATACGTAATTAAATATATAAGTTCTAGAACATTCTCAGCCTCAGCTATCAGCGTTAAAATTCTACTACTTGACACCAGATGGCGACACTTTTAGGAAGAAAATACACAAGTTTTTATTACGTATAATTTTGCAGTAGTATATTGTAATAATCATACGTAAATACTGAAAACTGTTATACACTTATTCCTAAATAACTTTTAGTATCTAAAACAGTAATTTTATCAATATATTACTAACTGGCCGCCATCTGTCGTCATATAGAATAACTTTTTAAACGTTACAAATATCCAGGGCCGTAATACGTATTAAATTATTTTACCAAGTAAATAAATTTTAATTATTTTTATGTTCGTTTTAGATTTCCATCCAACGATAATTTAAAACAGCAATGGATTTCAAAACTTAATAGATCGGATTAGACACCATAGAAGAAGATATTTCCATTTTAAATGAATCTTCTGTGCAAAAAATTAATATTACATCAGAACGTTATCGCATTTTAAATAAAATGAGTTTCGAGTCTTCGGATAGCACGGATGTCGAGCCTATGCCTGACGATATGTTATTGGAATTTGATGAACAATTAAATACAACTATAGGTGACTATTTGCGCCGTCAAATAGTAGCATATATTTCTGGGTATGTGGTCAAATATTTACATTCCAAGATCAAATGTGAGAGCTGTCTCAAAGAATTATATGCTGATAACTACGACGATAGTGACCTTGATTTGATAAAAACTAAAAATAAGGGTGGTCTTACTTTCCCATCTAGAGATGTCATAAAAATATGTATACGGACCGAAGGCAGTATTCGTTGTGTTAAATCGCAATCTTTGAATACTCCTCACTTTCGTAAACATAAAATTGTATCGAATACATTAAAATCACTTATTGGGACAAGATTGTTTCAAAAAATCGGCTAACCATATGTTTGACCAATCACCTACAGTTAATCATGTTGTACTTCTGATGAAATCGATTGCAGAAAAATATATTGATATTCGTTTTAAGCATTTTGCCACAATACAAAACGATAGGGCAACCAACCGACAACAACTAACCAAAACTATTATTTACAGGTAATTGATGTTTTTTAATAAAATTATGTTTGTAATAACATTTTGTCTATTATTTTTAAACTACCTTAAAATTTAAATCTAAAGAAAATATAATTAGAAAAATATCCACGCGGACCAGGCAGCAGACGGGAGCGGGTGCCGGTTCGAGTCCCGTCTGCTGCCTGGTCTGCCTGGATTTTTTTTCATCAAGCAGTTACATGTTTTAAAATAATAAAAATTATACCTTAAAATTTTTAAAATCGGTCAAATTTGTTAACGCTTATTTTATTTATTTACCTACATATGTATTTCATTTTTTTGAAGCTTCAAGTTCTGAGTACGTCCCATTATATACAAAACTTTTGACATCTAGTGTTAGATGGCTGAACTCTACTACGTAGTAACATAAATATCAACCTAAGCTAGTAGTTTTGCTATTAGCCGATAGATGAAATATTGAGAAGTGGGCGGAGCTGAACACCCCGCATCCCGCAAATTATCACGCGTCGTTTCTTGAGGAAATTTAATCACCACACCTCCTCTTTGTTTTTCCTCCGTGGTTGGGAGTTTCTTATTGGGGCTTAACAGAGGTACATTTTTGTGAGAAAGGTGTAAAAACGAATGCAGTTGTGTATCAAAATACAGTCCTGACGAACCTTGTGGAACCTGTTTCTCTTACCATGTTCAATAACAGGCACTGGGTATTCCAACAAGATTCAGCACCAGCTCATAGAGCGAAGAGCACACAAGACTTCTGGCGGCGCGTGAAGCACGAAGACTGGCCCTCCTCCAGTCCAGATTTGAGTCCGTTAGATTACAAGATATGGCAACACTTGGAGGAAAAGGCGTGCTCAAAGCCTCATCCCAATTTGGAGTCACTCAAGACATCCTTGATTAAGGCAGCCGCCGATATTGACATGAACCTCGTTCGTGCTGCGATAGAAGACTGGCCGCGCAGATTGAAGGCCTGTATTCAAAATCACGGAGGTCATTTTGAATAAACTTTATTGTCATAAGAATCTATGTTTTGTTAAGTTCATTTTGGTATATAAATGGTTACATAATAAATGAATAAACTTGTTTCAATTATTTTATATTAAACATGTGACAGAATTAAGGACCTGACTAGGTATATATACTAACTAGCACTTTCATTCTTAAAATAACAAAGTCCATACTAATATTATAAATGTGAAAGTGTCTCTCGGTCTGTTAGCTCTTCAGGCTTAATCCGCTGAACCAATCCAAAAAAGGTGAAATTTGGTATAGCCTCGTAACGCCCAACTTCATTTAATACTAATCATGTCTTATAACCCAAGGTCCTTTTTTAAATCCTAAATTTTTATTGTCGTTCAGACCCAAAGTTTGCCAAATATATTAAAATGCTTAGGGTTGTGCAATATAGATGAAATTTCTTTGGCAGCTTATTAGGATCCTAAAGGCCATTTTTGAACAACAGATAGGATCAAAATTCAATTCGCAAAAAAAGTACTTTTGGTACATATTAAAGGTAATACACATGTGATTTTATTTAATACGTTTAAAAGTACTTTGGGCGTTAAATGCAAACATAATTATGTTTCAGTACGTTGAAAAGGGTGTAGAGTCGAAGTAAGTAGCACACAAAAACCAGTTTTTGTAGTAAATGAAATTTTAATTAATTGATTAGAATCTACTCAGCAACATAAAACTAACAATGTTTCTTTCTATAGTAAAATAATTTCTTCACTAAAAAATTCAAAAAAAAACAATATCGTTTATTCAGTCTAGGCTGTTACAAGCACTTGTGAATGTCGAAAAGCTACGCCATCGATTCGCAAATCTACGGCGCCGGCGGCGGGAGACCTTGTACTGAGAAGAACCGGCAAGAAACTCGGCAAGAACTGTTTTTTTCTCCCTGTATTATATAAAAGAAATAAAATAGTAACCCATAATAAAAATAATGTCCACTTATGGTTATAAACAAATTTTGAATTTGATAAACCATTAAGCAAAATGAAAATAATAATTACCCTCTTTCCATAATCAGTCTTCTATACTTGGATATCAAATAGGTAATTATAATAAAAATAATGCGAAAATTTAAAAAATATTCTGCTTGTAAATACACTGGTGTAACTGAATTGTGGAACTTTCTTTGCAATTCCTCGCCAGCGGCATCAAAGGATGCAACTCGATATTAGAGTCATTTAGCAACTTGCAGATATCCTGATCTCTCAAAACTAAAAAAAAACAGTCAGTAACTGCGGTAGATATTGCAATATACAATAAGAAAAACCAAAAATATTAATTAATATATGGCTTTTAAGTAGTTAACGCTCTAGGTCCTTTTTTTGTATCAATTACTTTAGGTATTAAATATCGTTAATCTATTGGAATAAATAATAAAAGAACGTTTTCAAACAATGAGTCATACAATTATTAATAAAATTGTAATAAATTATCGCTTTTAAATTAATAGATTATAGAAATATTTTACGATTAGTTACGTGGTCTCCGTTTGTGTGCCAAGTCGTCAAACTTTGTTAAATGACTTTGACAGTTGTTTTTTTTTTAATCCGCCCCAACTCCCGCCCATATATAGCAGTCATCCCAATGCATGTATTTTTATGTTGGTTATACTCAGAGCGGCAAATTTAAATCCACAGTATCACCAAAACGATTTAATCGTTAAAAAAGGACTGTGGGCGTTTAGGAGTATGAGTATGTATGAATTGTTGGGCCTGCAGGCTATGTTTGTTTTAGTATTTTATTAAGGACCGCGGGCGTTATGAGGATAGAGGTAGTTTGAGTCACCGGAGGACATAGGATAGTTTTTATCCCAGAAATCATCTTTTCAGGGGGTGAAAAGGGGAATGAAGTTTGTATGTGAAACCCATTTTTCACGCAGACTAGGTCTTTGGCAGCCACTAGTTACAATATAAGTATGAACTATGATATAAACATGTTATTACTTGCAGGTCTTCACGCTGACAGCGCCTTGACCGCTAACGGTCCTAGGAACATCGCGCTTGGCTCTGAAGCGGCACTTTGCCTCGTGGATATAGACAAACCAGAAATACAGTTGCCTGAAGAATTGCCAATTTACCCTCATCGGACCCCGTTCATAGAAGAACTAAATCATATTTTGGATAAACATCAGGCAAGTGTGTAATAAATCTAGGAATATCATGAGCACTAAATTGTAAAAAAAAACAATTTATGATATTTTTTTTGCAACTAAGTACTTTTTAGAATTATATTTGATTAAGTGCGTCATTGTCATACCGACAGATCCAACGACCACAAACGGAACCAACGAAACTGGGCGTGCCATTAAACGGAACGTCATATAAGAATATGAACGATAGCATGAGCAGTAGCTGTACATTACCTTCCGGTAATTCAATTTATATACATTATTCATATTAAAAACGTATTATACAGTTATTATGTTCAATTTCTTTTTAAACTTGCTGTTAAGGTAAGAACAGAAACAGTAGAAAGTTATCACTTTCCACTGTTCTAACGTTACATGTCTGCCTATTCCCCTGAGGTTTATTTTTTAATTTACTTACATAAATAACAGTAACTATATATGAATAGCCATGTGAAGTACTAGTATTTATTTATTGATGTATATTTGTTTCTTACGTTTTCACGTACACCACTCATTAAATAAAGCTACTTTTTAACTAGTTTAAAAGTCTTTTCTATAAACTCGAACTTTAAAAGGATGCGAAACGTTGAGTAATGTAAAAAAAGTATTAAAAACGCATTCTAAACCCGTTTGTTTTTTATTTTTATTTATGTATGTTCATCAGGTGGCTTACGCCGCAAGCACTCTTTCCACGACGTCCTCGACTGGGATGAGAGTAGACCGCTGAACTCGTCGCCGCCGCCCTCGCCGACGCGCCGTCCGCCCCTCAGGCTGGACGCGTTGCAGCGCATCGTGGACATCGTCACACGGACAGGTATATAGACACGCGCCGCCCGCCCCTCAGGCTGGACGCGTTGCATCGCATCATGGACATCGCCACGTGGACAGGTATATAGACACGCGCCCCCCCTCAGGCCGGACGCGTTGCAGCGCACCATGGACATCGTCACTCGGACAGGTATATAGACACGCGCCGCCCGCCCCTCAGGCTGGACGCGTTGCAGCGCAGCATGGACATCGTCACGCGGACATGTATATAGACACGCGCCGCCCGCCCCTCAGGCTGGACGCGTTGCAGCGCAGCATGGACATCGTCACGCTGACAGGTATATAGACACGCGCCGCCCGCCCCTCAGGCTGGACGCGTTGTAGCGCATCATGAACATCGTCACGCGGACATGTATATAGACACGCGCCGCCCGCCCCTCAGGCTGGACGCGTTGCAGCGCAGCATGGACATCGTCACGCGGACAGGTATATAGACACGCGCCGCCCGTCCCTCAGGCTGGATGCGTTGCAGCGCAGCATGGACATCTTCACGCGGACAGGTATATAGACATGCGCCGCCCGTCCCTCAGGCTGGACGCGTTGCAGCGCAGCATGGACATCGTCACGCGGACAGGTATATAGACACGCGCCGCCCGTCCCTCAGGCTGGACGCATTGCAGCGCAGCATGAACATCGTCACGCGGACAGGTATATAGACACGCGCCGCCCGCCCCTCAGGCTGGACGCGTTGCATTGCATCGTGGGCCTCGTTTCACGGACAGGTATATACACACGCGCCGCCCGCCCCTCAGGCTGGACTCGTTGCAGCGCATCGTGGACATCGTCTCACGGACAGGTATATAGACACGCGCCGCCCTCCCCTCAGGCTGGACGCGTTGCAGCGCATCGTGGACATCGTCACACGGACAGGTATATAGACACTCGCCGCCCGCCCCTCAGGCTGGACACGTTGCAGCGCAGCATGGGCATCGTCACGCGGACAGGTATATAGACACGCGCCGCCCGCCCCTCAGGCTGGACGCGTTGCAGCGCATCGTGGATATCGTTACACGGACAGGTATATAGACACGCGCCGCCCGCCCCTCATGCTGGACGCGTTGCAGCGCATCGTGGACATCGTCACGCGGACAGGTATATAGATACCTGTCCGCGTTGTTTCGTAGCGTATTGTGTGTAAATCTGTACTTATACTGATGTTTATTCCAACCTAAGCTGCAACTGAGTGTCCCACGACACTCACGTTTGCTATTTTTTGACCCGTTAAAATGCGCTACTACAAGCCAACGGCTGCCTCAATTTTTGAATTTTTGCTCGGTATGGGGGGGAGGGGGCTACCCACTTAAACTCCAGAATGTGCACTCCTTGTCGGAGACGACGATTTGGCAATCAATCACGCTGGAGATGATACTTACCTAAATATGAATGAACCTAGCACAAATAAAATATTTCAATAAATAAATAAACAATGACGCTCATTACTAACGTAGACGTTTTTACTAACAATTTAATTACGATTACCATGTTTCATTACAAAATCGCTGTTTAAGACCCCTCGGATCTTAGTAACTTAGCGGTCAGTGCAATTGGTTGGATTAAGCAAACCCTGGTTATGATTCCAGCCAAAAAATTTTTAAATATAACATACAATCAGGGCCTTTATTATTGGATTTATTGGTGTACAGGCCGTAATTTTAAGATCGGGCACGTAAATGGCCCGACTTACGATTTGCACTCACTCCCCCCTTGATTTGGTCACTTTATTTTTTATCTCTTACGATTATGCAGAATAATGTTCGATGCCTTGTTTTGTAATGCATGCGGTGGTGACTTTTAATTAAGATAGCATCTAATTATCGCCGAAGCTTTTATCTTGTTATCTTGTATTGGTATATATCTTGTTGGTCGTCCTTAAATAAATAAATAATAATAATAATCTCTGTTGTGGGCCACACCCCGTCTGCACTGCCTTAAATCCGGCCCTGCTTACAATAAATCCATCTTAACTTACAATCAATATGTCAGGTGTGAACATAGATGACGTGGATGCGGACACCGTGATGCCAACTATGAAAAAACAGATCCTCAACGACGAGGAACAATACAACGAAGACATACGGTTCAATATCGTAGTGCGAGAGACATTCCTGAACCGATTTGTGCACATGTTCTTGATGTATGAAAACTTCGTCATCATGCCTGATCAGGTGAGAACTTTTGTGTATTAAATTGTGTCATTTTATGGGTGCGATTGACTTAATTCCAAAACAATAAGGTTTCATTCCGTTACAAGATAGCAACTTCGTTTAGATATGCTACCTCTATAAGTACCGTCACTGTCTTTGATTTGGGACCCGCTTATGGTTGAATATCGGACAGCAAAAAGGCTTCCTGAGCTAATATTTTACCAAAGACATTGCTATGATAACGTTATGAGGACTGTATTTACAGTTCCGATTTGTGCTTATCAATCGACTTACTACTACCCTTTACTCGCCGTTATTTCTGGTAATATTTCTTTTATATAGCTAATAATCAACCTGGCACAGGCCGCTCCTATCGCGATTGACACTCATTTCATATTTTTCGTTAAGAATACAAAAGTATGCACGCAAGAAAAAAAAAGAACAAATCTCTTTAGGATTATGACTCCTGGTTGTCATCGCGAGAGTCCATGGTGAACTTCGACAAGGCCTCGCTCTTGTCCGATCAACCTGTCACAGGCCCCTCCTATCAGGATTATTCGAAACCCAGATGAACGAGCCCGTCAAAAACGTCTTTAACTACATACTGGTATCGTGATTGCATAAATATACGGATGTCTTTATTTTAAAATACAGCAACTTTGATTGACACTCACTTCATGAATTTTCGCTGAAAATACAAGTATGCACGCAGGAATAAAAAAAAGAACAAATCTCTTTAGGATTATGACTCGTGGTTGTCATCGCGAGAGTCCATGGTAAACTTCGATAAGGCCTCGTCCTTGTCCGAACAACCTGCCACAGGCCCTTCCTATTGCAATTACTCGAAACCGAGAAGATCGAACCCGTTAAAAACCATTTTAACTACATGCCGGTATCCATATTGCATAAATATATCGAGCCGTTACCACCAAATTATCGTAAGCGACACTCGCCAAATTATCGTAAGCGACACTTTTGTCGAAATGCGTTTTTTGTGGAAACTAATATTTTAAACCGTAACGGACCCATCTCTGTTGATATTTCCCTCTATTCTTCCCTGTATTATATTATAACGGTGTTCTTTTGGAGGGAAATATCAACAGAGATGGGTCCGTTACGGTTTAAAATATTAGCTTCCACAAAAAACGCATTTCGACAAAAGTGTCGCTTACGATAATTTGGCGGTAATGGCTCGATATGGATGTCTTTATTTTAAAATACAACAACTTTGATTGACACTCACTTCATGATTTTTCGTTGAGAATACAAGTATGCACGCAGGAATAAAAAAAAAGAACAAATCTCTTTAGGATTATGACTCGTGGTTGTCATCGCAAGAGTCCATGGTGAACTTCGATAAGGCTTCGTTCTAGTCCGATCAACCTGTCACAGGCCCCTCCTATCGCGATTACTCGAAACCCAGATGATCGAGCCCGTTAAAAACGTTTTTTAACTACATACCGGTATACAATCGAGATGATTTCATAAATGTACGGATGTCTTGTACATACCGGTATCCCGATTGCATAAATATACGGATGAGTTTATTTTAAAGTATAACAACTTTGATTGACACTCGCTTCATGATTTTTCGTTGAGAATACAAGTATGCATCCAGCCCCTCTAGCATGGCCACCGTAAAGGAATATGATAAAGCGATATATCGGTATTAAATGTCAGACTACTGTCAAACTCCACTGTAGTCTGACATCATATCCCGTTTCGGTGGTCATGCTAGAGGGGCAGAATTAAAAAAAGAACAAATCTATTTAGGATCGTGACTCGTGGTTGTCATCGCGAGAGTCCATGGTGAACTTCGATAAGGCTTCGTTCTTGTCCGACCAACCGCAGCGGCACAGGCCGTTCCTATCGCGATTCCTCGAAACCCAGATGTTCGCAACACTCATTGACAACAAGATAATGGCCAACTGGGGCGAGTACGATGCCAACCTACAAGTGTTCGAACATCGCATACAAGCTCTCAGGTCAGTAATGTTTTCAGATTGAAACAATTTATTCATGAACATACAGCCAACAATTGGATGACGTACTTTTATCTCAGTTGATATTGTAATGATATTACGGAAACATGTGGTCCTCAATTGCAAGTACGATCATATTTTGTGCTGTATTGTCATTTGGATATATCACTATCAAGTGGGTGAAATGTCGAACCACACAGCTTATGTTACGAACACGTATTTTGTAAACATATTGAGTTTCAATGCACGTAAATTGCGCGGGTGTGGACGGTTTGTAAAAAATCTATGAAACGCAATGAAGACGCGTAACACGGCGAATAACACGCTTCGTGTGGTTCGACACTAAGAGGATTTAAGAGTAGTTTTGACGTATCAAATAAATTATAAGTTAATTTGATTATCAATTAAGTAATTTTTCTCTTTTCTCACTGTTCACTCCTAAATTGGTTTGTATGGGGAAGGTTATATCGGTTGCATTTTGTTAGTGGGATTTAAATAACATTACCGTTTAGTGTTGACTGCGAAGGTGCACGCCGCTAATCGTATGTTGTGCAATTTGTGGACTAACTTAGTACTAACACAATGTTTCACTAGCTCAATTATATATTTAAAAGTGTTATTTAAACAAGACCGTGTAAGTACTAATCGCATGAAGAGCGGTAAAGCGCCAATCCTGTGGCATTCAAAAATGTACTCAGATAAAATATTGTTTAATACAAAAATATTTATGGGCTCTATAGAATTTGGATTGCAAAGTCTTTATGTATATCCAATAATAAGAACTTCAGACTTATCAGAGAACTCTTACTAATAAAACTGTTTCTTCAGGCTCAGCCTGATTTGGAATTAACTTTAATTGTGATTGTAAATTCTGGTTAATTATAAATACACGCATAATAATCTTGTCCTCTGTAATTCACATAATTTATTATACGTTAGGCAATATCGTTCCAGAACAGACTTAACTACAAAACGTCCTAAAATCCTCCTTCTAATAATAGCTTGCGTTTTGAATTATAGTTTAGAATTATAGTAATAATTCAAGACTATATCGACAGTGGAAAGGCAATATCGCTTAAACGCACGCTATCTTGGACGAAAATGAAATATATATATATATATCATTTTAATCAGATTTTTTTCTGCGTCGATCTGTTTATGTTTCGTGAAGTTTTCAGTACTTTTTTGGCGCTTAAGCAACTTTTTTTGAAAATGTTCACAATGCTGAAGTGACATAATTTTTGGTGTGTTTTACACTAATGGCGCTTACGCCTTAGTATGTGGCGTAAGATTTGATGTTTGCTTGACAAAAATGTATGGCGGGCCGAGTGATTTTCGTTTAAGCGATATCTAATTGGTAAAGTATAGGTACATAAAAGTTACATAAGTTTTAATAGGATGATATGTAGAAAATATTATTTAATGAATGCGTTTTTTGATGTGCAACATCTTTCCTCTCGCTTTCCTGTGAGTTTGTGGGAGTGATTTCGTGATAAGGCTCGCTCTTTTTTTTTTATGACGCTCTTTCTCACGCACAAAGTTGTGTTTTTTTTTGTGAAAAAAAAACTTCCATTGTCATTTCTGTAAAGTTACTAATGTGGCGTTTATGCGATTTTGCTTTTCCACTGCTGATATATAACCGGCATCAAAGCGAGACTGTCTCCGTCGAAGAATTTGAAAGTACACTAAACTTAATACGGTTCGCTCCGGTGTTGCCTCCGCATCTTCGTTCATACCAATAATAAAGAAACTTCGAGCTGTAAGTAAGATTTTTAAAAACTCGCGTTTTAAAAAAAATACAACGCACCGCGCTATAAATAAAACGCTCAATTAAAAATCAATTACTGGTGGCATTTAGCATTTCTTGAACAGCGTAGAAGCTAGCTTTCTCTCTCTAATCGCGCATGCGCATTGGCAACTGAGGCCATCTTTCAATTTCGATGTGATGCTTAGACCAACTATTGGACAGACGACTGCACATGCGTCACATGAGAGAGAGATAGTTAGCGGTCTCTCATCTTCTTTCTCTTTTAGACACGGACGGACACTTTTAGAGCCGCCTTCCCCAATATTCTTATCAGTGTTGCCAACTCGGATTTTGAAAAAGACGTAGGCCCGATGAGAAAATTACGTAGAATTGGTAAATTTTGCATATGAAAAGTACTTTTTTCTGAGTGAAATGAAGAAGTTATTTGAAACCGAATAAAACGAGTATTTTGTTATACAATTTGTTTAAGAACGGGAGATAGAACAAAGAGTTCTTGGAGAAGTCGCTGCATTGGAAGCATTTACCATGCTGTGGTAAACATTTACCATCAGACACAGACACTGATGGGTGCCGATTCTGGATGGTTCTCTAAATTTAAAACTTAATTTAACATCAGTCTCTCCTTTTCATTCTGTATAGAGAATGACAAGGATAAACTGTTGTTAAATGGGCTAGTTGACACTTTTTGGAATTATGTTTTAAATTGTTAATAATAGTTCTATCAGAACGAAAAAAATTTTTTTTTTTACCCAGAAGACATACAAAAACGCTCTTTAGTCTATAGACTTATCTATGCTATGACGTCAAAACATTTGTAAACAAACACTCGCAAGCACGTAGGAAATAAACAGCTAAGTTAATATTATAAAACCATGATTTCTAATAGATCACATGAAAAATATAGTAGTTATCATGATACACTTGGTAAAAGACTCTAGAAAAGTTGTGGTTTAAATTGCCAAGAGAAAAAACAGACTTACACATGAACATATGCTTAAAACTTGCTAAATCCTGTAATTTTATCGACTGAAAGTCTTTTCTTTTTGCAAAGATCAATTCGATGTGAGTAGGTACTCATAGATAGTAGTAAAAGTTTAAAAATACAATTTTTAAGGTTATGAATGTACCTACTAAGTCAAAGAGTTTTATCGTTTCTGCTTTCACAAATCCTGCGTCCAGCATTAATTTAGTCAACAAAACCAATAACGGGAACCTTTTCTACAAGATACAAGAGTGTTTAGATACATCTTTATAAGAAATAAACATTTGTATAGTTTTTAAGTAAAGTAACGGAAAATATTCTTCTTTATTCTAGTGAATTAAGTTATTTTACAAATTTGAAAAAAAAATAAGAAAATACGTAGATTCTGGGACTGAAGTTAGTAGGTTTCCAGAAAAGGCCTAAAATACGTAAATCTACGTAAAAAGACGTAGAGTTGGCAACACTGATTCTTATACCTCTATGGCGAGTACAGTGTGTGGACGGGGGGTGCTCTAGCAGGGGTAGGAGGCGCGCGGGTCGAACTCGAGGTCCCTAAGATTTGTATAGTAGCTTTATACATGTACATATATAAGTTTAAACGAAAATAGAAGTCATTGCATAAAAATTGTATCATCATCATCAGCCGACGGACGTCCACTGCTGGACATAGCCTATTTTAGAGATTTTCACCCTAAATGATGTTGCGCTAATCGCATAAAAAAATGGATAATAATAACTAGCTGACCCTGCATACTTCGTACTGCTTACAATAATTTGATTTATATGGACAAATGAAATTGTATTTTTACTATTTTCCTCCAAATTATTCGAAAGTTTCTCACCTTTTAAACCTTCCCTAGACCTCCACGAACATTTCAAGACCATGATAAAATAAATCCGTTGAGCCGTTCTCGAGTTTTAGCGAGACTAACGAACAGCAATTGCATTTTTATATATATACTAGCTGACCCAGCGAATTTCGAACCGCCATAAAAAAAATTAGTAAAAAAACATTGTCCAGCGGGCAAAATTGTGAATCTAAACCATTCTCAGATCCCCTTGAATACACACAAAAAATTTCATCAAAATCGGTCCAGTCGTTTAAGAGAAGTTCAGTGACATACACACTCACAGAAGAATTATATATATAAAGATATTATCTATATATATATATAAAAATGCAATTGCTGTTCGTACTACCTACTTACCTTGGTGTAACGTAAACGATCGGGGGTAGGAGGCGCCGGCCGATCTCGAGGTCCCAAGATTTGTATAGTAGTTTTATACATGTATATACGTTTGAACAAAAATAGAAGACATTGCATAAAAAATATATTATCATCATCAGCCGACGGACGTCCACAGCTGGACATAAGCTTATTTTAGAGATTTCCACACTAAATGATCTTGCGTTAATCGCATAAAAATTGTATAATTATAATAATACTTAATGTGGGATGTTGACTCGGCTATCATTGTGCCGATAGTTGTGACGGTCAATGGCCTGATAGCCAAGTGCCTCGCCTGTCATCTGCGGAGGCTCGAATTGGGTGACTGGGTCAAAGAGCCTGATGCAGAAAACAGTACTCCTTGACACGGCTCGCATATTGAGGAGGTTTCTTTCTCTGGGGTCCTAAACATCGGTAGCTAGAACCCTGTTCCCGATGCCGGTTGGCTTCTATTCTTTATATTTTTAAATATTTTAGTTATATTAATATTTAAAAATGTAAATAATATGGTATACAATGAATATAGAGAATAGTAATACTTAAATTGGTGTAACGTAAACCTGGGGTTACCGTGGGCGTGTATTGCAGACGGCGGTTAGGCGAGGGGGGCTTAGCGACGCGCGGGTACAGCGTGTGGGCGGGGGGTGCTCTGGCTGGGGTAGGAGGCGCGCGGGCCGAGCTCGAAGTGGCCGCGCCGGCGGAGCGGTTGCCTCACCGCGCGGCCTATTACCGCGCCTTCCCCGCGCGGCTCGACCAGGCCGCGCTCGCGCCGCCGCCCGCCACTGACCGCAGGTGCCACGCCCACGCATAGATACCCGTATACATACACGATATTATAGCTATAATCTTTCAAAAGAGCCGTAAACTTGGAGGCCGGCAAGGATGGCTGATGTGGCAAGTAAAACTGCTGCACCAACTATCTTGCATATTATGCCTGCCTTGTGCCTCACAAACGATATCATCACAAGATGGATGGTCATCTTGACGCAGCTAATGTCGCCTTCAAATTGCGCGTGCGATCGTTTAAAATAGATAATGATTTATTACTATTAAATATGTATTTGTAATATGATATTTTAACATATCTTTTTTCAATAATTTGCATAAATAATATTATAACAATATAAAGAGACAATACGTAACTGAATTAATCATTTAATTTAATTGACGTCTCTGATTGAGGCCCTGAACAGTTAACGTACTGCGTCATTTCTGGAGCTCTATTTTTAAATCGCCTTGCGTGGATTTCTACTAATTTTCAATCGACATTATAAATTCCGTATTTTTGAATCGCTCGACTTAGCGAATGGTTGAGGCAAATGGTAGGATGATTGTCAAAATTGTGTCAGATATTTTCTCAATTATTTTGAAATACAGATAAGATGATTTTTTGTAACGTTTTTAAATGATCTAACAAAAAAAGGTTAAGATAATTGTATTAAATAGCTATTTATTAAGAATTATACGTCCCTTTTTCACTGCAGTAATTACCGATTTTTATCTTCTTACGTGGAATTAATAAAATGTTACATTTCGTATTGGAACGGCAACACTGGAGACGAGCGAATAAAATATACGGAAATTCAGTATCATGCGACTTGGAAGTCGAAGGTGGCTTAAGTCGCATTCGACCATTCTATGTCACGCGAGCGAACCAAAAATAGAGCTCCTGTGATTTGAAGGCGTCTTGCATGATCTGTCCCAAAATGAGGCAGCAGATGAGTGAAAACCTTTGTGATTTTTTTATATACTTTAAATTATGTGAATTGTCTTTATGTTATTGTTAAATAGAAGCTCGACCTGGTTTGTCAAGGCATTGAATTTCCTTTGATTTATATAGTTAAATGGGTATGACAATGCTTCTACTGAAAATATTTATTCTAATTACCTATTTGTCATTGACAAAAAATATAAGATCTTGCGATACATCTGCAACATCAACGCGTTTACGTTTTACGTTTTATGTTGACATTATGCACATGGGTTATTTGTTGACCGTTGTTAATAGTTTCTTTATATATATATAAATATTCTATTATGACGATTTATAGCTAGTTCTTGTTGATAGTGTATTGTTTTGATCCCTGTGGCTTGTCTCTTTGTGAAATTGTATTGGTATCGGTGTTCACGCTTGCATGCTTCCCATTGCCGCACACCGAAATAACAATTTACTATTTAACGTAACTGTCACACGTCTTATCAATGATATAAAGATTTTTTTAAGTTTTTTGTAAACTGCTATTGGTCAGTTGTTCGTTTACTATTTACTGTACACACGTGGGCATCAATCCCACGTGTTAAAATATCGGAATTTGTCTTCAGTTTAACGATAGGTGGATATTCCAATCCTGCTGACATCTCCAAATATTTTACTTTAGTAAAAATTTTAGATGTGTTTGAGTAAACCCTTGACTCTAAACTGACGACATCGTATAAAATTGTTAAATGTTAACTCGGTGGGCGCTTTATGATTCGCGAATAATTCTCTGTGAATTATCTGTTGTCATGCAAGTTTAAATTTCCGCTTCATATATGGCAGCATGCGAGTGTATTTAGCCTTACACTTGTTTAGTGGCATGTAATAATATTAGATTAACTTAGATATTATAATTCGGTCCATTGCGAGCGTTGGGATCCATTGTAGCCATATTGTATTTTAACCATTTTGTGGATTACTGTAGTAGCATTTAATGCCACTACAGTAGTATTATAATTTACTTATCAAGTTTTTTTATCATTTACATTTCCGATATTTACAGTAATAACTGCCATTAAAATCGCGCCGCCGAGTGTTTTACAAGAAATTTTAATAATGGTAAATACCTATATTTATATTAAAACACGCTTTACCTACACGAAAGGAATGTTCAATAAATTTAGCTCGATTCTGGCGTAATAATATAGAACTTTTACCGCCTCGCGCCTAAATGAATGAATCGGACAAAAAATCATTATGCACCGTTACTAACTCTGTTGTATATAGATATACGGCAGACAATACTATGATTTCTTAATAAATAGTTTAAAAATAAAAGGTGTTAAGAGACTGTTGACCCTTGGGATGCTCAATAAATGAATCATATCAATAGTGAAATTTGCTTGGAGCCTAGCATGACTGAATAACTATTTAGTAAAAATCGAGTAGCTGTTAAAATATCATTTTGAATGACATTTAATTTCTTTACCAAATTTATTTACATAAGTAATTTTTAAGTTACTACGCCAGAATTGCATCTGATCTCACTTTTTCAGAATAAACGGCTTTTTTTTTCGAAGTATTTTGCTCGAACTGTAAAGTTGCTAGATCAAACTTGTTTAAATGTATACATCGCAGTGTAGTTTTCTGTTCGGCTTCATTAAAAGCTTTATTTTAGAACTTTTTGCAATTTTATTTATCAAGCACTTCCAGGCTAGGGCTTTTAGCTTTTTTATTTTATTAATTTAAGAAAGCAGCTCGATTTAAATTACTTGAGGATTCAAGCGCTCGTTGCCGTGCAATGACAAATTTATTTTAAATTATGTATATTGTCACTTATGATTTTTTGTAATTAAATTGTTATGAATCTCGCCCAGTTGTTTGCTCAACTTAATTTTTTTAATATTTTTCATTGAATATTATTTAAGGGAATCCCTAAAATTTAATCAATAGAAATAGTTACCTATGTATAAATATCCTGATTCGATAATTGATAGTGACAAACAACATAATTATGTTACCCTGTAGTATTTTTATATTTTTCATCCTTTATATTTTACTCCTATTGAGAATGTTTATATTTTATTTTTATACCTATGTCTATTTTATAAAAAAAAAACATAATTGATAATATTAATAAGTTGAATTCCTAGTGATAATATGATGTTAATCTATAAATACTAATGCAATTGTGACCTTAGCAATATTTTAATTGTTTGTTCTTCCAATTTTTAATTAGTAAGTATTTAGTGCATGATAAATTTATGTGCAATTTGCTGAAATGCTCATGTAAAGTAGCATGATTAATATTAACCAACCAAACTAGACGATTTGTAGTAATTTGAGCGTTAGTTCAGCTTATGGAATCATTTTAGGTATTTTTTAATGTTGTAAAATAATGTTGGAGAAAGCATTAAAATATCTCTTTTTATTGAGCTTGTTCCATGTTCATCTGGCCCTTCATTCAGATTTTATTAGGGTATTTGACAAGATTTAGAAACGTTTTTACGGTATTTAACAATATTTATGGAGTACGTAAAAGTGGATATTAATCAATCTGTTGTGTATTTCAGTAAAAAAACAATTTTAAAGTTGCCGCGAAAACGTTTCTCTGGACAATATAATATGGCGCCGCACTAGTATGTGATGTCACTCAACTCTTAATAAAACGTCAAACGATTCAATGTAATGTCACTTTGACCGGAAGTTACTAGCGTGTGACATCATTTTAGTCTTTGCCAATCTCAGGCATTTTCGGTCACGTGACCATAGAACAAAAAAGGCACTTCTATTTAATGATTTTTTATACAAGTTTTTAATTATTTGTTCTCAGAATAGTAAAACGCTGCTAATATACAGATTAAATACCAAGGTATTAAGGTGCCAACAATTGATACTTTCTTTTTCATACTGTCAAATAGCCTATTGTTGAATTAACCTTAATGCATAATATTATTAATAATTAATGCTCAGTACAATAATTGATTTATTTTCTTACGAATTTAACCATTGCTAATTAAAACTATTATTTTTAATGTTATATAATTTCTATAAAGAAAAACCATTAATTCATAATACTCTTTTAGTGATCGTCTTAGTATTTGTAATTTGCAAATATAATTTGCTTGATTATGTGTAAAACGCAGTCATTATGAATAACTGTGACTGTTATAAATTTTAGTAGTTAGTAGTAACTGTAGTTGCCTACTTTTGCGTTAACATTTTTTGTCCCCAAGAAAATAAATCCCTTTTCAGAGGTCGCTAAGGTTTTATAACTTATTTTAAGCCGATGCCGAATATTATTTAATATCTTCTATGTTAGATTTAAAAACAATGACTTTCAATATTAGTTCAAACAGCATATATCAACTTCCTATTTTATAAGTCATTGCGAATGCAAATATGGTTTGCTACTCTAAAAGTATACTTGATCTTGTTGATTTTATTTTTGTTGAGTTTATGGATCTCATTTTTGTTTACATATTTGAATAAAACGAAATGGAATCAGTCGCAATAATAAAATGTTTAAATTTTCTTAGAGATTTAAAATATGTGAAGTGAAAATAAATCTTTTACGCATATAATACAGTATTTTTTTACATTAACTAAAAAATTAAAATTAGGGACCACTGTCCCTTAAAATAAAATACAACTTTCATTCTAATGAAATAAATATATTAATAACGAGTATATCAAAGATATTTTGAATTTAATATAATTTTGTGATAATATTTTGTTTTGCATGTATTGTAAACGCATGACTTAAATGTGATTGTAATACTAACGTATTCTATTTAATTTATTAATAAATTGTGATTTATTGTTGTTTTAAATCAACTTTATGTTTAATAGTTATTTTTACTATCTCCGAAGAATATTTCACTTATTATTTAGCATTTAAGATTGCTATTTATGATAAAAATTTCCATAACTTAATTCGTAAGCAATAAAGATATTTTTAAATTATTTTTCGTATTTGAATAAATCCATCCCTTTACCCACAAATAATATTCAAATGCACTTAATTAGTATATTTTTATAATAGTAGCTTGCTGCTTTTTGTGCTTGCTTGTTGAATGTCGTTTTTACAGTTTTGGTGTCTTGAGGCGTATTAGATAACGTGACGTTATCATTTCAGGACGAACAGTTTAAAACGCATTAAAAATGCAAAGTGGCAAGTGAAAGACTGTCCACCCGAATTACTTCTGGGAGATATTAGCAGAAAGTTATCGACAGAGGTCACACCAGCAGCCATCGCCCAAAACAATAGAACTTTTGTCGAAAAATTGCTAAAGGTATAATATCGTTCCTCAATTAATAACGTAATCAGAAGAATGTATCCAGTCCTATTTTATTTACGTTATCTGTAAAAATATTGTTTGGTGTTATAAGGCCCATAGGAAATAAGTTTATTATGAAGCGGCTGTTGCCTAGGGGTTGATGGGTTATTTATATCTCTGTCCTTATATTTCTAATATCATACCCTTAATTTGAAGATTTTTTTTATATAAAACTTCTATACAACGTATAAGAAAAATAACACACAACCTGAAAATAGTTTGTTACAATTTATCACTTCCATATTACTTTAAATAAGTTATCGTTTCTTTTTTTAATTTTTTCTTATCTGTCATTTTTCTTACCGACAGGAATGTAAAAGCAAAACGAAACGAATGCTAGTCGAAAAAATGGGCACGGAAGAAAGTGACTTAGGCTTAGGGTGTGAAGTGTCGATAACTGGAGTCGAGGAGAGCACGATGATTGCTTCGCTCTGTGATTTGTTAGAAAGATTATGGTCCCACGGAGTGCAGCACAAAATGGGCAAGTCGGCTCTATGGATGCACCTGACTAATTACCAGGAGTTGGAGCAGTGCAGCAACTCCACTAAACCCATTGACCCCAACTATTTGACACCAGGTATTTTTTTTTATACACAGTTGGTGTTATGGTTTTAACTTGTCCACTAAACACACTGTTTTACTGTTGATAGTTTCCTTTTAATATTTTATATCGAATGAGAATAAACTTGCTTATTTAAGAGCCCTTTCACATTTTTTGCAAAAATCCGAGAAAACATTTTGATTATTTCCAATAGAAGTAAACAGTACATTTATTCTTCCTATTGTAAGTTAATGTAGAATATTTACAAATACTATTATCCATTTTTGTGCTGTTTGTTCTACTGCTGCTAGTTTACGGATAAAACGATAATATGCACAACTTCAAACGGCGCAATCTCTCAATAATGTTCAATAAATTAGATCAAATAAATTACTACAACATCAAAAAATATGTTTTTGTTGTAACATAATGCATTAGAATTTTGATTTCCATCTCATTAATTATCAAAAAAAAAGGTATTGATTTAATAAAATTACTATAATCATAAACTTTCATAAAACTAATTTACCATCATTGAACTACTGAAATATGTATATATTTTTATAATTAGTTCATTAATAATTATTTCATGATACGCTAAACATCACCCGTAAAATGCAATATACACACATCAAAAAAAGTTTGAGATCACTTGCAAAAGCTGATATATTTTCAAATTTTAACTTAATCAAGACAAAATGTTTACGTTATATCTTTTTTTAATTTAAAAATACACTTGCTGAAATTAAAAAATAAAACTATTATTAAGTTAATTCAAAAAAAAAACAATCCTAAGGCGGTTGTAATAGAACTTTGATAGATATAAAAGGTAGTTTAACCAAACTTAAAAACCTTTTATTAATAAATTGATGTTTATCTAATACAAAATAACTCCTCCTCTGGCTCGAACACATACGGAGATCCTCCTGGGCATGCTGAGGACCACGTTATCCAGTATTTCTTGTGGTAACCTGTCCAATTCTTGAACAGTAGCTTCTCTGAGCTGCGGCACTGTCTAAGGTGGTGGCTGCCGGTTCCAAACAGTTCGCTTTAGAGCATCCCACGCGTGCTCTATTAGGTTTAAGTCAGGAAAGCCGGCAGGCCAGTCTTACCTTGTGATTTCGTATTCTCGGAGAGCAGCATTGACTCGTTGAGCTCGATGTGCGGGCGCATTCTTGTCAACCAGTACAAACTGGTGCCCATGGTTTACTCGGAAAGGTCTGACGATTCCATCAATAGCGACTGTTTTGTATCTCTCTGCCGTCATGAAGCCTTGATAAGATAAGGGATGAAAGGCGTTCTAGCCCCAATCATAATACCACCCCAAAAGGTGCTAACTTCAAGTCCGGAGGCGCACTATGGGAACCCGCCTAAGAAAGCCATCTCTTAAATGTTTTTTTCGTACCTGTGATTCGAGGCATGTATTATACATCTAATTATAGATAAAGAGTTACTTTATTATAATCAATATAATTTAAGTGTCTGACTCTTCGTATTTTATAAAGAAGAACATCTAAAGTCAGGGAATGAAAAAAATACAAAAATAATAATTAGATTTCAGTTAGTTTGGTATAATTTTATAGGATCATAACAAAAGAAGTCAAGTAAGTGTGATCCCATTTTAGAAAGCTTAGAATGTCTTCTTTTCTATAAAAATATATTTTTATATGATTCAATTAAAAAAATCTATATCATAATGTGGACTATTTTCGTTTCTTACACTTTCAGTTGGAGTTTTGACATTTGCCGAAGCTTGCCGAAGTTCTGTTTTTTGTGTTATTTCTTAGATAATATCATATTATTTGACGGCAGCAAATTTTTTTCTGCTGTATCAGTGCATAACATTGTCAAATGTCTAGAATATCAGCATGTGAAAACATATATTTTTAGGTACGTGTAATAAGACTTTCTTGATTTCGGGTTTCTCAGCACGGATATTTAAATAAAGGCTCTTGGCCCTTTTGTTATATTTTTTTTATCTTATGCTATATTAATATCGTGTATTTAACATAATATTTACATCCCATTCCTATAAGAATCATGGAAAATCGCAAAACCGCAAAATTGTAAAATAGTTTATATCTACTAATTTTGCACACGTCTTTCATAATTTTTCGGTATAAAATAGTGCATTTGAGTACGAAATATTACAGTTCTTCATTAGTTCTTGTCGTAAATAATTGTTTTTTAAATATCTTGCCGCAATGAGTCAGTTCTCGTGTACCAGACGCAACCTAAGTCTCTTATTGTTTGAAAGTGATTCAAATGGTGGTGTTTCCATCTCTAACTATATACGAATCAATTTCACCGAATCTTCAGATGCAAATATTGCTAAAAATTATCGCAAGTATTCAGAAGTCTTTCATAACTCAGTTTCGTCAACGCTGTATTAAAGCAGGTCGATAGAAAGAACAGTTCTTAAGCCAAAACAGAAATTGGAGATGGGATTTGATTGAGCACAACTGTATGTTAATAAATATAAATTGTACTATATGCCATCTTCCGTGCACAAGGTTTTGATTCATGGTGAAAGTGTCATACGTCATTTTTTGGTATTACCTCTTGGGCAACTTTTAGAAGATGCTCAAGAGTTTCCAAACAAAAACTACAAACAGTTCAGGCTTCATAATGCAAGAAAATATTCGAGGACAGCCACCAACAAGATGTTCTACACACTATTGTATACCTCTGATCCGTAAATTACAAGTTTGAGAAAACCTTATACTAAAAAATATTTAGAACTTTTTGATGAAGAAAAGAAGCTCTTAAGTGGCATTTAAGCTACTATGATGTTTGTTTTTAATTTTAAGCACTTACATTTACTAGTTACCTTTATAAACTTATTAAAACATAGATGTAAGTCTAAAAAATCGTATATTTTTGTTTTCCTATTTTTTGTAAGTATTATAAATAAACTTATGCACAAATTATACATTATTTAAAAGCAAATATATTCAAGATTATCAGAAAATAAAATCATGATGATATCTTTATTAACACAGGAGTTATAGATTTTTGAGATGAAAATGAGTCAAAGTTCCCATAGTGAGGCGGCCCGAATTTCTGCTTTTAATTTGGTGGCGTTTATTGTTGGATCGCGGTAACCTAATGCAGCGCTTCTAAGCAGCTGTCAAAACAATTGGGCGACCGCTGCGGGGTCAGCTAAATTACCCATGCCTTGGTATCTCTGCAACGTGGTTACTACACAGGATTGGGATATGGCAACTCTGCGTGCTATTTCTCTTGTAGAATAGCCTTCTTCCCTCAAATTAAAGTTACAATTCTGGCTCGAAAAACATCTGATAATCTTCGTGGCATTTTTTAAATCACAACTTTCCGTGAATAAATATTTTAAATTTGATAAAATTGACTAAGTCAGATTTCTGAATGAGTGTCAGCTTGGATTGCATGTCTTTATAATTGAATTATTTTATTGTTTTACGTTCTAATTCTTATTTTAAAACTTAGAATCTTATCAGAAAAAGAAATTACACAAAAGTCCTCTGTAACACAAAAAACAATATATTTTTCAAAGTGATTCCATACTTTTTTTGATGTGTGTATACTAGCGCAAATCTACCTACGCTCCGATCAGTACGGCAGCGACGCAATTTTGTAAAAGGGCTCTTAAGTTAACCATTGCTTTCTGTCTTTCATGCTCTTCCATTACGTTATTTAATAATAATAAATAATTATCATTACATCGACACACTATTACAAGTACCTACTTTTTTCTTTTCCATTTACAAAGTTACCTTTGAAAACATATTACAGTGTATGCTCATTACACATCATTGCTTTTAAAACATGCAGCTTTGGCCTGGTGTGTGTTACGTAAACGTCTTGACTGTAAGTAATCTATATTTATTCACTTATATTCATTTCATTACATACGTAGGTAATTTAAGTGATTACAACGCTACACAATGGGTTCGTTAATACACAAAAAAAAAACAATGAGTTCCATACTTAATTGTCAATTGTTTTATTTATATTTATGGTATAGTGCAATTCAAACAAAATTTCGGCTGTGGCACTGAACTGAAGTTGCACATAGTTGCTCTCGATGCTTCGCGCCATTAATTAATGTTCACGTTTGAATCGCACTAGAAATACTAAATTTGTTTTATTATATAGCAACGCGATATTAAAAATGGATTTCTTTTATTTCCATATACTTCGTCATATTTAAGATTTATCATCTGTGGGCGCCGAAGTAGAAGTACAACAAAGCTCTAGCAATAGCAGTAGGTCCCGCGATAGTTCCCGAGGTGGGTCCCGGGATAGCTCTCGAGATCGGCTCAGTAACTCGGGGACTTTAGAACGCAAGTCGTCGCAGCCACCGAACCCGATGAGACCACTACCTCAGAGCCTTACGTTTGATATGAGGTACGTTGGTAGAACAGCCGTCTAGGCAGCGAAAGTTTGCTGTTTTAAATTTCAATTTTATGACCAGTTATATAACCAGTTGGTTGAGAACAATCAACTGACTTTGTTTCTTTTACTATTATTATTTGAGTGTTCTATCATTGATATAAAAATATCAGAGTGTTTGTGGCATTTGTTAATGGAAATTCTTTACATTATCTGTGCCGTAGCACATACTGGTCTCAGCTTATGCCGAACTGTGGACTTTTGATGAAAATAAATTGTTCTTTTTGATTTGAGAAATTTTTCAGAAGTATTCTGAGTCTAATAAATATTTCATTATTTATAATTTACATTTTTATAGTTTGCAAATCATTGCTGCTCATGCTGCTGATATAATGTTTTGGTTACTCCATCCTGAGTCCATAAATTTCGCCTTTATATCAGTAAAATTATGAATTACAGCCCGCAATAGTTTCCAAAGACCTATAAAAAAATTGTTTTCAGTTTTCGATACACTAAAATTCACTTTTTTCCAGAAACGTACAAGCGATGACAGATATAAAGACAGAAATAGGTTACGCTCGCGCCTGGGTCCGTTTGTCCCTCGAGAAAAAGCTTCTATCGAAACACCTCAGAGAGCTACTCGCTGACACCACACTGCTGCGTTCACAATACAAACGCACGGCTTTCCTGCGCTGCGAAGAAGAGCGGGAACAGTTCCTTTACCATTTGCTAACCCTAAACGCAGTTGACTATTACTGCTTCACTAACACGTATCCCACCACAAGTAAGTAAAACCTCTTATAGTTTTGACAGTGTCTCTAACAAGAACAGTCTTTGGGCGATAAATCGCTATGCTCTCTCGCTCGCATTTATTGTACTTATCGGGCCATAATGTACGTGGGACACACAGAAAGTTTTGAGACACTTAATAACTGACTTCTATTAAAAAATGTTTTTATTAAATCTTTTCAAAGAACTCCACCGGCCTCTATACGTATGCATACAGTTGCATGCGTCTGAACCAATTTTCAAAACATTTTTTCCAGTCCTCCACAGACACCTCTTCCACGCCCTTCTCAAACTCTGCTATCGCTTCTTCCGGCGATGAAAACTGTATCCATTTGGTGTGGAGTCCAGGAAGTCCTTCGTTTTGATCGCAGAGTGCGCGGGCGCGTTGTCGTGGTGAAGAAGGACCCCGCGGAGCCCGGTGTTAGGTCGCTTGTTGCTCATTGCAGAAAAAACTTCTGGCAGGCATTTTGTGCTATACCATTCGGTGATTATGCTGCTTTGGTCTCTAAGTGGAATTGAAATTAGGTACCCCGTCAAAGTGAAGAAACTAGCGATCATAATTTTCCCTGCGCTCCTCGATCGCTTCACTTTCGTAGGCGTTGGTTCATTTTGTAAAAGCTGTCGACTGACGCTTGTTTCTGGATCACATTGATAAATCCAGGATTCGTCATCTGTCACAATATCGTAAACGCACCGTGACGAGCTTGCATCAAATTTTTGTATCATTTCACTGTACCAATCCACACGGGCCTGTTTCTGAGCTTCGGTGCGGCACCCAGCGGCAAACTCCTCCTTACGCAAAGGTGCTCGTGCTAAATCTTCTGAACACTTCCTGAACCTATCTGCAGAGTATGCTGAATCTCTTCGTACACTTTTTTTTGCTGTTTTCTTGAATTATTTTTTTTACTGCCAGTAGACTTTTTTCGATGACAGTCGTCGTAGGACGACCACTTCTTTGTTCATCCCCCAAAGTAAGACGACCGCGTTTGAACTCCCTACACCAGCGGTAGATGGTTGTTTTTGAAGGTCCTTCATCCATAAAAGCAGTTCGAAATCGATGAAATGACTCGTCAGATTTTAAGCCACATTTAAAATCGTAAAAAATCTTAGCACGAAAATGTTCTCGATGTAGATCCTTTTTTTTTTAAGAGACATGTAAAGGAGATTGCTCAGCTTCCCATACATGATGGCCTAAAGACCAATAATTATGAAAAATTGTTTCCTAGATTCGAAATTATATGGGTGATTCTCAGTTAAGAGGTAATCGGTTGTATGGAAGCAGTGGCACAGCAAAAAGTATCGATATTTATATAACTATTTCACTACTTTTATCAAGACAGATGATTTTAATATGATTGTAAGATGATCAGTAATTTTTTTAATTTATTCTCGTTTTACGAGACACCAGGGGAGATACTGAGTACAGGGTAGAGACAAGATGAACTTTATTGCAATGCGCTTAGAGCGCATATTAGGATGCACTGTAAAGTACTTATCCGTGCAATCAGATTTTAGTGGAATAACGATATAAAGCGAAACAATTGTACATTCTCTAATAAATTATCATTACTGTTATTGAGCTATTGCATCATTTTTATAATTTTGTTAGTAGCCTGGCACCATAACAGCCAGGGGAAATATGGCAGGGTAGAGACATTTTCGTTAAAAATCTAAAATTGCCGTAAAATACTAATTTTACAAAGATTTCAAATAAATAAAAGGTTGCGCAAATCTATTTAAAATAAATGTATATAGATATTGTAGTATTTTAACACATAAATACGGAAAAAAAAATTACCTGGGTAAATACTTCGCTCACTCAACATGGCTGCACTTATCGAGCACCGTTGCGCAAATGGCCAAAAAAATTGCCGCGCGGATGGCTTGTGCAGCGTTTGCTGCTAGCTCATGTGACACTCGGTGTCTTCAAGGTCAGAACTACCACAGACTATGGTAAACAAATACGATTTTCAAACTAAACCTAAGGCCAGGGGGCGAGACACGAAACTCAGAGGACACAGTTTGCGATTAATATTTTTTATAAAAAGTGCAAATATAAATGAATTTAATGGTTACATACTGTAACTAAGTTATCAGGGTTCATGTTATTACCGATAGAAAAGTAATACTAATTAAATTTCAATGGACTCAAAATTACTGATTTACAAAAAAAAAACGGTTAAGGGACAACCCAGGGGAGAGATGTTTTTCCTCTTTGTGCTGTTATTGTAAGTAAATTATGCACATTTAGAATATAATTTTAAGTGACAATTTAGAACACATTTAGCTAATTGAAATTATTAAGATTTTAGACCATAATTTCCAAATATAATGATTTTTTTGGCTTAGCCATCGAACATACCTCTTAACTGAGAATCATCCATATATAAATTACTGTAGAAATGAATATTACTGACGGACACCCCTGAGAACTTCTATTAACCATATACGCTGAATGATTTTGAGATCATGATTGCGAAAAGTTATCATAATTATATAAAAACCGATAGGATGTTTTCTTAGTAATAATTAGGTTTATAATGGTAAAAGGTAATTCTAATGTAATAACATATGCGTAGGTTCAGGATAGTTCTGATCAATGTGAAACACATTCCTGATATAGGTAGCTTCAATATTCTGATTTGGTAGATTAATGAAATAAAACAACTTAAGTACTTTTATTTTGAGTTTAATATTACATATCATCACGATGTTTTAGATTTTTAGTGTATCACACCTTATTATGTGTTTATGGAAGTGTTGGCGGAAAATATATGGCAATAGACTGTAATGTCCCCTACCATCTGTAATAATTGTCTTAACACATTTGGATGTAGTGAAAATGATAATATAGTTGTGGATATTAATACCACAGTGTAATAAATAAAATGTTTTATTTTATCGATCTTTACAAAATAGATTTATTTTGATGTTATATAAAACAACTTTGATCTGTTTTTGGCTGAATGTTACTACACCTATAGCCATTAAAAATGATTCGTTTGTTTTCCAAACCGATAAAATTAAGTCCTTTTTAAAATGAATATATTATAAAAAGGTGTCCGTAAAATAAAGTATAAATTACGCCAAGAATTACCGTATATGTCAATATTTTTTGTACGTTTAGGCCAATTTGAGCAATCTCCTTTAATTGTCTCTGGAAAAAATGAGTAGGGAAATTTGAAAATCGAACAGTGGTATTTTTACTTTTAAATAATCGAATCGAAGTTTTTAAATTAATTACAAGTGGCCAGTGTGTTTCTTATACATAAAAACTTTTTCGCAAAATCTTCTGAGTGGCCTGGTATACGCCATAATATGTAAGGAGAGGAAGAATGCTAAGCGTAAAAAAAATAAGTTATAGTTTCGTGTCGGCGATTTGTTTGACTTAAGGCTTTGTCAAACAGAGTAAGATGTGTTGTACTACCATGGTAAAACACCGTCAAACAGAGTGCCAGCGCTAGCAGTACGCAACGCTCTGTCGCGGCATTAGGACGCTTTAACGTTGGGCGTTGTTTTTTTTACTAATTTCATTTTAGCATCCGAGTGAGAGTCCGAAAATTTTATAGAATTAGTTAAAAAAAACGAGCGAAGCTTACAGTAGTCGCGTTTGTTGTGTAACATTTGAAACCTCACCTTATATTAGTAAAAAAAGAAATAAAACCTACTACAAAAGGAATAAGCCATTTGAACATTATGTTCTTACATCAAATCAAATAGCACGCGCTTCCCAAACTTCCTGTTACACACTTCCGTGCCACTTCACGTAATCACTACCACAAATTGCACGAAAGCGAGAGGAAAGATGTTGCACATCAAAAATAATCATGCTTATATAATACGAAGGATAGTTTGTATAAAAATATATCAATCAAGTCATGCACCCATACTCTTTTTCTCTGTGACCGTGATAAAGCATATGAAAGTAATAATTTTTCCAAATCTGAATCACTAAACATAATGAACAACTTTTCACACTGCTATCGATCTTCACTACGCTTTGGCGAATGGTACGTTACGTTAAGGAGCATTGGTCTTATCTAGACAATTTGTGTGACATGAAAAGAGCGCGACGTTTAAACGCTACGCTATAACGCTAATACGCAGCGCTAAGTACGCGTTCTGTTTGACAAAGCCTTTATGCTGTGACAATTACTTAAAGAATTTATTTCCAATACAAAAAAATATAAACTGTGGTATAATCGTAATAATTTATAAAAATAAATTTGGTTGAACTGTGTGAGGGAGGGACAGTCCTCGGAAGACTTGTGGGTTTTATTATTGTCATTAAATGTGATGTATCTTATTTTTAGAACTACCCTATCGAGTGCTCATTGTGCCATCGCGAAAAGCTAGCCAAACAACGGCCAACTGTTGGATATCTATATCGGGGACAAACAGAGAATCCACACCCAAAATACCCATTCCGCGTAACACAAATGAATTTGTTTTTCATGTAAGTGATATAATAACGGAGACATTTTTTGTAAAGATATAATAACTTACTAAACTTGTTGCGTTTGTTTTTATAGCATAAAAACTTGGGCATTCTATCGACGTTGCGAATCGGTCACGATAACACTGGATTGTCGCCTCGGTGGTTGTTGGATCAAGTTTATGTTAGGAATGAAGTTACCGGACACACATACACGTAAGTAAAAATACAAATGAATTTTATATCCAACTAGCTGTCCCAGCGAACTTCGTACCGCCATAAAAATAGGGGTTGGTGGTAGAAGGGTGAAAATTTAGGGTTGTATGTATTTTTGTATGATGTATCATAAAAAAATAAAGCCAAAAAATTTAGTCCAAAAAAATTTCAGTTGTCCGATTCTCAGACCTACTGAATAAGCATATAAAATTTCACGACAATCGGTCGAGCCGTTTCGGAGTAGTTCATTATAAACGTAATTTCTGTATTTCTGTATATTTTTTTTCTAGTGTTCTAACAGAACCTAAGTTTATCTAACTCTGCCTTCTCCAATTGTTTTTTTGAAATATGAGATATTTGCAATTTCTCTTTTCGTATTTAGATTTATGGTAAATTAGCTGACAAGTGAACTACGTACCGCTTTAAAATGTACTGAAAATATATATTTTTTAAACTTTTAACCATGAAGGTCACTAACATTATAATAATATACGTTATTTACGGGATTGTTACCATGTGCCTTGTTTTTAGCGAGTTTCCGATATTGCGGCACCGTTTCAAGCGCTATGATCACGGAGTAACTCACAGTGCCGAAATATCGGAAACTCGCTAAAAACAAGGTACATGTAACAATCCCGTAAATAACGTATATTACTGTAGTACTGAAAATGTTACACGTTACATACTTAATGAAAAAGTCTTCCGTTTATAATAAAATTTGTGTAAGAGCCTCAATGTAATTTTCTTATACATAGGTTTAAGTTGCATTAACTATGTATACTTTCATTATATACACCCCAGATACTGTATTAAATGCACGGAAGCAGCCCATTTTTTTAAATTAATATAAATGCTACTACTTATGGTAGATTTGCTCACGTCGTCGCTACACAGTGTAGCGACGACGTGAGTGATAGTGTGTAGTACACACGCACACATGATGACTGCTTTAGTACAATCTGACCTTCGGGTCACATTGCGCGAAACATGGACCATTTTCTTTGCGTGATTTATTTGGAATAATCTATCTAGGCGCATAAATAATCAAATCAGAAATCAATATATCTGTATTCAAATTGGATGTATAGTACAACACTTTTGAATCGTCCAAACATTTTTTTTTCCCTACCACTCGTTATTGGACATATTTTTAGCTGCGGAGAAAAACGAGCGAAAAGAACTCCACAACATTAAAAGCATAATGTAACAACATTTACAAATCATTATGTTGTTACAACGTCAATACAATCATGATTTATTTAATATAGAAATCCTGTTGGAATGATTGGAACAGTTCAAACCCAAGCATTTTTGTCTGTAATATAATCAGACACTTGTAATAAGCTTTTTTAATAAGTGTTTTTTTTATACTATCTTTGAATTTATTTATGCTTGACTCTTGGATATTGCTTGGGACTTTATTGTATAAGCGAACACAAAGACTTTTAAATGAATTATTGACTTTGTGAAGCCTAGTAGCAGGTAAAGTTAGTTTATTTTTGTTTCTTGTATTAAGTGTGTGAACATCACTGTTTTAAAGCAACAAATTAATAATTTTTCTTACAAGTAATAAATTTTCGTAAATGTATTGTGATGCGACCGTCATTTTACTAAATTCTTTAAACCTATCTCTTAAGGAATCCCTTAACTTTAAGATTATAAATTGATCGAATAGCTCTCTTCTGTAGCACAAAAATAGTTTGAATGTCGGCGGCTTTTCCCCACAATAAAATTCTGTACGACATTACACTATGGAAATAACTAAAGTATACTAATCTGGCCGTATCTACATCCGTTAACTGGCGTATCTTCATTACGGCATATGCTGCTTAGCTAAGTCTATTTGATAATTTATCAATATGTGGGCCCCATTGAAGCTTAGAATCTAAAGTTATCCCTAAGAATACTGTGGTGTCTAAAAGGCCCATATTCCTATCCTTTACATTCACACTGGTTTTTACCTGTTTTACATTAGGTAATACAAATTTCATACATTTCGTTTTTCCTTCATTTAGTAGTAAATTATTAACATTAAACCAGTACCTTAGAGATACAACTGTTTACGTCGTCAATAACTGTTTCCTTACGTTTGAGTTTAAATAAAAGTGATGTATCATCCGCGAACAATACTATCTCATGCTTATCTCTAACATAGTAAGGAAATTCATTAATATAAATTAAAAATAAGAAAGGACCAAGGATTGAGCCCTGCGGAACACCCATTTTAACCGGCGAACCCGCAGACTTATTGCCATTAATGTCAACCTTCTGAATCCTATCCATCAGGTATGACGCAATAAGATCCAGATCAGTATCTCTAAATTCATAGTGGTGGAGTTTCCTGAGTAATGTTTCATGAAAAACGCAATCAAAAGCCTTGGACAAGTCACAAAACACACCTAGAGCGTCCTGCGAGTTCTCCCAGGCGTCAAAAATTTGTTGTATAAGTTCAACACCGGCATCGGTTGTTGAACGATCCCATGTAAAACCAAAGTGTTTACAGTGAAGTATATTATATTTATTAATATGTGATTGCATTTGATCTAACATAATTTTTTCGAAAATTTTACTAAAGGTGGGTAGCACAGAAATTGGTCTAAAGTTTGTGGGGTCTGATGTACTTCCCGTTTTATGCAAAGGAGTTATTTTACTGTATTTCGTGAGGTCAGGAAAAACACCACCGTCAACACAATCATTAAATATGCAAGCTAGAATAGGAGCTATTGTCTCAATTACCGATTTAGAAACATCAATGGAATTGCCCCACAGATCCGCGGTTTTCTTTTTATTTAATTGGTGAAACGTTTTAATTACATCTTTAAAGTCAACATGTTTAAAATGAAAATGACTAGTACAAGGTTTCACGTTTTCTCTTAAGATTGATTCGGCAACAATGGGGGAAGAGTTCAAAGATTTAGTAGTTGAAACTGGAATATCAGTAAAGAAATTTTCGAAAGCTGTAGCAACTTCAATATCTGAAGTTACCCTTTTATTATCAATATTTAAGTTATAATTATTATTGCGAGTTTTGGATTTTCCAGTTTCATCGTTTATAATGTCGTTTTGATTTTGTCATTACTGTTCTTAATCTTTGAACTTAGGTAATTAGATTTTGCTAAGCGGCATACTTTTTTAAACAATTTAGAATAGTTACGAACATGCTCTTTAAATTTTTCAGTAGTGTTACAGTCTCTTTCATTATAAAGTTCATAAAGTGTCCTTCTACTTTTATGAATTCCAGGCGTAGCCCACTTAGCAAAAGTTACCGCATCATTAACACATATTTTTTTGGGTACAAAAACATTATTAAATTCAGTACAGTATATATTAAAAAAATCATTATATAAATCATTTGGACTGTCTTTATATTTTAGATAACACATTTTTCTATCTAATCGAGTTTTAAAACGTTCCACACGATTAGCAGATTTTAGTACAACAGTGATGTGTTTTTTTGTCACCTGCTTGAGCTGATATGGAAATGTAATCAACTGGCCACAATGATCACTATCTAGTTTATTAATAATTTGTTTTTTCTGTGGTATGATATCTGTATATATATTATCAATTTAAGTGGCCGAAGTGGCAGCTATTCTAGTAGGCTCAATGAATAAGTTTTTCAGATTGTATGATTGAAATATTTTTTTTATTTTAGTACTCGAACTAGATTTTTCTAATAAATCAATATTGAAGTCACCACAGACAATCAACCGTTTGCCTGTAGTGTAAGTTTTTCTTAAGAGCTTCATCCATGATAGCTTCAAAACAATCATACAATGCTGATGGAGGTCTGTATACGCTCAATGCAACAAGCTGGTCCAGTTCCACACAGGCAATTTCTATTGTTCGCTCAACCGAGAGGCTCACAATATATCTTCGTTCCTTAAATTTTAATAATTCGATAATATTAAAGAGCAAAGTGTGTATAATTTGAATCATAGATATAAAAATACCCTAAAAATTGGATAAACAACGTTATTCAATTACATTTACAGCAAATGAATTTGGAACAGACTGTTGACTGCTGATCGATATTTCGACGCCTCACTGGTGGCATTTTCATATCAATAACTATGAAAAACGCGACGAATAATCTCTAAACACAAATCAAAACACACGCTGTTGCTGTTGCAAAAAAAGCGTTAATTGTATTTGACATCAATATAGACAGTCAGCCCGTTTTCATATTATGAGATTTTATTAATTTTGAGATTTATAATTATTATGTTGTATTTTTTACCTTTTTTCTACAAATTTTGTCCTGTCTTTAAGAAAAACATAAAAATAAATATCCAATTTGATTCAGTCGTTAAGAAGTGATGCGCATACTTGATATAAGATATAACGCATGTATAGACAATTGAATAACTTTGTATTTTTACTAGACTTGCAACGAATATTCTGTTACTATTCGGTATTCGGCTGCTTTTATCATATTCGGCCGAATACCGAATATCTACATATTATTCGGCCGAATACCGAATACTTAAATAATATATTTTGTCATAGAGAAATAAATAAAATATTCATATTTTCATTTCTGTTATATAATCATTTAAGTAGTCATTGGTACATAACACAGGTATATAATCTTCTTCTGAATTGGAAAAATGGAGGATTCTATGTATTTGAATTATTGTGGTAATCAAAATTTAGAAGGGTAAGGTTCTCATTTCTTTTATAATCATTTATTAAGTAGTCATTGGTACATAAAGCAGGTACATAATTTAATCATTTACTGTATTAAACACGTTAACAATTTTTAATTCATTCAGTCATGTGATGAATGATTGCATAATAGCAATAATTTAAAGTTTAAGCGCCGTTTTTAGCCATATCTCAAAAGTTGGTTTGTCATTTAGCCGCATTTTAGTTTGAGGACGGCAGATAAGAACAAAACAAAGGAGCGCGAAACAATCAACACTTTTGCCTAATATTCGGTTAGGGGCCTCGCCGAATATTCGGTATACTGCCGAATATACTATTCGTTGCAAGCCTAATTTTAACCATTACTTGCCTATGTAACAAAAACGTTTGTTAAATTAAAACATGAACGTATATAGGCGACAGTAACAATCAATAATTTTACAACTGCGCTTTCTTTTCAGTCAAAAGAAAGCGATATATTCTTGTCAAATTTAAATGTAGGTTTAGAGAATCATCCCACAATTGGGCCCATTTAATGAAACGTTATTTTCTTAAGAAATTTAGTTATTTCGAATTAACATTTTCCCGGATTATTTTTGTAATTATCAATTTAACTTCACATATTTTGTGTATTCAACAAGTTTGATGTTAGCATCGTTTACTTTGTTTCCATGTTTTAAAAAAAGAGTGAATGTGTGAACAAAAAATTAAGACATTTTAAAATATTCGGCGCAGATTCCCCTGCAATCGCTGGCTGGGCACGGGCGTAGACGACGGTTCGACTGAACGCTTATTACTGGCGGCGCGCGCCCGCAGCGAACGAACGCCGCGCACTCCCGCCCCGCCGCCGCCCGCCACCCTACCGCCCACGCCCACAACTACCCATCTCTCCACCTCCACCATACAACACATGATCGGTTAGTTCTCTTATTGATAGGTTCAACTGAACGCTTGTTACTGGCGGCGCCTACCCCGCCTCCGCCAGCCGCCCTACCGCCCAGGCCTACAACCACTCATCCCTCCACCCAAGGGCGTCGCCAAGAGCGTAGCGTCGCGTAGAGATCAAATGTAGCTAGCCGCAAAGCGACCAAAGAGTGATCAATTGACTTCCTTACCTATTAAATGCCCCTATTTGTCATAAGATGGCGACGCCCATACCTCCACCTCCACCATACAACACATGATAATAATAATAAATATTTCCAACACTCACACCAAATTAGCCTAGCACCAAAGTAAGCATTGTAAGGCATGTGTTATGGGATACTAGGGTAACGGATAGAATACATATACAGTACATATATACAAGTATATTTATATAGAAATACATATTAAACATCCATGACTGGAGTACAAATGCTCGTTTTCATCACAGAAACATCTGCCCCCACCGGGATTCGAACCCGGGACCTCTCGAGTAGGCGACACCTTGAAACCACTCGCCCACCGAGGTTGTCAAACATGATCGTTTAGTTCTGTTATTGATAGCTCCGACAGAGATGAAAACGCAATACAGATGGCGTGGTGACCGTTTGACCCATATTTTGACATAAAATGTATGCAACTTATGTCAAAATTGTCATTTGCTGTGCCTGGAGTGGACCACACAATCCTCACCCTGCCGGCCTGCAAGGGCGGATCCAGAGCCAGCTCTGGGGTCATGACCCCCATGACCAGAGCTGGGTCCATCTGTACCCACTTCACAATCTGTACCCACTGTGACTTGACCACGACTATAAGACCCCCCCATGGCGCCAAAACTGGATCCGCCCTTGCCGGCCTGTGAGTTGCTTCTTCAAGCCTCTTTTGGATCCTGGGTTACAGGAGGGAGGGAACACGTGAGCAGGCAAAGCATTCCAATTGCGGATTGTGTGAGAAAGAAATGAGTTCATACAACTGTCCGCCTGTTGCTGGCAGTTAATGATTGATTAGTTGATTCTGTTACTGTTATCGTCATCTCTACCGTAAAACGTATGATTGGTATTCGTTCTTTCTTGTATCTGAAAGATCTACATCTACGCGATAAAGTAACACCAGGCAGAAACTGCATGATGGTATGGGACAGACAAATATTGTAGATACAGGCAAACTGAAGTTTACTGTCAGTTTGGAAAAGTATGTAACGGGCTCCTTCTGTTTTTCTTTCTTTACATTAAAGAAATATGTTTATATTTTGTGTAAACTATTGCTTTTTTGCAGGTGATTGCGTGAACGCCATTGTGAAATGGCATTATCAATCGAAAAGGGAAAAGGACGCTAACTCGCTTAGCGTACTCTTATGTGGTGAGAACGGGCTAGTGAAGTGCCTGGAGCAAGCTTTCTTATGCGGCTTTAAGTCTGCTCGTCTGTTCGGGAAGAATCTCTTCATTTGGGATTATTTTGGTAATTGTATAACGATTTTGATTATTTTGTTTAACAAATGATTTTTTATTAACTTAAAATAATTGATCTTCAATTTTGAATATTAAATGAGCAATAACAGAATGTTTTTTTTCTCTGCTCTATACATTGCATTTTAAAACATTATTTTGGAACTAGTTGGCTGTAGAGGTGGGTCGTCGACGTATTTTTCGTCGACGAAACGAAACCGTCCACTACCGTCCATCGACTAGTCGATCAACTAGTTGAATTCTTCGACTAGTTGACGTGATAACGGCAGGCTTTAAAGGGTTTATATCAACTACGCGGTGACTGGTCTACGGGCGCGACGCAACGACGACGACGGGGTCTTTATTTAGTATTCGCTTTACATTATAGTCATTTAAATGTTTACAAAATAAAGTACAAATTAAACTCATAACATAAACATTCAATTTAAACGAACTTTGCACTAAATTCGCATTCACGTGTCCCTTGACCTTGACCTCGCAACACACTAATTTCAAATTTCAATAAACAAAACTGCAACTACTTGAGGAAAACCATTATTATAAACCCGTTCATCCTGCACTGCATCGTTTAGCCAGATCCATGGACGTACTCTTTCACGCAATATAAAAACACTCTTACCTTTTCACTTTAACAACTCTAGTTTAAAAAATTAACAAATATCAACTCCCACGCCATATACTTAAGTTTCAAATTGCTTTATTTCAACGAATGAACGAACGTATGCACTTGTAACGGGTAAACCAGATACTTTTACGCGTCGTCGACGCTTTGTCAGTAGATATGAACGCTGTGGACTCTCAGTTTAGCCGTCTATGAATTCAACTAGTTAACGAATTAACTGTAGACCGTCGAAGCGTCGATTGAACGTAGACCGTCTATTTAAACCGTTCGTTAATTCAACGCCCATCGCTAGTTGGCAGGCGTCGCATAATATATAAAGCCAGCATATCTAGTATATTTTTAGATCTAATTTCTTTCTTAAGACGCATTTTAACGCATTCATTGTCTAGGAGTCTGATTCCATTAAATTTTTTAACATTTGAATGTAACACAAATCCTCACAAAGTCATATTTATAAATGAAATATATATAGAATACCTCCTTGAATGCTGATATAATATGCGGGTATAATAATATATTCCCATAATATATATTTTCAGCGCGTGTCAAGGATGAATTTAAATTAAGTCTGTGTGACGAATCTAACGGGCAAAACAACAAAAGCTGCGGTGTAGCATACAACTGCCGGCAGGACCAAGAGCACCGCTCCATATGGCGATGCTACTGCCATCTGATGGACGAGATCAGCACCGTGGGTCGAACGCTCGGCAAGGACGGCAAATTTCAACTTTTCATCTGTCTCAGTTTACGGTGGGAAAACATTTCTTCTTAATGATCTTACTAACGGTAGACTTCCCTGCATCGCGGTCGATCGCAGCCGCGCCTGATGTTACGTTTGCACCTGACGCGCACGACTGTTGCGACATAGTCAGTGTATAGTACCCATTGAGGTATAAGAATAGAGTGGGGAAGGCGGTTCTAAAAGTGTCCGTCTAGTAGAAAGAGAAAGAAGATGAGAGACTGCTAGCTATCTGTCTCTCTTGTGACGCATGCGCAGTCGTCTGTCCAATAGTTGTCCAAGCATCACATCGAAATAGTAAGATACTTACGGTTGCCAATGCGCATGCGCGATTAGAGAGAGAACGCTAGCGGTCTCTCATCTTCTTTCTCTTTCTATTAGAGGGACACTTCCACTTGTAGTAGAGTCTATATCTCCCCTACTCTATTCTTATACCTCTATGATAGTACCACAAGTATCTTTATGAATATGGCGAAAATTGATAGACCGGGAGATGATGACACAAAATACTTGGTCATTTGTACCAGTATGGCGGTTCTTCAGGGATCTAATTACGTAAAGGCAAAAAGGAAAATGATGGTCATAGCGCTCGCACCGGCGGCCCAATCGCGTGGGTGTTAATCGAACGCGTCGGATAAATAACGAGTGTCGAACGATTTGTTCCACAAAAATGCTTATATTTTCAGATAGTCGAAAAAAAGAAGTAGGCGGTAGCGTAATGCCATACTTCTCGGGTGTGACTTACAGCCCGCCATACCGACGCGAATACATTAATTTAAATAAAACGAGAATACAATGATGTCATGATGTAAAAAATGATTTTACGTATTTTGCAGTCGTATTTTTAAAACGTGTCAAATAAATAAGTATTTCAAGTATGGCAGCACTTTTTCCCCCTACTAGAAGTATGGGAAAAATAATAACGGTCACATTTTGCCAAATACTTTCCAAAAATTCAAATGCAATACTGGTACAAATCGTTTGGCGAAAAAAAAAAATTACTCCTTTGCAGCGGTATGGCGGCCATTGGGAACTGTCGGAAAAGTATGGCAAGGTGATTTTCGTGAATGGCTACTCGACGATGATTAGCTGTGCAAAAATTAGCCTGGTACAAATGATTGAATTGTTTTATTTAAGTTAATGTATTCGCGTCGGTATGGCGGGCTCTAAGTCACACCCGAGAAGTATGGCATTACGCTACCGCCTACTTCTTTTTTTCGACTATCTAAAAATATAAGCATTTTTGTGGAACAAATCGTTCGACACTCGTTATTTATCCGACGCGTTCGATTAACGCCCACGCGATTGGGCCGCCGGTGCGAGCGCTATGACCATCATTTTCCTTTTTGCCTTTACGTAATTAGACCCCTGAAGAACCGCCATACTGGTACAAATGACCAAGTATTTTGTGTCATCATCTCCCGGTCTATGACGCCGCCGTCTATGTAAACGTCATATTTTGTATGTATAGCGTGATGAAACTTGGTCGTTAGCCCGAATACGAGTGCCAATGGAGTTCGCATAAACGACTAAGTGTAAATAAACGTAGTTGAGTCGTACTCGACTACGATCATTTACATCTACTCTATTCATGTAGATTTCATTTTGTTTACATCTACTCTACTCGTGTAGATTTCATTTTGTTTACGCGATACCGTCTTTCAGCCCGTATTCCTATGGAAATATTGCTTCGGGTGCTCCAATTCCAGTGTATGTATTTCGTGCACCCGAATACCAAATGTAATTGCGCCATTACTCTCATTTACGTAGACAGTGGCGCCCTCCCTGAACTGTCACTCACATTCATAAAGATCCTTGTCGCACTGTATTGAAATGTATGAAGCCGTTTCCGAAGTCTGCGAAGGCCGCGTGCGTATATTTATATATACTGACTAATCGCATCAGCCGCGCTCGTCCGTATACTCGTATACGAGGGCGGTTTGATAAGTCCATGACTTTGGAAAGCAGAAACACTCTTTTTAATGTATTTTTTATTTTATTTTTCTACATAATCTCCTTTCTACTCTGCGCACTTAGTCCAGCGACGTTCCAACCTCTTTAACCCATCAAAAAAATATTTTTGTCAAACCCTGAAAATAGGCCTCAGTTTCGGCTATCACCTCTTCGTTTCACGAAAATCTATGCCCGCCAAGCCACTTCTTCGTGTTTGGGAAGAGGGAAAAGTCACAGGGGGCTAAATCTGGCGAATACGGAGGATGTGGCAATAATTCGTATCCTTATTCGACAATTTTTGATGTCGCGATTGCAGACGATTGGGCCGGTGCAATATCCTGATGAAATAGATTTTTTTTTCTTTGCTAGATGCGGTCGTTTCTTGATCAATTTTTATTAGGCTTGCAACGAATAGTATATTCGGCAGTATACCGAATACCGAATATTCGGCGAGGCCCCTGACCGAATAGCCGAATATTAGGCAAAAGTATTCGGCTGGATTTTAGCGCCAAAAACTTGTACAGACGTGATTGTTTCGCGCTCCTTTGTTTTGTTCTTATCTGCCGTCCTCAAGCTAAAATGCGGCTAAATTACAAAACCAACTTTTGAGATATGGCCAAAAACGGCGCTTAAACTTTAAATTATTGCTATTATGCAGCCATTCATCACATGACTGAATGAATTAAAAACTGTTAACTTGTGTAATACAGTAAATGATTAAATTATGTACCTGCTTTATATACCAATGACTACTTAATAAATGATTATAAAAGAAATGAGAACCTTACCCTTCTAAATTATAAAATATAAATAGAATCCTCCATTTTTCCAATTCAGAAGATGATTATATACCTGTGTTATGTACCAATGACTACTTAAATGATTATATAACAGAAATGAAAATATGAATATATACGTAATCAATCGATTTTAATTTTTCATTTTACCAATTATTTCTCTATGTCAAAATATATTATTTATGTATTCAGTATTCGGCCGAATATAATAAAAGCAGCGGAATACCGAATAGTAACCGAATATTCGTTGCAAGTCTAATTTTTATCGAATCTATCTAACAATGCAGCAAGTAAGCTCCGGTTATTGTCTTGCCTTTATCCAAAAAATTGATATTAATAACCCCTTGGCTGTCCCAAAAGACTGTGGCCATCACACCGAACAAATAGTTTTTGTCTTCTTTGGGCCACGTTCCCCAGTAGAAAACCATTGCTTCGACTGTTGCTTACTCTCTGATGTATAATGATGGACCCACGTTTCGTCAACTGTTATGTACCGACGCATAAACTCACTCGGATTGCGATTATACATGACTAGGCATTCCTCAGAAGCTATTACATGATTTCGTTTCTGGTCCACTGTTAATAAACTTGGCACCCATCTTGCAGAAAGCTTTTTCATGCCCAGAATATCATGGAAAATATAAAAAACTCGTTCAGTCGAGATGAGCACAGCATCACTTATTTCGCGTATCTTCACTCGACGGTCTGCCACAACAATATCATGTATTTTATTAATCATGCCCTCCAAAGTGACCTCAATCGACCTTCCTGGGCGCTCCGCGTCATTAGTGGTAGTACATCCACAACGAAATTATTTCTCTTTCTATTAGAGGGACACTTCCACTTGTAGTAGAGTCTATATCTACCCTACTCTATTCTTATACCTCTATGGCTACAACCCCCCTCGCCCGGCATGCATTACGGGGATCTCAGGCCTCATAATGCTGGATGATAGGTTAAGGAGTATTGTCTTGTTTTTACCGGGTGTGGCCTTGCTATTTCACTGAGCCTTGGGAGCTGGATGAAATGACAGGGAGGAGCCCATGGAGCCCTGTGCGTGCACGTTTCCTGTGCGCAACGGTTAAAATCATGTATTTTCCTAGCCCAAAAAAAGGTTAGGGTTGTTTAGGATAAATGCAGGACAGATCAGTTTATTTAACACATTGCCTAGGTAAAGTATAAAAACGAAAAATAATATTTCATACATTGCCTAGACGCCCCAGACATTCTATATATTGGTGAAGATTCTGGCCTGATTCTCTAAACTTAAAACTAAATATAACATCAGTCTCTCCTTTTCATTCTGTATAGAAAATGACAAGGACACACTGTGGTCAAATTTAAGTTTAAGTTTAGAGAATCATGTCAGAATCGAAACCATTGCTCAGGTATTGTATAGAATACCTGTATTATACATATTGCCGGTGATTTGGTATTTTGATAAAGATTTCAAGTAATATAGTGAATCGATAGGTCTTAGTTTATAGAATTGTTATCCCTATTCACTTATAACGTTTAGTATCTGTTCATGACGAAGGAATAAAATAAACTATTTGTGTTTCCAGTGAACATTGGCTACATAGAATGTTGGTTCCAATGTCTATGACGCGAGTTACCACAGAAATGTATGAGGAGCAGAGTTTCCTGCGTAAGCGCGGTCTTCTTACATTCCTTCGACAAATACTTGAACCATTGGACGAGTTCGATATTGTTCTGGAAAATTCACTGACTCAAGGCATTTAAATGTTCTTCCTGTATCACATCCTTATCGGGTCAATACAAAAGCAAAGCAACAGCTGGATGAAGCAGAAGAATAAAAAATAACACCGAAATATTTGGTTGTCGATAATTAATCAAATAGTTAATGTTCCAAGAATCTCAACCTACTGTGAATTTCGGCATTAAATAAATAAATAAATAGAAGTATAATGTATGTGTGTGAAACCAACCAAATAAAAGATTTTATTTAGCATATTTACTATTATATAAATTACATAATACGGTTCTGTAGCTTAATTTGATGGTTTAACCAGTCTTAGGTGAAGTTTGCCAGATAGTTTCCATCCTGTAAAAAAAATATTTAGATTTTAAGGTTACTTTAAATAATACTCCTTATTTACAGGGGAAAAAAATAAACGTGGTGTGAAAATAACATACAGTTATTTCCGTAAATTATTGTTTGATGACAGTTTTGATTGGATTGTTTACTACACTGTTCTTTTTTGATATACATAGTTTAGATAAGTAAGTACCTACCTACCTATAAGTAAAATATGACATTTAAGTATTGACCGACTATCATGATGTATCTTTGACAGTAGTCCAGTCGTATACAGCAGTAATCTAAAAACCCAGTGAAAGAATAGAAATTAAGTATCAATTGAATGTTGTAAAAATATACCAAACACACTTATGAATTATTGATATTAGCTATCAGGGTCTGATTTTTTGTACCTTTGTTATTTTTAAGTTAGTAATGTGATTGTTATCATACATACTTGTTTCTTGCCAGTTGAAACCCAAAGATTATTTTTTGACGTTGCCAGTGGCATGTTTATATGTTTTTTTTTAACTTATAGTGATATGTTTTAATTGAATCACCGATTTATAAGTATGTAAGTACATATACTCGGTGTATACGGTGATATTTTTATTTACCTATGTTATAAATAATAATAATAATATCCCACCATGATAAAAGGACATTATAATATCTCCACTATACTTACATAATGATGTCGATTTTGTCATGATTCTCTAAACCTAAACTTAAATTTGCCAACCGTGTATTCTTGTTATTCTCCTTAAAGAATGAAAAGGAGAGACCGATGTCAAATTTCGTTTTAAGTTTAGAGAATCATGCCAGAATCGACATCACTATGTTATTATTTTCATTACTTGTTACTTATGGTTTTTTATGTTGTTATTGCAACAATGTTTTTTTTTTCAACATGCTATGTTAATTCTCTTAAAATTATTAGAATACAATAATGACATTACATTAGCTAAATACCAACTGACACGTATATCTCAACAAATTAAAGTTATCTATAATTATACATGTATAATTATTTTAATTAAAATGACTAGGTATTTCATGCTTAAAAAAACGTTTGATGCTCTATGGCACTTGAAATGTAAAATTGATCATTTTGTATAATTTATTGAATGTGAATGTTGCAAACAAATATGTTTTTAATACTTTAATGTTGAAAGTGGAATTGAAGATGATTTTTCGATTGTCCATCATTCAAATATTATTCTCATAATTAACTCCAGTAGAATTAAGATTATGATGATACGCAATTTTGTCCTGCCGGCACTTCACCTGGCTAGCTATTCGTGTTTGCTATCTATCTGTCCTTTTCATTTCTAAATATCATAGCCTATTAACACGACTCTGCTCCAACACCGCTCTCACTCAAAACCCTAAACTACGCGACTACTCTTAGTCCACTCGGCGACAGACAACAGACACCCAGCTGTCCACGTGTCGAACGCTAATTGTCAGCGAATTGCTTAGTAGATATTGCGAGAATGACCTACTTAGCGAATTGCTTAGTAGATATTGCGAGAATGACGCGTGGACGCTGCGCAGACCGCTTGCTTTCAACGCGTGTAGGGTTAACATTTAGGAATTTCAAAGACGTTTCGAAAAAAGTCCGGACTTTTAGTCACAAAATGGTACCATTACTCACTTAGTTACAATGGTATTTAAATCAATATGCACATTTTATAATTAATATACAATGTAATTTAAAAATCCGGACTAATCCGGACGGATGGTAACCCTAAAACGCGTGGTAAGCGAGGCGTCAACTACCGAGCTATCTGAAGGCGGTAGGCTCACTGAGAGCGAGCTGTTTGCTAATTTATGTTGCCAATGTAAAGTATATCTAAAGACCAATATTTAAAGCCCATATTTGTATGTTATTTATATTTATTTTATATTATATTCTTTAAGTCGGGTGGGAGCGGAGTCCTGAAAGTGGGTTAAGACCTTTGTAGAGCATAATAAGGACATACTGTTGTCTAGTTTAAAAATAGCAAACACGAATAGTCAAGTGATGTACCGGCATAAGTCAATAACAGTGTTGTTGCGTATCGCTCTCTGTCGATATAAAATAGGTTCCACTCGACATAGATTCAACATTTTACTCGTATCTAGAAAATGTAAAAGAACTCGATCTCACCACAGCCAAAATTTAAAATAGATATTTTTCCATATAAGTAATTTTTATTATTATTTTTATCGTTATTATACCTTCCTACTTAGTTCTCTGTGACTTCGTAACAATACGAATTTAGTATTCTTGCTAATATTATAGTAAGAACTATTTGTTCTTTGGAAGGGAAAATGTTCGTTCACAATAATTACTTATTACCTATAGGTCTCCGTAAGAAAATGAAAAAAAAATCTTTGTAAATTTTACTTACCTACTTTTGTTTTTCAAAAAAATACACAAACATTTATAGATTCAGCTGTCTCAGTAATACCATGTTTGTTATCAAGTTGTTATTACCGTCCTATTTGGGTAAAAAGTAGCGTTATTTTATTATAGTTCACTGATGTAAATCCTAGAAAAAATTGTCACACATATTATGTGAAAACGTAGTAATAACGTATTAAGGTCACATGATTTTTTTTTGTGAACAATTCTCCGTTGTGAATGTTTTTCCATGTCTTGTTGTTTAATTTTACAATTGAGTTGCAAAACGAAGACACATAGACATCTACTGTGTCCTTAATTACTGTTTGCTATGGTAGTCTTACTTAATTAATAATAAACAAAGTGCCAAAACATGCACAGAAAATAACGCAAACATGTGTTTATTTGCAATCTTTGTTATTTTTTTTTTGTTCTCATAACATATAATATTCATAATTTTTATAACAATAAATAAAAGCAAAACGTTATCTGAACATGTATATTTTTTTAGAAAATATTGTAGCAGTCTCGGAGAAGGGAAGATACTAAATAGAAAAATATAGTTGAAATCACTTTAATAATGATAATGCTATTTTGAAAAATCCTATCTATAAAACTTATCACACACTTGTGTGATGAAGCTTTGGTTGGCTTTTGTACTAAAATTCACTAAAGTCGCGTTCGAACTTTGAAACTAATTTATAACGCATTTATTCCCAAAATCACCCGAAGCTTCGTGGCGCAGGTGTGGGAGAAGCATGAGTAATAATCTTAAATTAGTGATGTTGTGCGAATCCGGATGTTTGATATCCAATTCGGATTCAGGTTTTTTTTAATGGCCGGTGCATTTGATTTTGTGCATAATATCCTGCTGCTTCTGCGCCGCCGCTGCCGCCGCCTAACTACCCGTAGTTATTTTTCTTCTCTTTTTATCGGATTTCAAATTTCTTTAGACCGATCAATAATATTAAGGTCACACTCGGAGAAGACAATCGAGATAATGGCAAGTTTTTAGATTTTATGCTGTTGAAGCTTGTTAGGCCCACCATTTTAAAGTAATTTTTCAATACTGTTGTTTTTTATAAGCATTCTACGTTACAAACCGGAAACACCGCTTAGGTTGGTAAATACATCATATCTGCACACAGACTGCCAAATTGCAGTTCAGATGCAGATTTAGGCTTAGATTAAAACAAAAAGGGTAGATACGGTACGCTCATACTTGCATCAAACAAAAACTGATCCCACAGCAGCGCGAACGGGACGGCGAGATCCGCGTCACTGCATTACCGACCTGAGCGAAACAGCACGTTAAGTTTCAACGGCAGCCAGGCGCGGTCCGAAGGGGGGGGTCACAGGGGACATGACCCAAATCTGAGGTCAAATTGAAAAATCTCTAAAATTTACCAAATAATAAAAGGAAATTGCTAGTTATATCTCCTAACAGCGATAAATTTATAGTTTGCTGACATCTCCGACATTGACGACCTCCGTGGCCGAGTGGTTTGTACGCCGGGTTTCATGGTGTCACCGACTCGAGAGGTCCCGGGTTCGAATCCCGGTGGGGGCAAATGTTTGTGTGATGAATACGAGCATTCGTACTCCAGTCATGGATGTTTAATATGTATTTCTATATAAATATACTTATATATGTACAGTATATGTATTGTATCCGCTACCCTAGCATCCCATAACACAAGCCTTACAGTGCTTACTTTGGGGCTAGGCTAATTGGTGTGAGTGTTGGAATTATTTATTTATTTTATTTATCTAGTGATGTTTTTACGAACTACGTACGATGTCCAAAATAACTTGAAAATGTACTAGTTTAGAAACATCTAGTACTAGTTTAGAAACAAGGAACCGAACTACGTAGTTTTGGTAATTCTAGCAAAATTGATATACGTCGTTATGATTAACATTGTATAACAATATTATAATAATGTAATTTGTCGGTTTATTGTAAAGATTCAAGATAAAGGTTGTCTACTTAGTTAAAAACGTGGTTGAGTGCTAACATGTTAGAAGAGCGATTAAAAGATTTAGCTCTTCTAAACATTCACCCGGAAATAGTACCAGACGTCTCAAATATTATGACCCGATTCGCAAATACAAAAAGACGACTTCCACTTTGTTTTATAAGTGCAATAATGTTTATTTTATTCCAGATACCTATTTTTAGGGTTCCGTACCTCAAAAGGAAAAAACGGAACCCTTATAGGATCACTTTGTTGTCCGTCCGTCTGTAAAGACCGTTTTTCTTAGGAACGCGTGGAGGTATCAAACTGTAATTCATATCTAATACTCAGGTCTACTGTCGCTTGGAGCTGTGAAAAAATCAAACTTCTAATAGTGCAGTCATTGAAGCGAAAAATACTTACCTCCGAATTTTTTTACTGTGAACCGATTTGCATGAAATTTTGGAATTAGGCTCATCTTACCCTTAACTTCAAAAGTGAAAATGATTTGAACTCCGCCTATTATTTTTAAGGGGTGTAAACAACCCCTTAATGGAAAAATTGACATTGAGCCATTTTATCGCTAGAAAACATGTCTAATAGTAAGTGATGAAATTGTAAAGTATTTTCTAACATAATTACCTCATATTAAAATCATTTTCAACCCATATATATATATATATTACATATTTAAAAATAATTTAATTTTGAGTAAAAAATTGCCATTTATTGAATAAAATATTTACTAATTATATAAAATTGTACTATTATTATTAAAATATAATATTATTATTCATGACTCAATGTCGGAGTCGCTGTCACATTCAAGATCTTCTGGCTGAATTGGAGGGCTATTTTGGCAGTTATTTCCACTGCACGTTCCACAAGTACTATTACAAAACAGACCAACTTTTCTGCATCCGCAAGACGCTCCACATCCTTTTTGCAGTTGCAAAAAATCATTTTCAGCAGTTCTTGTGGTGCGGGTGGATCTACAGACTTAAGTGGATTTAATAAACCGTCATTCATGACCCATCCCCAATCCGTTGGATGAATGATGATGATGAAATGTGTTAATAAGAACGTTGGTATATATTCATGCCTACGTTTCCAAAATATATGAGCCATATTATGTATAAATAAATATACACATTACAATAGCTGTGGGTCTCTATTATACTGCGTACTTTCACATTGCTACAAATATTCACACTCCGAAATTTTCAGTTACTAAGTAGAAAAAAAAATTATAAGTTTTTGGACCATAACTCCTTCAATTTTCATGTTATCACAATTTATGTAAAACCATTATAAAGGTAATTAAGAGAGCTACAACATCCTTCATTGCAATATATATTAAAAAACCTTTTTCTAAAACGGTGAAGGGTTAAAGGGCTTAAGAGAGGCTGTGATTGCGCTGCCACGCGCTCTTTAAACAATCATATCTCCGTCAATTTTATTTTGACAGAAAAAACAAAAAACCTAAAAAATCCAAATTGTTTAGCAGAAAAATACCTAAATTTTTAAATCGTACACTTTTATACGTATCTGTCGTCATTTTTGAGATATTATGAAAAAAAAGTGGGGTTTTTAAAAATTTTAAATTTTGGCTTTTCTTTTAATCGTGACCTTTTTGAAAAATTGTGTTCTGAAGCAGCCAAACTGATACTATCTATCAAACTCTTCATAATAGTTAGTAAGTTAATTCTAGGCGGAATACGATTAATTGTAATTTTGGTGGAAATGGCACTTATGAAACCCATTGATTTAAAAGAAAAAACATTAGATGCTCCCCTTATTTGCAATACAGCTCACTTATTTTACGTGCAAAAGACTTTTAATAGTGCTCATTTAAAGCTTATTTCAAGCACTACAAAACCCTTTTGTATTAGAATGCATAAAATGTATCTGCTCGCCGCTAGATGGCATTGACCACATCGATTAAATTTCAGACAAAATAAAAAACGGCTTTGATCTTTAATATCTAGCTTAAAATTGCACTTAGAATACTTTATAAAAAACCAAATTGTTCATTGTTTTACCTGCTACAATTTTGTTTTTTATAATATTTTCGATAAAACTTATATTTTAATATAAGTTGCAGGTTTTTTGCAAATATCTCCAATATTTGCAAAAAACCGATGAAAAACAAGGAAAAATTTCGAATTTTCAATTGCCAATAACTTGAAAAGAATTGGATTTTTTGATAAACTTTATAGATGATTTTTTGCTTATAATTAGGCTTTCTATCGATATCCGAGGTTATTTAAAAAAAAATAATTCACCCCCGAGAAGGGGTAGCAACCACCCCCAGGGTGGTTGCAGAGTTCAAATCATTTTCACTTTTGAAGTTAAGGGTAAAATGAACCTAATTCCAAAATTGTATGCAATTCGGTTCACAGTAAAAAAATTCGGAGCAATAATGCTTCAATGACTGCAATAGAAGCTAAAGCAATCAAAAGATACAGCCGTTTATGCCGCCAAATTTTCAAATCTCGCACGGGAATCAAAACCTACAGGGTACTCTCCGTGAACTTAGAATCTTGAAATTTGGTACAAAGTAACGTCTTATAGTACAGATAAAGGAAAAATTGCGAAAACCGTAAATATTTTATTAGGCTTAGAGAATCATACAAGAATTGAACCCACTTTGTTCATTCAGTGAGCTCGATTCGGACCCCTAAGTCCAAATCCCACTTAAAAAAGTACTCTTCAGTGTATTCCGTCTAGCTCAGTCGCTCGGTCAGTCAAGTCTAAGGGTGCGGCCAGAGTGCACTCAGATTCAGATTCCGAAAACAAGCGCGAGAAATAAACAGTGTAGTCGAAGGGTACGGCCAGAGTGCACTCCTGATTCAGATTCAGACTCAGAAAACAAAGCGCGAGAAAAAGCAGGCAACCTGCTTAGACTACACTGTTTATTTCTCGCGCTTGTTTTCGGAATCTGAATCTGAATCTGAGTGCACTCTGGCCGCACCCTATGGTTTCGAAAACAAGCGCGAGAAATAAACAGTGTAGTCGAAGGGTACGGCCAGAGTGCACTCCTGATTCAGATTCAGACTCAGAAAACAAAGCGCGAGAAAAAGCAGGCAACCTGCTTAGGGTACGGCCAGAGTGCACTCAGATTCAGATTTCGAAAATAAGCGCGAGAAATAAACAGTGTAGTCGAAGGGTACGGCCAGAGTGCACTCCTGATTCAGATTCAGATTCAGACTCAGAAAACAAAGCGCGAGAAAAAGCAGGCAACCTGCTTAAACTACACTGTTTATTTCTCGCGCTTGTTTTCGGAATCTGAATATGAATCTGAGTGCACTCTGGCCGTACCCTTCGACTACATTGTTTATTTCTCGCGCTTATTTTCGAAATCTGAATCTGAGTGCACTCTGGCCGTACCCTAAGCAGCTTGCCTGCTTTTTCTCGCGCTTTGTTTTCTGAGTCTGAATCTGAATCAGGAGTGCACTCTGGCCGTACCCTTCGACTACACTGTTTATTTCTCGCGCTTGTTTTCGAAATCTGAATCTGAATCTGAGTGCACTCTGGCCGCACCCTATGGGTGTATTCCGAATCAAACACCAGTACGCTGGCCAGTGGTAATGACGTTATATTTCGACGCCATATTGACAACACTACTACTACACCACCAGTGCAATATGGCTAAGAAATCATGACGTCATAATCACTGGCCAGCGCGTAGGGTTTATATTTCGGAATACACATATGGGTGCGGCCAGAGTGCACTCAGATTCAGATTCAGATTCAGATTTCGAAAACAAGCGCGAGAAATAAACAGTGTAGTCGAAGGGTACGGCCAGAGTGCACTCCTGATTCAGATTCAGACTCAGAAAACAAAGCGCGAGAAAAAGCAGGCAACCTGCTTAGACTACACTGTTTATTTCTCGCCCTTTTTTTCGAAATCTGATCTGAATCTGAATCTGAGTGCACTCTGGCCGCACCCTATGTCAAGTCAAGCAAGTAAGTCAGTCAGTGCCTGTGAAACCGTGCGAAGCCATATAGAAAAAAAAATAAAGTCAGTCAAACGTTAATGGTGGTTAGCATAAACTGCAAATCGATTCGACACTATTTATCAATGTTACTCGTAATTTTTCAATTTGTTTTTTTTATTGTTTGCATCTTGGTATGACAATGGCAGTGAAATGAAATGAAATGTCATTTATTCAGTCTAGGCTGTTATAAGCACTTGTGAAGGTCAAGAAGCTACGCCATCGGTTCGCAAAACTACGGCGGGAGACCTTGTACTGAGAAGAACCGGCAAGAAACTCCGCAAGGGCTGTTTTTTTCTCCCTGTATTGTTATATACAGTGTCGTCAAGTTGAAAAATTACTTCAGAAATACGTCTGAAGTCACTTTCCATTACATCATCTATAATATAAATATGTAGTTACAATTAATTTTATAGTTAACATTTTAAGTAGTATATAGGAAGCGGCATTAGATAGGTACAATATTACTGTTATGAAAAATGAGTAATACCCATTTAATATCAAATTATAAGAAACACTATGTCCATGCATTACGATCATTTAGATAATCATCAACTTTATAATAGCCTTTATATATAAGAGTATTTTTGATCTGAGATTTAAATTTAGTCAGTGGAAGCTCAGTCAGATCTTGGGGAACTTTGTTAAACAATGCAATACTACAACCCAGAAATGAACCTCTTGATTTTTGGAGTCTGAATCATGGAACGGCAAGCTTGTTCTTAAATCTCGTGTTAAAGTTATGGGTTTGACTTTTTTTTGCAAATTCATCATAGTTTTTTCTTACATATATTAAATTTTCATAAATGTATTGCGATGCCAGTGTTAAAATATTAATTTCTTTAAATTTTTCTCTAAGGGATTCTCTTGCCTTTAAATTGTATATGGCGCGAACAGCTCTCTTTTGCAGTATGAAAATACTTTCGATATTAGCGGCTGAGCCCCACAACAAAAGGCCATATGACATAACACTATGAAAGTAACCAAAGTAAACTAATCTTGCCGTTTCCACATCAGTTAAGAGTCTTATTTTAATAACAGCGAAAGCTGCAGAGCTCAATCTACTTGACAAGGCATCAATATGAGGATCCCATTGCAGACGAGAGTCTAAAGTAATACCCAGAAACTTTGTAGAATCCACTAACTCTTCAGGCTGGTCATTTATTTTTATACTAGTATTAACCTGCCTCACATTAGGTAGAGTAAACTTAACGCATTTTGTTTTACTGGAGTTAAGTTTTAAATTATTTACCGTAAACCAGTGAAGGACTTCAGAGAGAGCACAATTTACTTCGTCATAACAATCATTTCCTCTTCTAGCTTTAAACAATAAAGAGGTGTCATCAGCAAATAGTACTGTCTCACACAAATCTCTTGTAAAGTGAGGAAGGTCATTGATATAAATAAGGAAAAGCAATGGGCCCAATATTGAACCCTGGGGCACGCCCATAGAAATGGGTGCTCCTGTAGACTCAGCTACATTTATAACTACTTTCTGAATCCTAGCAGAAAGATAAGACTGTATCAGACTTAGTGAAATATTTGATACACCATAATGCTTCATTTTATTTAACAATGTTTCATGGCTAACGCAGTCAAACGCCTTTGATAAGTCGCAAAAAATGCCAATAGCATCGTGCTTACTCTCCCATATATCAAAGATGTGTTTGAGAAGTGCAGTTCCAGCATCAGTAGTACTTTTACCTCTAGTGAAACCAAACTGTTTTAAATGAAATAGCTTATTTATAGAAAAGTGTGCTAGTAATTGGTTATAAATTATTTTCTCAAATACTTTACTTAGCGCTGGTAATACAGATATAGGCCTAAAATTGCTGGGATCTGATTTGTCACCAGCCTTAAAGAGAGGGATAACTTTAGCACATTTCATTAGATCTGGAAACACTCCCTCATCAATACATTTGTTAAATATAATGGCCAGTTGTGGCGCAATAACAGTGATAATCGGTTTAATTATATATGTTGATATTCCCCAATAATCCTCTGTCTTTTTAATTTTAATTGAGTTAAAAGTTTTTATAATACAGTCGCTACTGATATGTCTAAAATGAAAATCATTACTGCACTTATCAACACTTGACTCAAGGAGGGTCATTGCTAACCTAGAACACGAATTAAGATTTCTAGTTGTTTCAAATGGTGCACTAGAAAAGAAATTTTCAAAAGTGTTTGCAACGGCGTCATCTGTCCTAATAATCTTATTGTCTATTTTTAAAGAATATGTGTGTTCATTAAATTTATTTCTTCCAGTTTCATTATTAATTATATTCCAAGTTGTCTTTATTTTATTATCGGAAAGACTATTTTTTTTTGATAAAAACTTAGCTTTTGCTATGGCACACAAGGTGTGTGCCAAAAATATTTAAAAGTTTTTGAATAGTTTTTGACATATTCTATAAACTTAGGATCAGATGAGGTTGCCTTGAGAGCATATAATTGATACAACTTATTTCTACTTTTGTAAATACCCGGTGTGGCCCAATCACTAAATTTCTTTTTAAAACTATGGCATTTAATAACTTTGCGTTTGAATATTATATTAAAATCATCTGTAATTAAATTGAATAAATTTTCATACAAAATATTATTATTACTACAAACTGGTAAGTACGATATTTTGTGATAATCGCTATCTTGAAATTTATTTATACCTGTTTGTGTAATTGGTCTACAAGTTAGGTCATGTTTGGCTGAAGCATGATGGTGTTCAATAGAGGCGAGAGGAGTGCACTATCAAAACAAAGTTATGTCGCAAGACCAGAAACATATTAACGTGTCGTGTCGTGTCACGCCAGAAGCAAATCGGTTTCATACATTTACTATGGTTAGAGAAATCTTTACGTGTCGTGTCGCGTCGACGCTCTAACCTCTCTCTGTCTAACTTATAATAAATATATGAAACCGATGAGTCACGACACGCCACGACGCGTTAGTATGTGTTGTGTTAGGCTTAAGAAAGGAGTGGGAAAGACAACGAGTGCGAATATGTTGATCCAATAATGGATGCTATTGCAGAAATACATATTTTTATTAAATATTGTATTTTTAATAAATATTTTAAATTTTGGGGGGTTTTGCTTAAAAAACCTGTATTTTGGGGGGATTTCGGGTAACTCGGAAGGCGAAATGGCTTTCTGGTAACACTGCCATAGAGAATGGACCATGAACCATGGACCACCATGAATTACGATGGAATAGGCTGAGAGTAGAAAAAGATAAATTAAATAACAAAACAGTCCTCACTGATTAAAAAATTGTGCCGAACGAAAAACTGATTATTTGGCTGGTACTCTCTTTCTAATGACATACAGTCACTGCCATTGTCGTTTGTAGAAATTTTGTGTTGTAGCGCGTGGCTGAAATCGAAACTTATTCTAAGATTGTAAACAGTCTGTCAATATTTATGACAAAAAGGAGGTTGTCGCCGTCACTTGCATGGTATCCCTGTTATAAATCAGTTAAAATGCTTTAATATTTGTTAATAAGTAATAATGGTGTCGACTCTGGCATGATTCTCTATACCTAAATTTAAATTTGACTTGACAACAGTGCATTCTTGTCATTCTCTATGAAAAGACTGATGTAAAATTTAATTTTAAGTTAAGTGAATCATGCCAGAATCGATACAACGACTAATTTGTCGTATGAAAAGTGCAGTGCACATACGTGAGACCTTCTGTACTATTTTGTAGTAAAATTGAGACAATGTTTTCTGAACAAAGCAGTTCAGATAGAATAATGTGTGAACGCTCTAAAGACTATGCAATCCAATAATAAGTATTAACTATCGTGATACTTGGATTGCAGTATCACCGCAACAACTTGTGATACTGCGATTCAAGTATGACGATAATATTGATAAGTGTAATAAAATAAAATCTGTTTGCTACAAACAGGACTGAGTGGTGAGTACATTGTCTACTAAAACGGTTGGAGCAAGAGATATAAAAAGGAGGCTGCTTACCTCTTTCTAATATGTATAAAGCCACAGATAAAGCCTCCAGCCCATTAGAACTTTTAGGCGTTGAGCAGACGACCGACGGGGCGGGGCGGGCATTTTGTCCGCGAAGCAATAAAGACCGCGTCTGCCCGTCGATGTCTGCGTCTGCCCGCGCCGCGTACACAAAGCACACGACGGGCAGAGGCGGTCAGTTCAGGACGTTCATTCTAGTGAATAGTCCATCACTAATAAGCGCGTGGCGCGGACTGAGCTGACCACCCCGCGCTGCCGTCTGCGTTACTGCATATAAACTGGTTTGTTTGATTCACGGCGGGCAGCCGCGGACATGCCGGGCACCTGCGGCGCGGTCTTTTTGCCCTCTGTGTGCGTTTGAAGTATAGGATTCACTTTGTGCTATTATTCGCGGCGAAATTGACCGGCCCGCCCCGCCCCGTCGTCTGCTAAACGCCTTATATTATATTACATTATTGGTGTCGATTCTGACATGATTCTCTAAGCCTAAATTTAAATTTGACAACAGTGGTGCCAATTCTGGCGAGATTCTCTAAACTTAAAACTAAATTTAACATCAGTCTCTCCTTTTCATTCTGTATAGAGAATGACAAGGATATACTGCTGTCAAATTTAAGTTTAGGATTAGAGAATCATGCTAGAATCGACACCAGTGTATCCTTGTCTTTGTCCATAAAGAACGAAAAGGAGAGTCTGATGTTTAATTTATATAACTTCTAACTTCGTAGGTGCTATAGTTAAGTTTTTTGAAAATTTTTGCAAATGACCTAAAGTAAAACATGCTAAACATTGAATTATCAATTATTTGAAATTTCATAACGTTGTATCTGAATCTAACAAGAGACTAAAGACAACAGCCTCTCCTTCTCATTCTCTATAGAGTAGGATAAGGACACACTATTATCAAACAGAATCATACGAGAATCGAGATAAGCCAAAGAGAAAGTATTATATACGAAACGTTGGCGTTTGAGAGAGCCATATAATTTTGAAATATTTATTGTTAAACTCATAATTTACTATCATTCAATTTAAATGATGTTATTTGATAAATATATTCTTTGAAAATGGAATCGATATAATGTTTTTGTTTTTTTTTATTAATATGGTAGATGGCGCTGTGTCGCTTGTTTAGTGCAGTTGTTCGACCGACAGTTTTTCGACAAGTAAGATGGCGGCGATTAATGTGAAAGGCGAAACGTTGTCTTATTTGTACTTGTAAATAAAGTAATCGGTACCCGTAATCACCGTAGCCCTTACAGAAACTGAGCAATACAATTATTTAAGTGAAAATTTCATAGTGAACTATTGTTGATACCATTTACATTGAGTGAAGTTTCATTTCACAATAGACAAAACCCTTCGTTCGTACCGAGCGAGCATACTCGAGGGGTTCAGCGAGGCCATATTTATGATGTTATCTGTTGTGTGAGCGTCCTGCGAACCACATTGATAAATATTTCATAAAAACAAAGGCGATGGTATGTATTTTAACCACAATAGGATCACTAAAACATTTTTTGTATGTATTGACTCTTTATTGTTCCATGCCTATTGACGCTTCCATGGCGTAGCGGCGTTATTCTTATAACTCATACATGCTTGTGTTATTGAAATTCTCAAAGTAACCAATAACTTTACCTTTTATTTATATTCCAAGCAATAATTTCATAGTCAAAGCACAGTTTTTAAAATTCGAGGATCCTATTAGATAATTTCATTTGATAGAAAATAAATTTTCTTATTGTTTTCAGGGGAATTTTTTATTTATGAAGATAGAATAACCAAGATATAATGAATAAAACTCAAATTAAGTGGTAATACAGCATCTGCATCCTAGAAGTGTATAAACTATGGATGAATGTGTGGACAATTATTGACATATAACATACAAATTGATACAAAACATAACATCACGGAGGTGGTAATGGATCCAGTAGGACCATGGTCAGCATATGCTTCTTACAATCGGTTAGCAGGAGTCCAAGCTGGTGCTGCAAGTGGGGATTTTCATCACCATCTTGCAAGTGGTGGCTCAGGATTGGGCAGCCAAACAGTACCATCAACGACAAGCCAATTACTATTACAAGCTGCCCATACAACAGCGTCATTAGCAGGACAACTTGGTTCATCAACTGCATCACCTTTCAATCCTGGTGGATTTTTGTCACCACCAACTGTAGGCTATGATGCTGTTTTTTCTCCATTATTTCATCATGCCAACCCAAAGCCAGCACATTATAGCTCTTCACTTCAAGCTCAACATAGACAAGTTATAGCCCAAGCTGCTGCTGCATCTAAACAATCTTCAGTAGAAACTGAACTATCCTCATTAAGGGAAAACTATTCTCATCAGACATTGGCTGCACAAGGGACATCCTTTTTTGATCAGCCATCAACTCCTGGTAGTACAGCAGGCTTAAGTTGGCAAGGAAATAATCAACTTCCAAGCCCTTTCGGAATATTACCACATGAAAGTGTTGTGCCGTCATCTCCAAGTCCAGCAACAACAAAAGCTTCAGGACCTTATGAAAATTTCAATTTTGCTGCAGCTCAAACTCTAAATAATCATCTCAACTCGCAAATCTCATCAGCTGGAAAACAAAGCAATAGATCTGGTTCACCAGCAACAGCATCTAAGCAGCCAGTATCGTCAACCTCTTCATCAACATTTTTTCAATCTCCTTCATCTTTTGGAAATCAGACTGATAATTCATATAGTACAAGCAGTGCAAAAAGTGGTCAACTTTCAACTCAGCAGGACTATGCTGGAAGTAAGTCATATTCAAGTTCTGCAAGTACAACTGCTCAATCCCAGCAATCGTGTATTGTGTCAACTCCACCTGTGACATCATCCTCTACACCTCCTAGCAAAGAATACCGATCTCCCTCTAGTATTCCCTCACGTCCTTCTGCTTCTATTTATAATTCTCAACCTCCCAAAAATACCAGTAGTGAAAAGCCTTCTCGACAAACAAGTAACAGCAGTAGTAGCAGCTTTGTATCTCCAACATCCAAACCACCTCAAGTTCAAACTAAGGCACAGAGTAAAATATACCCAGAGGTAAACAATGAACAAAGAAAGAGTTGTGATTCAAACGACACTAAACTGCAACCTCAGTCATCTCCAATAAGTTATTCTATTATGGATGCACCAGGTCGCTTAAGTTACAATAGTAGTAGTAATAGTTCTTCCAAATCAAACAGAATTGGTGGCTCACAGTTTTCAACACAGGGGTCAAGTTTTAGACATTATCAAAGTGGGAATAATGTTGAATCCGACTATCATGTAAGAGCTAAAAGTAGTTCTAGTACTGATACAGGATATTCCAGCAGTAGTTCCCAAAACGGTCCTGACTGTGGTGTAGTAATTGCTAGAAGAAATAGTCCTTCACAAGCACCATCACAAAGTTCTCCACTTGGACATGGGTCAAGTCCCGCTTATCCAATGTATCATAGTCCTATGAATTCATTAAATTCTCCTCAACAACATGCTGATCATTACAATAAGCATAACAATGCTGCCCCTCGTTCTCCTTTAGATGTGTCAGTCACAAGACCACCATCTCAAAATAGTCAGGTAGCTTATCCTTCTGTTATCACTAGGGCTTTAGGTATAGAGCAAAGCAAAAGTTACTCCGAAAATAGATATGAACGTAACCAAAATCAATCTTCTAGCCAGAGCTGTTGGGAAGGTGATCGCCAATCATCTAGAAAATTTACTGGAAATAGTAATAGCAGTAGTTTTACTAGTAGTGGTTTGACTGAAAATAATACTCCTGCTGATGAAACAACTACTCAATCTCAATCAGCTGCCCATAGGCTGTCATTACCTGATAAACACCATAATTATTTTGATGGCAATAATGTAGCCTTACAAGATTTATCAAGTTGTCGTGGAGATCCAATGACAATAGTAAAAAACTTACAAAGTTTACAGCAAAGTTGTCAATTACAAGATGCAAAATCAACTAAAAGTCAAACACCAACAACAACAACATCTACTAAAACTGTAACCAGAAGGAAAAGTACTGAGAAACCTGTTACCCATACTAACATGAATGAAATTTCAAATGTTGTAATGGCAGATTATCTGGCTAGTAGAATACCTCCACCTGCTCATAGCTCTACAACTAATCAACAAAATGGCAGCTATTTTGATTTTGAAAGATGGAACCTTCCCCCACCTCCACCGAAAATGTTTCCTGGCACTTCTGCATTTGGTTCCCAAGCTTCATTGCACGCCACAAACTTTGCCAATCAGCACCAAGCCTTAGCCATGCCTCACGGACATGCCTTGACATACTTCCCGCCTTTTCACCTTGGTCCTCATCCTGATTTCCAATCCTCTGTGGAGTTAACACCATTATCGTCATTTAGTGAAACTCCACCTTCGGCTTCCTCATCATCATTTTCTACGCCTGAAACTCGTGAAGAGGAACAGCCTAAGGTGGTAGTGCCTAATATAGAGGAAGAACTTGGTTTCCTTGCAGAACAACGAGCAAATACGGCATCTTCGGTAGCACCCACTTCACAGCAGCAGAACATTAACAGCACTTCACAAGACACTACTTCAAAAATAATGGAAAAAAAATTCAATGTTCCTGTCACGGGCCCCGGTTCAGGTTTCATGGCTTCTTATCTGAAATTTCTTCAAGGAGAGCGCGATACCTCTCCTCCGCCGGCCGGTAGAGGCGCCAGAAAATCTACTTGGTCGAGAAACACAAACACAAATAATACTACAAACAATAAAGTATACCCACAAAATGATCATTCAAAAAGTCAGTGTGATGGGAATCCCTCGCAACAAAGTTCCAATGGCGCAATGGCGTCGCCAATTAACTCAGGAATGCCATTAAATAATCCAGCCATGAATGCTTCGGTCAACATGAGCTCAGCAGGTTTGTTGGGTGCAAATCAAATTCATGGTGCATCATCAAATTTGTTGAGTTCGCAAGCGAAGGGCGTAGAATTAGATGACCCTCGCTATTATAATTTAAATAAAGACAGAAAACGTAAGTTTGACGGTAGCGAAGAGTCAGCGTACGACGCTGAGGAAGAAGCGAGAAGGTTGAACAAACCAGTGCTCAATGTGCCTAGTACGCCGTTAAACGATAAGGGAAAGAAAGCGCGAACGACAATGAATAAGCCCACGCCCTCTGCCGTGGTGGCGCCTCAGCCGGCCGCGCCTAAGAAGCCACGACCGCCTGCGCCGCCGCCCGTGGCCCCGCTGCAGGCAGCGCCGCAGCAGCAATACTATTACCAACACCAGCCTGATGAAGGTGCGTTCAATTTACTAGATTTCCACTTAAGAAGTAGAGCGCGATGGTGAAGAGCTAGCCCTGAAGCTTGTATGACAGGAGCAAGCTAACTGCCGCTCAGGCAGAATACCGTGAAAACTTGTTACATTTTAACTGTGATAATGTAAATTTTTATTAGATGAAATCTATGATTATTAATTTGTAAATAATTAATTTCTATGAGGAAAATGTGATGTACCTATCTTAGTAGAGGTTGATATTTTAGGGTTAGCCTGTAACAAGATTTCACTCACTTTGTTGTTGATAATGACACATTATTAGTGCCATTTTATTGTAAATTGTAGTAATTGTGACTCTTGTCATACTCGCTATTGAAGGGGTGCTACCATTAATAATTCCAAAATCGTGGTATATTTTTTTATGGAATTAATACCAGTGGGTGTCTGTTGTATATAAATGTATTGTATTTTACAGTATTTGAGTTTAGGAGGTACTTACTATAGTGTATGCATATTCATTAGCTGAAAGTGATTTTATATTATAAGGAGAAAATCAATTGCATAATAACTGACAGCTGCAAGTAAGTGCAAATAATGTATTAGATGGCCATGCCCTGAACATAAGTTTTTTGTATTTCTATTTAATTGTTATTTGTTTATGCACAATTCTCAATATTTTATGTAAATACTTTTGTATAATAGGAGGAGACATAAAATAAACACAAGTATATTACTGATGATGTGTTATATAATTTTAATTTGTAATTATTCCTGGTAGCACCCCTCACGTCGCCAAAATAGGGATAACATGTACAATAAAAATACTTTATAAATTATGTTTTAATACTTGAAATACTTTTACTTTAACTTCAGTTTTTGATATAATAAACAAAGGTTTTGTGTACATGTTATCACAATGATGTTTAATTCATCATTTGGCATCCCATTCCCACCCATTCCTACCGATATTTTCTATTTCACCTTACTATTAGTAAGACAACAGCCTTCAAGGTAATAATATTGATTTTTTCGTATTTTGTTTGGCTTTTGTTATTTTTGCATAATATTAAATTTTGGTCCAATATTGTAGCTACGGCTCACAGTACGAACTTGGGTTATGGTATCTACGGAACGACGGACACCGACAATAATGCAAGCAGAAAGCTACAACATGTAAAATCACATCAACAAATATCGAATGCAGGACAAATAGAAAACCCTAGACCTATAGAAGAAATGCCTTATCAGGTACATTTAAATCTTGATTCATTCATTCATTTAAGTCCAGGAAATGAAGCTAAAAAAGTGGTAATACCTCGCAATTTTTTCGTCCAGCACCGAATTGTACAAAGTTGCGATTGTAATTAGGCCTTAACCCTCTAGTTCATTTTCTATATTGTGCCGTTGTACGCTTTTTGTTTTTTAGGGGTGAAAACTACCCCATAATATCAAAAATTGTAAAATAAAATGAAAAACCTAAATATGGGAAAAAATAGTCAAAAAATGATTGTTTCATGCTTTAGGATACAATTTCATAATCTTTCAATCTACCCTTGTTAAAAACTACCCTTGAAACATTGAATGATGATGATATAATATGATCGGTTTTTTAATATGCTCCTTCATTGTAGATAGTTTTTTTTTTCAGTAACGAATTTTTAGAGCTTTTCAGGAGCTATAAGACTACCTATGTGAATTAAATTACTTAAGATCCCTTATTTTTTAAATGGTGAGATTTTTAAGCGCTTGAATAAGGTGATGTTCGATCGTAAATGTAGGTTTTAAACGGTTGTATCTCGCCGAATATTCACTGTACAAAAAATATGCACACAGGGAAATTTTTGTCATTAAAAAAGCTACAATTTAGTACTATTTCGCTTTTTTCGTATCTTTAGTATTTTGGGAGATATTTTTAAGAAAATGGTGAAAAACACGAAATAGAAAAAAAAGGGTTTCCTCTTTAAACTCTAATTTTTCTAAAATTTCGCACTTTAAATTGGTCAAACTTCGTGGGTGTATCAATAGTACATATATAAAGAGAATTACAGTAGGGTGGGGATCAATTTTAATAAGGGGGTACTTTAGAGGTTGTTTTCACAGATTTTTTTCGTAGAAAAAAGCGGGTACCGATCTTACGTTAATCATAAGTCAGTCAATTTTCATGCCTTAGACATTATTTTTTATTTGTTTGAATGCTCTAATCAAATACTTTAAAAAATATTATATGAGTGCAAAATTTTCTCGTTATTTCGCTGTAAATCTTTCATTTTATTCATTTGACGAAAAAAGGTAAGCATTAATTTGCTGTATTTAAGTTCATATTTGTGATAGAAAAAATATAAAAACGCATTGTTTTCGTTTTTTTAAAAGCTACAATTTGACTCTACACTTTTTTTTGATAAAATGCATATTTTTAGAGTTATTCGCAAAAAACCATTTAAAAAAGTCTATTTTTTCGTCAAAAATCTGTTACTTTCAACTTTGAATAACTCAAAAAATATTAGTTATACGAAAAAAACGTATATATCATTTTTTTCTTAGAATTACTTTTTCAGTCGATTCATACAGTTAAAATGTAATAAAAAAATTCCACCCACGAGATGGGGTGGCAGCCACCCCCAAGGCTATAGCGTACAGCGGCATGATATAGAAAATGATCCTTGAGCTGTTCCCTACTTTTTGTGAAAATTTCAAGTAAATCCATGGTGGACGAAAAAATTGCGAGCCAAAACGCTTCATTTCCTGGACTATTACTCCAGATTTTTCTTTGCTGTGCCGCCAGGGCATCAGGGGAGGTCACAGCCCCAAGAGACGTGAATAAAATTAAATAAGTACAAAAATACTCTTTAGACGCGGGATACAGAAAAAACGGGAGGGAAACATAATCTCTTCCGTGATGCTTTTATTTTACATTTTGTATAAAACTGACAATCTCTGCGTTTTACTCGTATGTATTTTCTGTGTTCCGCGCCTTACAGTTAGTTCCACCTCAATATTGCATCACTTGGCTTTGGTATAGTTATAAGCTGTTTTGTACAAGTCGCCAAAACTACGGTATTCACGAATTTAATAAAAAAACAAGCCGGAAAATAGAGCTGGGTGGAACAGAGTATAAGATAGCTCTCCTTTTTCTCTGAAAGAAATCTTCACTCGATAGCTCTTCCAATGGGGGGAAACTCGGCAAGCAAGAAAATCTGAATAATGGGTTCCCTCGCGCTGCGCGATCGAACGCGCAACGCGGACTAAAGATGACTGTGTGCGTTGTTGTGCCAAGTCACTTAAGTTGTATTTTATTCGGGGACTCCCGCGTACTTTTGTCCTGTCCGGTCTCTCGATGTTCTCCGTTGTTCGGGGAAATTTTTGTACGCGTTACTTTTCATCCGTCGTGTGCGTTATCTATGCCTTATTATGCTATTACATAAAAAAACAACTTTAATCAAACTTGAAAATGATTGTTATTTTTAGGGTTTCGTAGCCAAATGGCAAAAAACGGAACTCATTATGTCTGTCTGTCTGTCCGTCCGTATGTCACAGCCACTTTTTTCCGAAACTATAAGAACTATACTGTTGAAATTTGGTAAGTAGATGTATTCTGTGAACCGCATTAAAATTTTCACACAAAACTAGAAAAAAAACCAATCAATTTTGAAGGTTCCCAATACATAACTTAAACTTTAAAAAAAATATTAGCAAACCCATACGTATGGATTGTTTATGGATTGGTCTTCAAAAATGATATTTAGGTTTCTTATATATTTTTTTTCTAATCTGAATAGTTTGCGCGAGAGACACTTCCAAAATGGTAAAATGTGTGTCCCTCCCCTGTAACTTCTAAAATAAGAGAAAAAAAAAACTAAAAAAATGTATATGATGTACATTACCATGCAAACTTCCACCGAAAATGGTTTTGAACGAGATCTAGTAAGTAGTTTTTTCTTAATACGTCATAAATCGTAAACGCAATTTACCTTTCACGCAATCAACTCAAATAAAAAAACATTTAATTTTATAAACCTTATGCATAAACCGTCAACCATTATTTTCTAATAATAAATCAAATACTGAATAAAAAAAACACTGTTATTATAACATCTATCAAAGTTACAACAAACTACAAGAATTTTTATATTATGTTACTTACTGCTACGGAACCCTTTATGGTCGAGTCCGACTCGCACTTGGCCGCTTTTTTGTCTCTTAGTGCGACTGTTACCTATCTTTCTCCCAGCTTAGTCTTTTTCAGTGGTATTAAAATAACACAAAAAAAAGTTTACAACTAAACTAAAAATTCGGAAATAAATTTGAGACTTGCGTCTATTTTCGTTTTACATGAGAACATTTCTCCATTAGTCAATCGTCCAATAATAAATAATTTGACGTTGCCGCGTGCCAACTGCAAGCGGGCTCGGCCATGCTCTGTGGTAAAATTTGGACCTGTAGCTCGCGAGCTGTTATCCTTTTTTCCTTCAGTCTTCAGCTTATTGTAGAAACGCTCACGGTTGCTCTGGGGACTTCCTGGAGTTGCTTCTGCAACTACGCAGTATCATAGAACCGATTTCTCAAAGAATTCAATATCATGTATCGGTCGTCTCTCTCCGAGGTATAGCGTCGTTTTGCAGACCCTTGTCTGGACGTAGCTACCGGTCTGCTGGAACAGCTGGTAGACTCGTCGAACCGAAAAACTGCTTAAGTTCAGTTGCCGAGCAACATGAAACTGCCGCATTACCGATTTACACGGAGGTGCGATTTTTTTGTCCGGGTGTATTTGCGCAGTTAAGTTGTAATTTTATTGTAATTGGTAACTTGCTACCTTCGATGTTCAGATTAATACAAAATTAGGCGTTCACGTGTTTCTGCTACAGTATTAACTTAAAATTTTGAACTGTATTCACATCCATAAAGGCTGATTTACACTTCGTTCAGTGCAGTAGTGAGTTAACTTAGGGGCCATCCATAAATTACGTCACACTTTAAGGGGTAGGGAGGGGGTCGACGAAATGTGACATCGTGTGACAAGGGGTGGGAGGGGTCCTAAATTACGTGACGTTACATTTCAAAATATATTAAAATCTAAGTGTTGAAACTATTACTTTACGAAAGCATTAACAACCCAAACGAGAACAAAGTGGTGCTATGCCAGTTATAAATAATTTAAAGGAGTGGGATCAATGTCCATGGACTCAAGATTATTAAGTTTGTATCTTTAATTTAATTATAATGCTATTAATATTTTATGTTTTGTTAATTTCTTTTATTAACATAGTCAATCACTTTTTGTTCGGTATTTTTTTTGTTTTGTTAATTGATTGATTTGATTATAATAATAATGAAAAAACAATTTAAATGGAAATAAAACTGATTACAGAACCGCTGTTTTCATTCAATGATTTCTAAATGTAAATTTGCAAAATATGTGACGTCACACTAGGGAGGGGGGGAGTCTTACAAATGTGACCAGCTGTGACAAGGACGGGGGGAGGGGCAAAAAAGACATGAAATTCGTGTGACGTAATTTATGGATGACCCCTTAGGGTCTTGGCGAGTAAGTGCTCCCACACATAACTGCGAATTCGCATCGCATCGCAAATATCTACGAGCTCGCACGAATACACCGTAAGAACTTCCGATCGCCGATTCGCATCGCTCATTCCTACGATATTACGGTCACACTTGGTTTGAATTTTAGTCCTCTCTGAGACTTCCCTTGTACGGTCGTTTTTGTAGATATGACGACAATAAACTCAAATTCTATAAATAAACATATGCTCATTCTAACATAGTAAAATAAATCTTCTTTTATTCTTAAACCAGTATTTTCGAGTAAAATAGTTCCCATCAGCGTTTATAATCGTAATAAAGCGATGCACCCAAAGTCTTCTTTTTCGCCTATATTTATTTGAAAATAACATCAGTGCAACAATTTTATTGCGATCCATGTCACTATTACTAAAATACGTATAATACGACTGTCTAGCGTTGAAGGTTAACTATAAAGTAATATGTATGTAGTATGGTCACCTTAACCAAACCTTTGCCGCACGAAACCGTAACGCACCGATTCACATCGCAAGTTCCTGCGTTGCGACGTCGTATCGCATCACATCGCAGTTTTATGTGGGAGCCCTAAATTCTTATCATCGTTTGGACAGGGATTTGCCGGTTAAGTACCTACTGCTTAACTGTCTGATTTCTAAACTCGCTACTGTAATTAACGAAGTGAAAATCAGCCTTAAGTCTCGATTCGATATCCAACTATAATTTTTCCAACACATTTGACTGTCAGGAAATTTGCCTCTTGGGCTGTTTGCAATAATTGCCTTGGGAATAGTACAAATACAACTTACTAAAACACTGTTGCAATAAAGTCTTAGCTGCTACTGGATACGAACTACAAAAGGTAATTAATTAATATTATTTCTTACAGTCTGGAGAATTCGTGGCAATAAAAACTGAATTGAATGAAATGTGGCCTGCGATTTGGCGAGTAGATGGCAAAACTTTATTACAAAAATATGAGCCTTTTGAAGAAAATGGAAAAGTTTTATATAGAAATATATCTACGGTAAGTAATAGATAAACAAAAAAAAAATATTACTAGTTTATACACGTTAATAATAGCAGCGTTTTACTTACCACTAAAACGCATGTTGTGTCTGGAGACTTATTCGGGGTCATCACTCAAAATTATGTTTACATGACCCCGAATAAGGCCGTAGGACACAACTTAATCATAATCCATTGGTCAAATGAAAGAAACGAATATTCCCTTAAAAATGTTTGTCTTCATATGTATGTGCCTACCTATCATTCAATAAAGGAACATATTGCAACAACTTAAAACTAATTTTGTGTATTTTTCTGTATTTGCATAGAGTCCACAATTTTGCAAGGTTCGGGGTATAATTTATCTATGTTACAGAAGGATTGCAGATTTCGTCGAATTACATGCTAGTTAGTTTAATATAAAGTTTTTTTTTCTAGAAAAATTCCTCTCGCTCCAGGTTTCAGGCGGGAGATGTACGGTATGGGAGGAACGACCCGAGCAGTTGTTTTTCTAGTAAAATTTTGTTAAGATTATGCATCTAGCAGTTAAATGCTTAAACATAAAAAATAATAATCTACAGGCAAGTTGTTTGCATCAACTGTAGAGCCTTCGACTCCCTGTACGAATTCGCTGTTGGATGTGGCGATATTGACGCAACGCTACATAATAATGCAACTTCTTTATTTCATTCAATTGCCAATATCTAAAACGGCATAATTATAGCCGAAAATATGTTATACGTCGAGAAATCTGCAATCGTGGCGTAGTCGAATTCCACATCTACATTACGTCGTATTCCTTAACATTATATTCTGTATAGATGATACTTAATTCTTAAAAAAGTCATAAATGTTTTCCTATCACCATCAAAATTAGTATTCTGAATACCGATGCTAAAACGGATATGAAAAGTGTTGAGCGCAAAAGAAGCGACAGATATGCTCCGAGGCACACTTAAGCACGAATTTTGACAGCTCCTTAATTGTGTCGCATCGTCAAAGTTTCTATGGAAACTAAGCAGCGCCCCCACCGGAGTAAGAACAAACTGATTCCTTCCATACAGAATTTGACGATACGATTACGAATTTGTCAAAATTCGTGCTTGGTTCTCCGTTCTCTCCGCCTACCCCACTCGGAACATAGTGTAAAGTTAATATGTTATGTTAATGAGAAAATTCTTACATTATATTATTTAATTACTATGCATACATTTGTTTTTTTCGCAGTATGCAGCGTGGAATCCTGAAAATAAAAAGTTATATACTCAAGTCCCCGTGAAAGTTCGTTCCCAGTCACATTTAGAAACAACTGTAGAATTAGTTAGAAGCGAACTGCCGTTCGACGATTGTAGTTTTATTGAAAAGCGAATGTTAGAAACTCAAATGTATCAAGAAAATTTTGAGGTCTATATACAAACTTTAATTTCGCACGCATTGGATCCGAATTTCCTCACGGAGATATTTCAAGAGCAAGGTAATCACTTTATTTATATATTTTTAACTTAAATTACTTATCTGTTTCAAATATGACTTAATAATAATTTTAAAATTCTTAACTTTTTGAGCAACTGTGATTTGAGAGCTCTTATAGAGCCATTAATGATAATATAATAGCAATAAATAACAATAGTATTTTTAGTTTTATGCTAGCACTTTACATGGCTATTCCAATTTGCCTAACAATACTTGACAATAATATAATATGCATATGCTTTAGGGAATGACTAGATATACTATACTTTCTCGAAATTCCATCTGTTGACGCTTGAGTAAAAAGTTCTGCCTACACCGGAACGTCGCTCCATTTCCACCAGTAGAAGCAGCTTTGACCCACGTGATCAATTTACCCCCCCTCTTCACTTCACTCTCTACGCAATTCAAATTTTGTACGCTCAACTTTCTTTCGCAATTTTCATTTATTTATTTTATTTGTAATTATATTCGCAATATACGCATTATTGAAGTAAACAACTGAGCTTTATTGAAGAGTACGCATAACGCCGAAACATTTGGACCTTTTTCGCCGGATAATACGCTAGAAGAATCAGCGACTGTTGCAACCGACGGTTCAACGTCTGTAACGAACCAGGAAATAAGTCGCAAGGTCGAGAGGTTCTACAAAAGCACAGCAGTAACAGCAGCAACCGGAAGTCCAGGAGCCACTAAGCATAAGCGCAAATCGTGGGAGAAGCCAGCTAGCCTTTGAAACGCGCATAAAGGTACAGCCAGCCATCCCGTCTATTCCTGCTTTATCTCCACTTCCTCTGTGTAATACTGTGCATTTTGTCTTATTCCAGTACTTAATTTGTTGTGTATATTTGCTACGAGCCTACGACTCAACCCGCGAAACAGCTGCGGCAGTTACATTTCAAATCGTAAGTACTCCTTCTTTACTACTTTTCACCAAAATGAGTGTAGATCCAAGCCTAGTGCGTGAAAAATCCCCTTACAAATGTAGCAATGAGAGCTTGATTAAGGATTTAGTAAGGAAACGCGGTATAGTTAAGGGTAGATTAACTAAATTTGCTAACTATCTCTGTAACATGAAAGTAGAGAATATTTCAAGTCAGTCTCGCATAGATTTAAAGTTGCGTATTCAAGGGGCTTCAAATTTATATAAAGAATTCAATGATATTCAGAGTCAATTGGAGGACTTAGCCGTTGATTTGGATGAGCAGTTAACGCAGAGAGAATCGTTCGAAGATGGTTATTACAGTATCCTAGCGCAGGCTGAATATCTATTGAACCCAAACCAACTTGCCAGCAGCTCCAACGCTTGTAGTCATAGTAGTAAATCTATAAAGTTACCTACTATTTCTTTACCCTCCTTTAACGGTTTGTGTGAACAATGGTTAGAGTTTAGGGACACTTTTCTATCTTTAGTCCACAATTCTCAGGAGTTAAGTAATATAGAAAAGTTCCACTACCTTAAATCGTCACTTAGGGGAAGCGCGGAACTGGTTATAAATTCGGTTGAGTTTTCTAGTGACAACTATTTAATTGCCTGGGAATTACTACTCAATCGTTACAATAATAGCAGATTACTGGTTCATAATCACGTTAAATCTTTATTCACAATGCCAAGTATCAACAAAGAGTCTCCAGCTTTATTAAGAAAATTAATAGACACAGTTTTAAAGAATTTGCGTGCATTAAAAATTCTCGGTGAGCCAACTGAATCGTGGGATGCGCTGATTATTTATATAATGGTATCTAAATTAGACCCAACTACGGAACGCGAATGGGAACAATACAAAGGCACCGCATTATCTGCTAATAATAAGCACAACGCACAGCTTAAGGTGGATAATTTAATTGGTTTCCTTAATGACCGGGCTGACATGCTAGAAACGTTACAGTTATCACATAACAAGGCAAATTTTGAAAATAAAAAACACTACCCACAACAACATAGTCAATCAAAAGTTCACTGTAATGTTTCTGCCGGTAAGCCACCGGAACGCTATTCACGAGATGTCACTGGGAAAACCTGTTTGTTATGCAAGGCGAACCATCCACTATATTCATGCATAAAGTTTCTAAATTACGGTTACGATAAGAAAATAAAATTTGTTAGCGATATGAAACTGTGTGTTAATTGTTTGCGCACTGGTCACACTGCCGATTATTGCCGTTTTGGTCCCTGCAGAAAATGTAACGAAAAACATAATTCGCTAATTCATAATGACAGTAACATATCATCCGTGTCCTACAATGTAAATAACAATTCCGACGCAGTTCACGCATTGCACCGCACTGAGGATCCTGCGCCTGCGCCGCTCGCTCACTCCGGGCGTAAGCCCTCTTTCCCCACGCACTCCGTCCCGCGGTCGCCTGCCGCGTCCTTATCAGAACAGGTTTCAATCATACATGCGAATAAAGCACATTTACCTGATGCACAAACAATAGCGGCCAATGTTGTTTTGCTGTCTACTGCGTTAGTTGAGATAGCCGATCCTTATAATAATACTCATGTTGCCCGCGCGCTCCTTGATAGCGGGAGCGAACGTTGTTTCATTACTAAACAATTATGCGATTCACTTAAAGCGCCAGTAATACAGTCCACTCAACAAATACGAGGTGTTGGTAACTCGGTCACAAATTCAACTCAAATATGTGACATCGAGATTAAATCGCGCACCAACCCGTATTCTACGCATTTGCAGTGTTATGTTCTTCCGGTAATCACTCCTTCGTTACCGGCTATAACACTCCAATCTTCTCATTTCGACATTCCCGACAATGTTCAACTAGCGGACCCGAAATTTTATGAATCCCACAAGATAGACATTCTAATCGGCGCAGATAAATTTTGGGATTTATTAAATAATAACAATAAATTAAAGTTATTAAGCGGGCCTTTCTTATTAGATACTAAACTCGGGTGGGTAGTGTCAGGACCTATTTGTACGCTTTTGCGACAAGATAAGTACATACAATGCAACTTCTCTCAATCAGTCGAGTCCTTGCCACGCCAGTTTTGGAAGCTCGAGGAAGTAACTGTAGCTCAGGGTACGTGTACTGATGAGGAACGCGCGTGTGAGGAACATTTTGTCACTACAACTACACGAAATAGTGACGGACGATTTTGTGTTCGTATACCTTTTAATAAAAGTACAGATACATTAGGCGAAAGTTATTCACAAGCTGAGCACCGGTTTTTTGCGCTAGAAAAACGGCTTCAGCGTCATCTCTATTATAAAAACCTTTATACAGACTTTATGCATAAAAAATCTAAAGATTTGTCTTTGGGTGAGAATATACATTCGAAAACTTTAGATTTAGGCTGGTTTCATACTACGGATCAATTTCATTTTAACACAGCATTTAAAAGAGATAGTTCTCAAACTATGACAAAGCGTTATATTATGTCAATGATATCACAAATCTTTGATCCGTTAGGATTATTAAGTCCATTTGTAATTTTAGGTAAAATTCTGTTGCAAAAACTTTGGTTAATAAAAATAGGTTGGGACGAAGAAGTCCCTGGGGATGTCAAAGTTTGGGAACGATTTTCCTCTTCTTTGCATGTTCTTGGTGACATGCGCATACCTCGGTACGTACAGGGAATGAAACCCGTAGGTCGAGAGTTACATATTTTTTGTGATGCCTCGGAGTCTGCGTATGGAGCATGCATTTATATTCGCACTATTAACATTGATTCTTCTGTATCTGTTCAGCTTTACTGCTCAAAGGCAAAGGTTGCACCCTTAAAGTCAATTAGTATCCCAAAGTTAGAATTATGCGCGGCGTTATTGGGTGCAAAACTGTTTAAAAGAGTACGTGAAGCCCTTTACTCTGTTGATTTTAACAACGTAGTTTTTTGGACCGACTCCACTATTGTGCTGGGTTGGTTACGCATGGCTCCTAACTTGCTAAAAACATTTGTGAGGAATAGAGTTTCAGAAATCCATGAAATTGTTAAGGATGTACCCTGGTATCATGTAAGTGGAGGTAACAACCCCGCTGATTTAGTATCCCGGGGGCTGTATTTACACAAACTTAAATCAGCCTCATTATGGTGGGAGGGACCGTCATTTCTTCATAGTTCTGAAATTGAGTACGGAACTAACCGTGAAAATAATTATAGTAAACAAGATTTACCTGAACTAAAGGTAAACTGCACCTTTTTGGCTAGGACAGAGATTTCTATTTTTCCTTTTCAAAGATTTTCACAATATACTCGGATGAAATATACGCTAGCGTATGTCCTGTGTTTTGTACATAACACGCGTAATAGATATCACGGCCGCCGCGGGCCACGCACTGTTGAGGAGTTGCGATTGTCAAACTTACATCTTATAAGGTTTTCGCAGCAAGAATCGTTTCCAGAGGAATACAAAATGCTATTGAACAACGGACATCTAAAAACTACTCACAAATTGATAAAATTAAATTTATTTATGGATGATGACCAAATCATACGCGTAGGCGGTAGGATGGAAAATTCAGCAGATTTTCCTTATGATAAGAAGCATCCAATGTTGTTGTCGTCTAAACACTGGTTTACATTGGTGCTTTTTCGGGACGAACATAAGCATTTGCAGCATGCCGCGCCGCAGGCGCTATTGTACAATATACGCGAACATTATTGGCCAGTTGGAGGTAGGGATCTTGCTAGGCTAACTGTACACAACTGCATTATTTGAAAGCAATTGAGGGGTAAAACTTTGTCACCCATGATGGGTAACTTACCGCAAGAAAGAATCACTCCGAGTTTTCCTTTTATAAATTGTGGCGTAGACTATGCAAGGCCAGTGTTCACATTAAACCGCAGAGGCAGAGGCTCAAGGTTGGTCAAGGGTTATGTTTGTCTATTCGTCTGCTTTGTAACTCGCGCCGTGCATTTAGAGCTGGTTAGTGACTTATCTTCGGACGCCTACCTTCTCGCATTAAAGAGATTCATCTCACGTCGCGGTAAACCTGATCAAATTTTCTCAGATAACGGTAGAAACTTTGTAGGCGTTGCAAACGAATTTGCGAAATTTTTGTCAACTTGCTCTGATGATATTATTGAATACGCAACTACACAATCAATTAAGTTCTCATTCATCCCCCCATACGCACCTCATTTTGGTGGACTGTGGGAAGCTGGAGTCAAATCCTGCAAGTATCACTTACTTAGGGTTATTGGAAATGCACATTTGACATTTGAAGAATTTAGCACAGTATTGTCACAGGTTGAAGCTATCCTAAATTCCCGCCCACTGAGTCCTATGTCCTCTGATCCAAACGACATTAACCCTTTGTGTCCAGCTCATTTCCTTATTGGGCGGCCTTTGACAGCACCTGCATCGGCTCACTACACAAATGTTCCTGTTCACCGCTTGACGAACTACCAAAGACTAGAGCAGCTTCGACAGCACTTTTGGACTCGCTGGAACAAGGAATATATCTCGGAACTGCAAATCAGAACAAAATGGACAGGAAATGGAGCCGATCTTCAACCTAATACATTGGTTGTAATCAAAGAGGATACCGTTCCTCCTCTGAAGTGGAGCTTGGGTCGTATCATTTCCACCACGCCAGGGAAAGATGGAATTTCACGAGTGGCAGACATTCAGACTGCTGCTGGTATTGTACGTCGTGCTTTCTCCAAAATCTGTCCCCTCTTCGACATAGAAGACAAGGTGTTGGACGCTGGTGCTTCCAAGGCCGGCGGCATGTTGACGCTTGAGTAAAAAGTTCTGCCTACACCGGAACGTCGCTCCATTTCCACCAGTAGAAGCAGCTTTGACCCACGTGATCAATTTACCCCCCCTCTTCACTTCACTCTCTACGCAATTCAAATTTTGTACGCTCAACTTTCTTTCGCAATTTTCATTTATTTATTTTATTTGTAATTATATTCGCAATATACGCATTATTGAAGTAAACAACTGAGCTTTATTGAAGAGTACGCATAACGCCGAAACACCATCATTATTCTGGCATTTTAAATAAAATAAATGTAATGACTATTTTTTCGTCGCTGAACCACGGTCCAGTTCTCAGTTTGTTTTGTATTATTCTTCCAAACTCCGGGTTGTCGTACTATTTCCGCCATTGTTGGTTGTTGTTCACCAGTAGTGACCTCTGGCGCATATACCATGTTTCCGTCAGTTGTCAAACTCCGAGCGTGTTCCTGTTGCGCTATACCTTAGTCTCTTCATTTATACCCCTCCTGTGGCCTCACTTCGGATTCAAACTGATTGAACTAGTATCGCCTAGCCGTCAACCAGCGGTTGGCGAGTCGTAAGCGCGGCATTGCCCAGTCGTAGCTGATCTAAATGTACTGTTGCCCAAGCACGATTTCTTGACAGCTCCGTAAAGTATCGTTATCGTCACATTTACCCCCGGTGTATTGGTAGCCAGCGAGCCCCGCGCGTTAGACGCGGCGGTTGGCACGTGGCCGGAGTTCAGCGTTTATATAGCGCTCGAGCTCGCATTCTATCGTTTGAACGACCATCTCTATGTCTAGATGTTGCTCCATTTTAGAGTCAGTTGTTAAAGGTGGCTGTCGCTTTCAGACGAGTATTTCGGGGCATTCCCACTCTTTACACCCAGCTTTGTTCTCTCAGGTGACGAGAGGGAATTATTCTAAAAAATCCCTTACCTCCTCGGGGGTGGCATACCCGCGACAGCTGGGAATTGTGTAATAGAAACTTCCTTTCACTAGTGGTGAAGACGTTGGACGAAATGGGTCGAGACGCGGCGGTGGGCACGTAGCCGGGGCTCAGCGTGTATATAGACGCCCGAGTTCGCATTCTATGGTTTTAATCACTCTTTAGGTGGCTTTGTATTTAGATAGTTCGGGTTTTGTCAATTGCTATAATAGACGGTCGTTTCAGACGAGTACTTCTTGTCCAACGTGAAAACGGTGGACGAGGTGACGGAGACGATGCGGTCGCGCGTATCCAGCGCGGCGGCTAACCCCGGCGGAGTGGTAGCCAGCGGGCCCCGCGCGTTAGACGCGGCGGTTGGCACGTGGCCGGGGCTCAGTGTGGCGGCGGGCGCGGGCGCGTGCCGGGCGTGCGCACGCGCAGCGGTCGCCCGCCTGCTACTGTACGGCCAGCCTTATAATCCAGCTACGCTGGAGCCCGTGCAGCCAGATGCCAGGCTCGCGTATGAAAAGGTACGTACGTGACGGTCATACCATTTCTCTTTGTACCAACAGTTCCTTTTGGTAGGAGAGGAACTGTACCCTAAGTACAAACCAATATCCAATTTGAATAGTTCAAGAAGTTTTGTATGGATGATTTTTATTTGTTGTTTATCCGTTGTGGCGCTTAACATTTGGCAAATATCGAGATTGAAATCGATATCGATATTGGTTTGCGCCAAGGGAACAGTTTCCATAGAAAGAGAGGAACTGTTCTATCACTCCATTTTGTTCCCAACGGTTAAATAGATGTGACGGGAGGTGTATTAATTTTTTTAAACTGTTTTTATAATTTAGCTTACTAGAAAACATTCCATTTGGCACATGTTCGGTTTTGATTAGAACTAGTCCCTTTTAGAAACGTAGACAAATACGAAAGCGCTTTAGGGCAAGTAGTTTGGTTTAGTAAAAAATCTTTATTTGTATTCATTTATATTTATTACATTTTTTAGGTAGCGACAAACTTCTTGAGCAAAACTACATACAAATAAACTTGCGCAGTAGACTTTTTGTATATAAAATTGCTACTGCGCAGGCTTCCTTGTCTATCGTCGTTACACAAGACGTCTGCCGGGTAGTATACACCCGTATACTACCCGTTATAATTGCAAATAAGTAAAAAGGGAACCCGTATAAATAAATAAGTATAAAGGTCATCGCTCATTAGAACCACCCGGCACCAGTATCGCTCGGATAGTATTCTTTTTAATATGGATTTCTTTCAACATGCACTCACTACAGCAATTAAGATGGCGATTGGACCACTCCGTGACAACCTTCTGTCTGTGATTGTCTTACGTTGAATCTCTCATCCATGTCTTAAACCCATGTATCGCCCTTATGTAATCACTAGTGGCCCGCCCTCACTTCGCTTCAGTGTAGAGCTGTAGTGTAAACTATAGTTTTTGTTCTCAGGCTTGTGCTATAAACAATGACTTTATTTATATAATTACACGTGTTATTGTGAGTCAACCATAAAAGATAGACATATGCTGTTGCGGGATATTTTTTAGACAATTTTATGTAAAATATTTCAGTCATACATTTCTTTGTAACTTTAACCATTAAGGTTGCACCCGCGACGGAAGCTTAAAAAATGGAGTAACTTCTCCCGTTTTCCCAACATTTCCCTTCACTACTCTGCTGCTATTGATTGTAGCGTGATGAAAAGTATACTATAACCTGCCCAGGAGTATGAAGAATAATTGTACCAAGTTTCGTTAAAATCCGTTGAGTAGTTTTTGTTTCTATAAGGAACATACACACAGACAGACAGACAGACAAACATTTTACTGATTGCATTTTTGGCATCAGTATCGATCACTAATCACCCCTTGATAGTTATTTTAAACATATATTTCATGTACAGAATTGACATCTCTACAGATTTATTATAAGTATAGATTATGCTTATTCCACCTGCGTGACGAAGCTTCGGGTGGTTTTGGTACTAAAATGCGCTAAAATTTGCGTTCAAACTATGAATTAAGTACGTTCCATCAGCTGCACATACAAAATGTATCGTATTTGACAACCTCTTTTAGCGTATCAAATTATCGCCAGTCAAGCTATCGTCTAGCGTCTATAGACAATGTTAGCGCTTTTAGTACTAAAGCCACACGAAGCTTCATAGCGCAGGCGTTGAAGAAATACTATTCTAGCGCCCCCTCTAGTAAGTGCCCAGACCATTAGCGCTCGTGTGCAATCATTACGATAGCCTTCTATCTAGGGGCCATCCATTAATCACGTGATGTATTTTTGGTATTTTTTAACTGTTATTTCGTGAGTTTTTATGGACCCTTCCCCGCCTTCCGAGCCTTGCGTGATTAATGGTCAGCCCTATAAATGTCTGCAACAGCTTCGATACCCTCTAGTAACAAATCCGTCTATGCCATATCGAATTGTGATCTTGAATTTAATTAAAAACGAGTAAACATTGATGTGTATAAACCTCTATCCCCGTACTCTAGCATGATACCGACTCGTATGAAAGCAACTCGGTCCGGCAACTATTCTGATCATGTCACCGCAGCTTAATGCTGCCGCCTCTGGTACAGATCCCGAATCCCTGAGTGAATTGCGCGTTGACTACGCTACTTTTATCCGTGGACCACCTGTCAAACGAATTTCGCGACTGTGCTGGTTGGATCCGGTGCAGTGCTTTCTCCGGTGGCTCTAGTGAGCGATGCCTCTTTAGAATGTTAGTTAGACATTGACAGAGAGAATAGATTGAGCAACACTCGCATGAAATTGACAATTTCCTAGCAAGAGCGATGCGATGGTCCATCAATAAGAACTGAGGAGCTGGCGAACATAACGGTATAATTACGCATCTGGTCAAAATACTTTTTTTTTTCACAGTCCGGAGGTTTCGGGCCCGTTGAATTTTAATCTCAAATAATTTTGAATCAAAACCACCTAAAACAGTGTTAAAATTACTCAATTTATAAATTAATAACCATACCAAAAGCTCACTGGAGGTATGTCATTCAGTATTATACAGCTCCTGTAAATTTTAATTTTATGTAATTATACCGTTTAGTTCGCCAGCTCATCAACCATTAGGTGCCCGATCGTTTTTTTCTCATACATATCTGTCCAGTTTTACATTAGTTTTAGGGAATGCTTAGTTTATTATTGAGATAGCTACTCTCTTTATTGTATAAGGTTACCATGGAAACAATACTTTGTTGATTCAAACTCGATAAAATACTGTTATTATTCACAGCAAGAGTATAAATTTTATTTTATTCATATTTAGTCCTAAATGGATCGAAAAACATGGTCCTTCGAGCCTTGATGATGAGATTTAAACCAGCGACTTATGGATAGTAGGTAATATAACATAGTCAATTTTCTATGTCTATGGTTAGGCTAAGAGATACCATTACGGGAATCATCGTCGCTATTACAAATCTGACAGTTCACAGTACTTTATATGCCACTGAATAAAGAACTTTAGTACTGTTATCTTATACTAGAGCGTGCTATTAATTACAGTTATACAGAAAATATTTTTTTAACCATATTACCCCACGGAGTAAGGAATACTTCTGGTTAATATTCTGACTTTAATTTTGGAACATCCACGTGACTATTCAAATTTGTTTTCTTCTTGTGTATGATAAAGTGATGGCGTTCTATATTTCCACAGGAATTCTTAGTATGCGCGACATGTTGCGGCCGAGTGCAGCTCTACTCTAGGATATCACATCAGAAGTATTTAATGTACGCCGAGTGCAGTAAGCGGGTGGCCGAGAAGAGAATGCAGAATCCGAGCAAGGACACCACGGTGATACTAAACGAATTGCTCGCGGACGAAGTGTGGTTATCGCAGGTAATAATAAATACTTAAATAAATATTTCTAACACACACACCAATTAGCCTAGCTCCAAAGTAAGCACTGTAAAGCTTGTTTTGGGATACAAGGGTAACGCATAGAATACATAAGTATACTGATAAATATTATTATAAAAATATTTTTATTTAGAAATACATAATATGAACATCCATGACTGTGGTACAAATGCTCGTATTCATCACACAAACATTTTCCCCACCGGGATTCGTACTCTTGACAATCGGCGTACATACTAGAGCCACGGAAGTCGTCATATTTATATAACCAGCTTAATGTATACTGATATTCATAGTTACATTTTTATAACTTGAGAACGGCTAACGATTTAATTAAAGTTTTTTCATACTTTGTAGAAGGTTCTTACTGATAAAAATAGTCAAGGTTGCCCTAAAAATTAATTAGAAATTAAAAAAAATAATCTCAACTATCCGATAGGTGGCGCTGCAATCAAAGAGTCGATTGTCTTTGAGATTATAAGTTTTTGGTCACCCATCCAATAACCGACTATGCGAAAGCTTAACTTCTGCGATGCCAGGCCAAACGCGCTGTCTACCTGCGCCATTGAGTTCCTTACACTCATCTATGATATATTTCTGTAACTACTAGCTGTTCCAGCGAACTTCGTACCGCCATAAAAAATAGGGGTTGGTGGTAGAAGAATGAAAATTTAGGTTTGTAAAAAAACAAAAAAAGATGACAAAAAAAGGTGGACCACCCTTAACATTTGGGGGGATGAAAAATAGATGTGTCCGATTCTCAGACCTACTTAATGTGCATATAAAATTTCACAAAAACCGGTCGCGCCGTTTCTGAGTAGTTCAATTACCCGCACCGTGACACGAGAATTTTATATATTAGATATTATTATTTTTACAGCTGTTCAGGGAAGTGCGGCATTCCTGGGCGGAAGCCGAGTGCTGGGAGCGCAAGATGCGACAGGCGGTCACACGCCAGATGATATAGCAGACGATATAACCCCACGCGCCTGTAATGGACGTTCTCGTTTATTCACCAAACGCGATACCTGTGAAACATATTGTGTGCTGTATGTAATTCGGTTTTGTATATTTATTACGCGGTGTTTTTTAGCATTTCAAAGTAATATGTTATTTTTTTTACAAACTACGAGGGTTAGGTTGTGTTTGCAGGTGATTCCGCCGAGCGTATTGCAGATAGCCTTTAAATAGTGTCGCGACGTTGTTGGCTGCTACTTATCCAGGACTTGTTCTAACTAAACGACTGTCAAAGCGCACGTATTGTATAGAAAACAAGAAGCTTGATGACGGTTGTGAAGTTAGCAGCGAACGCGCACCTACATTTCGTTTACTCTGCTACGAACGACTTGCGCTAACTTCACAGCCGTCATTGAGTTAGAACCCCGATTTACTGTCCACGGATATCAGTCAGTGGCGTGCTTTCTTTATCGCACGGAAAGGAGAGTTGGCCGGAGTAACGGTGAGAATATAATTCGGCCAATGACAGAAAAGCTTAGCTATCTTCAGTTATAACTCGATTCCTTAAATAGAGTAAACAATCGAGTTTACTTATTGTGTGCTAATAAGAGTTACATTGGTATTTTCGAAAGTGTATTTGTTGTCCTAAGTCTCCAATGTGAAGAGAGACATTGGATTATATTGGATTGATTTCACTACTCAACTTCTTTTACAAATAGTTATTTTTATATCAGCTCAATTTTTGTGTTACATTCTCATAATTTTTTAAAAATTAGATCATAACTAAAATGTTCATCATAATTAGACTAAAAGGCCTCAAATTATTTTGGATGTTAGGTTGTTGAGGCATAACTAACGATTCTTATCTTTGATATAATGCACACTAAATTAGTACAGAGTGATAATGGTATGATACACTTACACTACTTATTATCACACTTATTTTTGTTGAATTAAGAGCCATATTTGCCTAGTGACAATCCCAGTAGATACGAAATCAGCGCTGATTGGTCGTTTAGTCATCATAAGAATAATAAATCAAGCTTATGTTAGTTCTGCAGTGCCATGTCGATGCTTGCTACTTCCTTATTGTGGTAGTTTTGATTAGCGTTTTACACATATTTCCACAATGATACCTACTTGATAATTGAAAAAAAAACTAATGAAATACCCCTTATTTTAAATGATTGGTTTTTTTTTGGTTTAAGTTGTTATGATTTTATTAACATGCCAATATATGTATACAGCGCCATAAACGCGTGAACGGTGGTGCATTTTTTTTTATATTTATACTTAATTGTATTTGAAACGCAACGTCCAGTGCAGTATTTCAGAATCCGCTATTTGAAGACCTAACATTTTGACTGAGGTGACTGCGGTTGCCTGAACAGAATAATATGATTTTAAATCAATTAGGTTTTCAAAAAAAACTTGTGGAAGGTTCAGGATAGAAATATAATTTCTGTTTATATTAAATGTGGTTTGATATTATATGGGTTATTGTAAATAAAAATTACATTCAGTTAATCGCACAAAAACACATTAACTTCTAATACCTTCTGATTTAAATGTGATTATCATATTAATCCTATAAGATTATTTTTCTGTAAAATTTTAGCTATCTGGAGAGTAAAACGCATAAATTAATGATCTGCTGTATAAGTTTTGGTATTTTTTAGTCAGAATTGTTACGTTAATAGAAAGAAAATTTGAATATTTATGTTTTACATAGAATTCGGAAAGGAACATAATAAGCGTTAATGATTGTATATTTTTAAAGTTTAAGTTATGCTTGTTTTGATAGGAAAGTGATATAAAATATACTGATTATTAGGCCATTATGTGCGTTCTCGTGTTGTGCAATGTCAGTGAGGAACCCAACAAAGCTTTCTGCGTCGTCTCAACATTTTTATGTGTTCAAATTGTTTTCTGTGTATTTAACAATTTTTCAGTTCTTAGTATGAAAACATTTCGTCATTCTTAGTTCTTTTCTAAATTGGCAAAGGCCTATTAAAAACTAGCGGTTGCTTTGTGTGTCCGCCTTGTAAACAACCCAATTATCCCTAGTTCACACAACATTGCACTGCATTTTTCTTTGTATGAACAGCCGCGGTTCTTTTATATAATGAAAACGTAAATCTAACCATAATGCGGATTAGAAAGTTCGGTTATATTCGAATAATAAATATTTTTTAGCAAAACGTTACGTATTTTCATTACTGAAATATTTTTAATTTTACATAAATAATTAAGTTAATTCTGTACTTTTCGAAATCCCGGTTTTATCCCCTGTTGAATGTTAGAAAAGGAATTAAGTTCTTAAATTACTTTGGGAATTGATAAAGCATACAAATTGAAGTTTATTGCGAATTTTTTATGGTTCCGTACCTGTATAGAAAAAACGGAACCCTTATAGGATCACAGTTGTCTCTATTATCTGTCTGCGAGACCCCATATTGGGAACGCGTGTAGTTGAAATTTAAACCATATGCTCAGGTCTAATACGGTCTCTCGAAGTTTTATTTTTTGAGTGTTTATGCTGTTGGTCGCAAATGACCTTTATTTACAGCGTCACCGGGTTTGGGGACGGCGAGATCCTAAGGGGGCTTCAAGCCGAGAATTGGTGAGTGCGTCTAGAGGTATTCCACGCAGATGGCATTTCCGTTAGTTTATTTCCTGTAGTTAGCCGTTGTCGTGGGGCTCTCGTAAACTAGAAGCTACAAGCTTCTAGTTTACGTAAAAAAAATGCGTACCTACAAATTAGTACGGGTCCCACTCACATTTTTTTTTTATATGGAAGCAGTGTTTATGGAACTTATGATACCGTCCATTGTTTCAAATATCCATAACAAGTGCTTCAGTTACTGGTTCTTATAATTCAATTTGTTGGAATGATTTTGTCTAAGATACACACATGTCTCCATATAATGCATTACTAAAACTTGTTTTCTTTTAATTATTGTGTTTCATACTTACAAAAGCCTTAAAGTAACTTGAACTTGGAATATAATTGTGTTGAAAATTTGTGTTATAATAAGTGACCAGTATAACTATTGATCACTCTTTACTTGTCTGACTTACCTACATACATAGGTACTTCTACTATTACCATAATAATATTTTTATAAGATGAAAACTTCACAATTCGTTTTGACATCATGCTTCTATCTGGAATTGTATTTTTAATTAATATTAATCAGATTGCTAATTACATTATGTAAGTTATTGAATATGACCGAACTTATTCCTTTAGCTCGTTTTTAATCTACGAATCTGTGGAAAAGTAGTACTTATCAGATGATAAGACATTTAATTCATATCGGATGGTACCTACAAAAAAACAACTCTTGAAGTACAAATGAAAATCTAACCTCTTATTTGATAGTGGGCTAGCCCCCTTCTGTCTGTGAGGATAAGAACTTGGATGCATATTATTGTAAGCTTATTAAATATAGTCTTCCCATAGCATATACAGAATCAACCTAAAAGGTAACCTGCAACTTCTAGGTGATATTATTTTGAACTCAAAAGTGATAACGAATGTCGCCTAAATGTAGCTAACATTTTCGGCTGTATGTACATACTGCCAACGAAATCATGGCTAGACAATCACCTTTAAGACGATTTTCCTTTGTGTGACCGATACCTTGACCAAGATGTCGCCCCGCCTTGTTGTTATTGCCCACACATCACAATTCATTGCACAAAATTTCATAATACTAAGTAGTAAGTACCTATACCGCGTTACGATAAATTGTTTTAAACTTTCATGGTCACTCACATTATAGTATTGTTACCATGTACCTTGTTTTTAAAAACAAGGCACATGGTAACATTCCCGTAAATAATATATATATATACCGCAATACGTATTTTAAAATCGAAACGGGTGCACGATAGGTAGTCGAGTCCTATTGTTTGTCATTGGTCAAATAGACAAGAGGCGGAACGATAGACACTATTCTCGTACTTACAAATAAAACAGTTTTGAAACTGCTCATACTCATAGAGGTATAAGAATAGAGTGGGGAAGGCTGCTTTAAAAGTGTCCGTCTAGTAGAAAGAGAAAGAAGATGAGAGACCGCTAGCTTTTCTCTCTCTTGTGACGTAAGGCATCCAATGGCATAACATCGAAATAGTAAGATGCTTACAGTTGCCAATGCGCATTCGCGATTAGAGAGAAAAGCTAGCGGTCTCTCATCTTCTTTCTTTTTCTATTAGAGGGACACTTCCACTTGTAGTAGAGTATATATCTTCCCTGCTCTATTCTTATACTTCTATGCTAATACTATGACTTTGTTGATGATACATCACAAATGTAGTGATATTTTAAAAACATCGCGAATGACGCGTTAATAAACGAGATTTTCAAATTTTTACGTGTTCGCCTAAACTGTGTTTTATTAAAATATAACATTGTAATACTATTCGAGTATCGTACTATAATAGCGCCTATTTAATGATGAAAACACTATAAGAGTATTTAATAAACTTTAGTTTTCTAATACCGGAGACCACCAGAAATGATAATATCATGATAAGGGAATGAGAACTAATACATTATTAATAATAGATAATTAGTGTGTTTTGTATAATTTTACCAGCAGTGGATGAATTTTGCATGTTGTTAGGGGTTATGATATTCTGTAGTTATATACACCATTGTACAAGTAGGTAGCTTCTGTTATTTTTATATCGCAATGCCAGATGCGTTAAGAACAAATTATAAGACAGTTTTCAGTACTAGCCGTTGTGAGAATACCAGATGTAGCATTTTTGGTGACTGAATTTTTGATATGCACAGCCTACTCGATTAGGTGAATCGTAAAAGAACTGAAAAGTTACAGACTTTCCGATGACGACAAAGTGAAAGTTATAATAGATCTCGTTTTTATTATTCCTCATTCTGACTATTGCAAAGTTTAAAAAGGATTCGCCAAAAGTATGATGAAAAATTTACATGTATGCATATATTATGTTAATTTTGTTTTAATTCAATAACAACTGCATACATTCTTAAATAATGAATTGTACATTGTGTTAATTGGTTAATTCCAGAAATAAATATCTCACATTCCCTAAGACAAATTGAATGCCTTTATCGTCAAATCTCAAGTGAAATTATTTTGGTAGTTTTCTTTTTATTATTTACATTGAAAAGCGGGATTTTATCTGCATTAACTAATAAATGAACAAAATGTGACGATATTATATTTCTACTTTTAAATATAAATAAGTACATTATGGAAAAATATTTTGTATAATTGTGTTAGGTTGTATCATAGGTTATGATTATGTCCGCTACTTACAGGTAGGTAGTTCATAATCTTAGTGATTAAGTAGCATTGTAAAAAATAACAGGTTCTTTCTGGTAATTAAAGTTTAAGAGAACTTTATTTATTTTGTTCAGATTGGACAGGTTTGTGTTGATATATTCGACAACATTTATTATAAAACATCCTAAAACGCAATTTTATCGAATAAAAGTTTCAATAGCACTTTGTCTTATTGTTGTCCTTCTAAAATCACAAAAAAACGTATCGCTTAATCTCCAATACGGTAAAAGAAATCTTGAGACTTTAAATAAACAAAAGCCTCGTAAAAGTTAGTATCATCTGGCAATTTCGCAAGATTGACAAGACAAAAGGTCTTGCAACACACATTTGGTGGCTCTGCAGGACAATAATCAAGACCACGGAGCAAATATAAGTAGGAGCTGTGCTGTATTATATTATTCAATGTAGCAGAGCTACCAATGTTGAAGTATGGTTCCACTTCTTCTTCTTAGTCGTTCACTCTTGTCAGAGTGGTCGTGGTCATGTGCCGGTCAGAATATTGCGCCACCGCTTCCTTCGTGATGCGACGCCATGTTGCTCTGTGTTTTGCAGAGTGGGAGTTGTCGTTGATGCTGGATCGTGTGACAGATTTGATGAGATCCGTCCACCGTGTAGGAGAGCGTCCACGTGATCTTTTGCCCTCGACTTCGCCCTGCACCACCAATCGTTCCATAGATACCTCGTTACGGGTAATGTGCCCAAAGAACTTGAGGATACGTATTTGCACAGTCGACGATAACCTCTTTTTAATTGGAGTTCTTTTAGAATCGAAACATTGCTTCGGTGCGCACTCCACGGGATGCGAAGTATGCGTCTCCAGCACCACATTTCTAGAGCGTCAATCTTGCGACGGTTTCGCATCCTCAGCGTCCACGTCTCAGCTCCATATAGAAAGATTGGAAAGACCAGGCATCTCATTAGTCGAACCTTTGTGTTTCTGGTTATTCTGCGGTCCTTCCAAATCTTGATGAGTTTTTCCACTGAGGATCTAGTTATGGCGCAACGTCTCCGAATTTCGTCCTCGCAACTTCCAGCGTTGGTGATCGTGGATCCTAGATACACGTAGCTGTTAACCACCTCGCATCCCGCTATAACTTTGACATCTGGTTGGTTAATGTCAGCACGATCCACGATCATCATTTTCGTCTTATCACGGTTGATTTCTAGTCCAAAATCCATGGCCGTGGTCTCAAGACGACGAAGCAGAGTTTCAATTTCATCTTTGGTTGACGCTAGGAGAGTAGTATCATCCGCATATCTTAAATTTGATATTTTACGTCCTCCCACAGACATTCCCTTATTCCAGTCTTCGAAAACGATCCGCATGATGTACTCTGTGTATATGTTAAATAATAGCGGAGACAATATACAGCCCTGCCTAACGCCAGCTTGCGTTTTGAAACGGTCGGAGTCAAACTCGTCAACTCGAACTGCGGCTGTGCCATCTTCATACTGACGTCTAATGAGATGTACGAGATGTTGTGGTATACCCATTTCCGTCAGAACTCTCCACAGTTTCCACCACTTGACGGTATCAAAGGCTTTTCTAAAGTCAACGAAACATACATAGAGAGCGATGTTGAACTCCCGAGCCTTCTCTACAATTTGTCGCATTATGAGTAGCTGTTCTCTTGCACCTCGGCCCTTCACGAAACCAGCTTGCTCGGAGGCGATTTCTCGAGATAAGTAGGTTTGAAGCCTCGTGTTGATAATATGCAACATTATTTTGCTTGCGTGAGATATGAGAGAAATTAGTCTGTAGTTATTGCATTTTTTTGTTGATCCTTTTTTATGAAGTGGAATGAAAAGGGAATGAGACCAATCGCTCGGCCAAACTCCAGTATCCCAAATTCGGCGGCAGATTGTGTGCAATATGTCTACTCCGATCTCCCCCATAGCCTGTATTGTTTCAATCGGGATCTCATCAAAACCCACAGCCTTATTCCGCTTAAGGTGTTTATGGCTGCGCGCACTTCATCTTTCAGTGGCATTGGTTCTTGCTCATACGCTTCTTCATGAATTGCCGCATTGTCTGCTGTCTTTTCTTCGAAAAGAGATTCACAATAGTCTTTCCAGACGCCAACAATCTCCTTTATGTCTGTGATGGTTTTTCCCGATACATTCTCAATGGCCCAAGTCTTTGGTTTGAATTGATGGGTTACAAGTCTGATTTTCATGTGTAAGTCCTTGGTTTCAAACTTTTGAGAATGTCGTTCAACCTCTGCGCATATAGATTGTAGCGCTGTATTGCGGTCTCGGCGACAAGCGGCTTGTATGTTGGAACTCATAGCATTAAGTTCTTGTGTTGTGGCACCATTAGCTTTTAGGTTTCTACGTTTCTCGACTAGGTTCCAGGTATCAGTCGACATCCAGTGCTGCCTCTTTTTAGGTCTAGTGTTATGTTGTGATACGCTTACAGCGTCTTTGATAAGTTGCACGGCTGATTTCCAGAGATCGTCAACGTTTCCTTCTTCGCTATATTGTTCGTGCCAGCGTTGTTCTTGTAGCGATTGAACGAATAAGTCCTTGTCAGTCACTTCTATGCGTTTGGGTTTTTTTGTGACTATGGGTTTACGCATTCTGATCTTCATGTCACACACAAGAAGTTGGTGGTCAGACATAACGGCGGCTCCTGGCAGTGTGTGTGCGTTGGTTATTGAGCTTCTCCATCTTGTTTGGATCAAAATGTAATCGATCTGGTTGTGATATTCTCCATTAGGCCGTCCAGGTGTACAGTCTTCTTGGGTGGTGTTTGAAGATTGTATTCATTAGAGTGAAATTATTGTCTGCTGCAAATTCGATAAGGCGCTCTCCACTATTGTTCCTGCTGCCAAGACCATAGGGACCTACAATGTTGCGCAACCCCACATCATTAGCAGTGGCTCCTATCTTAGCATTAAAGTCACCGATAATCATTAGGATTTCTCTTTTTGGTATGCCATTAATACACCCCTCCAGTGTGTTATAAAAGTCCTCGATTTCTTCTTCTGGAGCGGCACTTGTGGGGGCGTATACCTGGATAACATTTAGCGCACATGGTGAAGCATTGAGTTTCATGGAAATTATTCTCTCGCTGACGGGGTTGTACCCCAGGACAGACCCCACCAAGGACGCATGTACTGCAATAGCCACTCCGGCGAAACTGGATGATTCGTTTCCTGAGAAAAATATAGTGTGTTTCTCTATTTTTCTGTGGCCACTCTTTCCAGTGCGTCTCACTAATTCCTGTAATAAAAGTATTGCGTCTTTCGAGTTCGTGATCTAAAACATAGAGCTTTCCTTCGTCATTGATGCCTCTTACATTCCTTGTTCCGACACGAATATACTGGCGTAGTTGGATTTTAGTTCTTCCAGTAGCATAGTTTCCATGGGGAGTCTGGTCGCCTACTACCACATGGCCGGTAACCAATTTCACACTCTGGCTCCCGGGCAGCTCAGAGCGCCGGTCTCTACTCGGGTCGCTCGGCATACGTTTCTTCTTATGTGACCTTCTCATGACTCTCGTGGGAACTAAGTGCAGTGGTTTCCCGTTGCCTTCTGCACCAGGACTTTTAGGGGATATTTAGGCCCCAAGGTTTCTGACGCCTCTTCCGTACAGGTTGCCCCGCCGGGTGTGTATGGTTATACTGCCATTGCTCGGTCGCCAGAGCCCCGTCAGTTGTCTAGCAGGGAGCACCACGGTAACCAATTGGTTACCACCATCATACGACGCGTGCAGGTGGGGTTGACAATTGGGTCGGTAGAGCTGTTAT